CTGCCCACTTGACGAGGCGCCCGGCCACGTCCATTGATCCTAACGTGGATTTCAGAGGGAGGTTGGTAAGGACTATGACGGTGTGCGCTTGGAAGTAAGGTCTCAGCTTGGTTGCGGCCATCACAACCGCCAGCGCGGCCTTCTCAATGGGCGCGTATCGCTTTTCGTGGGGAACCATGGTGCGACTGACGTAGTACACCGGTCTGTCTTCTCCAGAGTGGGCTTCTCTTGCAACGAGCACAACACTTACCGATACCTCCGACACAGCAATGTAAAGGTATAGTGGTTCTCCCGCCTTAGGCGCCGTCATCACGGTCGGGGCGCTTAAGAGTTGCTTCAACTCTTCGAATGCTCCGTCACACTCAGTGGTCCATTCGAAACGGGCCGCCTTCTTAAGCGTTCGAAAGAAAGGAGCGGCCTTGTCTGCGGACCGGGGGATGAAGCGCCCCAACGCTGCCAGCCTGCCCGCCAGGCCCTGCACTTCTTTGGGCGTCTTCGGGGGGGTTAGCTTAAGAATCGCATCCACTTGTTTCGGGTTGCCTCTATACCTCTTTTGGTGATCATGAATCCCAGAAATTTTCCCGCTTCGGCGCCGAATACACATTTGAGGGGGTTTAGTCGGAGCCTATGCGCCCTCATGGCCTGGAATGTCTCTCGCAAGTCTTCAATGTGGTCTTCCCGTTTCCGATTCTTGACTATGAGGTCATCCACATAAGCCTCCACATTCCGGCCAATTTGCTGCCGGAAGACGTTGTTAACCATCCTTTGGTATGTGGCGCCCGCGTTCTTGAGCCCGAAGGCCATGACCCGATAGCAGAAGTTTCCAAAAGGCGTCATGAAAGCTGTTTTGGGCCGGTCTTCCTCTGCCATGGGGATTTGATGGTATCCTGAAAACATGTCCACGAAGCTCAGCATTTCGTGGTACGCCGTGGAGTCCACCAGCAAGTCTATCCGCGGCATTGGGTAGGCGTCCGTTGGGCACGCCTTGTTGAGACTTGTGTAATCCACGCACATCCTCCAGTCGCCCGACGGCTTGGGCACAAATACCACATTTGACAGCCAGGTAACATAAGAAGTTTCTTCCACCAAATTGGCGCCCATAAGCTTGTCCACCTCGACCCTAAGGGCTGCTTCTTTTTCCGGGGATAAGTTCCTGCGCTTTTGTTGCACAGGGCGCCTCCCTTCCTCAACCGCTAACCTGTGCACTGCTGTTTCAGGTTTGACGCCCGGCATTTCCATGGCACTCCACGCGAAAAGCTCTGCGAACTCCTTTAGAAGCGCGATGAGTCGTTTTATCATCTCGACAGGCGCCTCTGCCGAGATCCTAACGCACCTTTCTGGGCGCCCTTCCTCCAGCGCTATCAAGAGGTCCTCATCGGCCGCCTCGGCTCGAGGCGCCTCGTCTCCCCCCACCTCCATCACATTGACTCTTGCCTCGACGTGCCTTCGCTTGCGCCCTATCTCCTTCGCGTAACGCGGGGCGCCTCGTCCTCGGGCCACGCCCACCCCTTGCGGGGCGATGAACTTCAAGGTCTGATGACAAGTGGAGGCCACCCCATTAAACAAAGCCAGGAGCGGCCTCCCAAGGATCGCATTGTACGGTGAAGGACAGTCTACTATCCCAAAGTCTATGGCGCGCGTTACCCTTTGCTCCCCATCTCCCAACGTGACGGGCAGGCATACCCGCCCTATCACTCTGGCGGGCGCCACGGAAAAGCCTACTAGTACCGACTCCGATAGTCTGATCATCTCTGGTGATAGTTGCATGCGAACCACCGTATCCTTGAACAGCACATCCATGGAGCTTCCCGTATCGACCAGCATTCTCCTTACCCTGCACCCGGCTACTACCCCTTGTATCTCCAAGGCGTCCATGGACGGGAGCATACACGCCTCCTCCGGCGCCTTGTTGAAACTAATGTCGATCGACTCCTGCACATCCGCCGACGCTGCCCTCAACCGGCGCTTCGCTTCTATCTTCTCCCTCAAATCCATTGTCCCTGAAATGGCTTCGATCGTCAGGCGCACGCGGTCAGGCGCCTTTTCTTGGTCCAAGTCATATGGTGGTGGTGGCAGCTCCTCCCCTGTTCTCACCACTCCAGCCACAAATGCCCTATGCACTCTTTCCTCGGGTTTTCTGATGAAGTCATTGAGCATTCCTCTGTCCGCAAGACCCTGCAGCTCTGTCTTAAGTTGGTAGCAATCAGCCGTGTAGTGCCCAATTTCACGGTGGAAATCGCAGTATCGGTCCAAGTTCCGCTCGTTGGGTTGCCCCCGCATTGGGCCTGGCCACCTGATGTGGTATCCCTTCTCCTTGACGTGCTGGAGCACGTTCTTCAGAGTGTCGTTATACTCGGCGAAGGGCCCAGCCCCTCTAGGCGCCTGGCGCCCCATGTCGTTCCTCCTTGGCGGGGCTGGCTTGTGGGCGCATAGCCCGAACCGCTCGTTGGGTACTGCCTCCTCGGCACCTCGGCCTCCTCCACTCGTGCCTTCCTCCGATCTGCCCTCCTGGCTGCTAATGTCTCCTCCAGCATAATTACCTTTTGCACTCTATGATCCAGGTCCTCTGTGGACACCACGTCTCTCTTCGCAAGCGCCCTGCATAGCTCCTCACTTGAGGTGCACTCATTCAGACACCCCCCCAGCACCGACGGCTGGGCGTCCTTCACTGCTAAGGCCACGGATAGCCACCTCTCGTAAAATTCCCGTAACGCCTCTCCCTCTTTCTGCTTGACCTTAAACAGGGCGCCTATGGTCAAGGAGCGCCTTTTTCTGCTGGCAAACTTCGCCAAGAACATCGCTGCGAACTGTTCGAAGCAGTCGATGCGCCCTTCATCGATCTGATGATACCAATCGAGAACCACGCCCGAAAAGGTGGACGGAAACACCTTGCACAGGGTGGCGTCTGTGCTGTTATAGAGTTGCATTTTGGTGAAGTATCCGTTAAGGTGGTCCTCGGGGTCTCCAGTTCCGTCATAGGCTGGGAGTGGGGGAATGTTGGTTCCGGCTGGCTCCGACAATATGCAACGCGCCAGAGGCTGCCTCACAGGGCAGTGGCGTGAAAGGCGCCCCAATATTCCTCCATTCCATCCACTAGCGTCCGGCGCCCCGTGATCACGTGGGCGCCATAGACCGGGGCGCCTCGGGCACCCCGATTCGCTCTCCGTCTCTTCCATCCTTTCTCTTTTTTTTGTCGGGTTGGGCGTCATCCCTTCACTCCTTCTTAAGGCGTCCACTTCACGCCGCAGCGCCTCAATCGCCTCGTCTTGATCCTCAATGATCCGGAACAATTCTTTTTTCGTGACTGAGGCGCCCTCGGATCCCCGCAACGCGCCCTCACTTCCTTCACCTTCTTCCTCCTCGGGCGTCTGCCCTCTCATTCGCTCCGACTGTTCTTCCGTAATTTCTTCCCTTTCTTCATTCATTGGCGCCTCTTCACTCATGACTCCTGGTTATATTCCCCTACCTGGCGCGTCAATTGTTTGAGACACGTTACCCTCGTAAGACTCTCCTGAATCCTCTCTCGCCAGGGGCCCGATCTGCACACACGAACAAAGAGGGGGCGCCTTGGCCCGTTAATCCTCCGACGCCCAAGTCAGTTTCTAGGAAGAGAGAAGTGTCTCAAAGCTAGAATTTGTGAGAGAGAGTCCAACCTGTGTAAATGCTACCAACTGCCCCTATTTATACTTACCGGAGTTCGAGGTTGATCCTCTCTACCTCCCTGCCTTCATTCAATGCTTTGTCTCTTTCTTGCCAGACATCCCAACCACCTTGTCAGACTCCTGGCACGTGACAGGCGCCCGCAGGTACTGGACCACATGACAGTCTGGCCTCCTTTGGCTTCTTGTGATTTGTCTTCATATGACCTCCTTTTTACTTGGGCCTTGCCCCCCACTTGGGCTGTTTGGGAGCCCAAGTTGCCACTCATTGGGCTTTGCTCATAATACCCCCAACACATTGTAACTATCCCAACCAAACTATTGTAACTATCCTAACCAAACTATCACCAAAACCAAACGACCCCAAAAGTATGATAGATGATAAATCCAATGTCCATTATCACATCAAACATATATCGTTGAACAAACATACGAGAGAAAGAAAACAGGTAAACCTTCAAAGGATATACTGAACTTACTAATGGTCATGGATCAGCACAACAGAACCCTTTCCAGTTTCCACGGATGGTATACATCAAAACCCAGCTCCACATTACGCAACCGGAAAACAAAAATCACGTCGTCAAAAGTGTCAACTCTTCTCCCTTTCTTTGGCACATACACTTCACAACCACAAGAACAACTAATCATTGTACAAAAACCAACCTCAAATCCCTCCTCCAATCCCAAACAACGACCTCATCAGGCTGATGGATGGATGGTTACATTTGTCCTCCAACACAAATTATAAATCTTAACCCCCCTGCTCATTTACAATCACCCAAACAAAAACAAAAAAAAATCACAATTTCAAAACCTCACTGCCAATGCAGCCACCTTTTCAAATCTCGAAGTAAATGTAACTGTCGACCACCTCTATCGAGAGCACGAATATGCTCCAATCTTGGTTTCGAAAAGACATTTGTGTCTCGTCTGCCATCCAAAGGACTTTGCTGCTCTATACAGTATGGGTATAACTCTTCACTTCTTCCCAGAATAAGGCTTGCATCCCCATATACGAGAGGAAAGAAAAGAAATTGGAAATGGAAACTCTGCTTAACTTAAAAAAAAAAATTACTCTTACACCTAATGTCATGTGCAGACAAGCCTAGTGTTACAAGATCCCTCACAACAGGAAGAAGCCTAGTCGTAAAGTAAACCGCCTTGTGATGTTTCGTGTTAAGCTCGTATCTGGTATCATGCAAGTAGGATGCCTGTTTCATGTGATCTCATACGACATAAATTTCTACAGGACTGGATACTTCATCATGCTTCATGCGACCGTTTTCATTTATGCAGAGAGAAATGGATGGTGATTATATGAAGCTTACTCTGGATCTCTCACAATATACCATTCAATACCTTCTGATAATAATCATACTGCCTTGTCCGCCACGCATCTAAACTACTGCTGATAAGAGAGAGTACCAAGGAGACGCATTGCTGGCAGAAAGTAAAAGTTCATTCGTAAACAAATCGATACTAATCAGGCAAGTTTAGAACTGGAAATTTGAGCATACTAGGGGTTGAAGGGCGCTTACCTCTTCAGTCAAACTTAGATGAAACCGTTTCCTTAAGTTTTGAATAGTCCTTGGACCCCCCTTGAAGCAAGGAAATCCAGAATCCTGATCAGGTACATCACAAGATTAACTGGGTTACTATAACAGTCCGGTAATGCAGAAAATGCAGAGCAACTCGCATGCACATAAAAGCAAGCTGGAGCACTTATGATCACTGGGCAATAAGAACTATCAACAGGAGGCCATTTATTGCACCAGTATATCCAAGAACAAACATCATCAGTATGATGCATCATAGATCATACCCAAAGAGATTATGATACTCTCGAGTATCTTAATGCACCGGAGATTTTGTGGAGACAGTTTTGAGAACGCAACAGGCCAAGTATAAGAGAACAAGAAAAGAAAATCATGTCTTGTTCTATGAGATCATTCACTTGTTAGGGCAGGACGAGGCAAATGAATTCTTCACAGAACGCAGTCTGGTATCTATTTTTTTTTTTACTATTTCATACGAAATAAAGAATCTTATAATATTTTCTACCAAAGGGGGGATAGAAAAGAAATATTGATTTCCCGGGAAACAATTAGTGTACCTGCAACATCTCAACAAGAAGAATTATCCGCTCTGCATGCTTACGACAAGTTAAGAATCCTTGAATGCATAAAACCTGCATTTGACACGAGAAAACAAGAAGTTAATTCTTTCAAAAAAGAGATAGCACTCGGTTCTCAACAGTGTTCATAATTTCCAAATCCAACAAAAAAGAGATAGCACTCGGTTAAGAGTACAGGTAAATCTTGTCACCTCATAGCCTGGCTTAATGTTGATATAAACAATATGGATAACAGGTATACCTTGAAATAGTCAAAGAATTCGCTTGGACCTCCCTCTGCATCAGAGTCCATGACCTAGAACCCAAAAGAGGCTCGATAAGTATGTTCCCAAACTTATATAAACATGCATCACTAATTGAGAAGATAACGAACTCAGAGATAAGGACAGTGGGAAATCCACCCTTTGTACATAAACATTCTTACCTCAAGAAGTTCCCGGGTTAGCTTGAAGGGCGCACTCTCAAAGTTCACTCCACCAGGCGAATTGGAGAGCATAAACCCAAAGTCTATATGAATAATATGACCTTCTTCATCCAATAAAAGGTTTCCATTGTGTCTATCTTTCACCTGAGATGAAAAAAGAATGAGAAGAAAATGTTAAAGCGACATGATGAAAAGAGCCCATAACATCTTCGAGTACTTTGTTGAAGTCTCAAATGGAGCTTTTATATAATTTAATAATTTTATACTCACTCACACCTCTTACAAAGTTCAATAAGTATGGTACCCTAGTAGTAGGATCTATTTTGTCCATGCACAGGACACTTACAAAATGAAGGCAAGCACAATGCATAAGAGTGATATAAGCAAACCCCACACCACACCGCTTGGCCAGTTATCACCAAAATTAGTTAATTAAGAGGAGAGACGGTATCAAACCTGGAGAAGGTAGCACACCAGCGAATAACCAGCCATACTCTCAACGAAGTTCCTCTGTACAAAAAGAATTAACGAACACATTAATGAATTAAAGGTCATGTCCTGCCAAGCCAGCTGACAATAAAATCAAAGCATATTTTACAAGTTACAAGGACAGTGAGCAAGACAACAGGGACAGAATGAAAATGCCACCTTCTCACCAAACAAGATTGAAGTAAACTTATACAAATAAACCAAGGATTTCCCCTCAGCTATCAACAGGAATGAGACAGATTTGTCTCTAAATATTTATTCTCCATGCTATCAACAAGAATGAAAGAAAAGAAACAGTACCTGCCAACAGTTGAAAGACTGTATAGGCAAAGGAATAACTCTCAAGTTACAGTGGAACAGAAACAAAAAAAAAAAAAGGCAAAAACAAAAGAAGTTTCTAGGGAATCTGAAACCACCAAAGTCAGGTGTCTAATCAGTTACTTGTTCAATACAAAAAGGAAGATACAACAGTTGCAGTGACTAATACCTGCGCCAGCTTGAAACTTGAGGATTTTTCTGTATATTTGGCAACAAAGAAGTCACGCAAACTATTTACATTAGGATATCTACTCTTGATGGAATGAATTGAAGCCTACAACAAACAGCAACACTGAAGGTGAGGTACCATGAAATATCATTAATAGCTCTGTCAAAGAGAGAGGCTACAAGAATGAATGTGTACCGTATCTGGAACTGTTTCAATAAGAGCTGTGTAAGAAGATGTCACCAATACTTCATAAGGACGCAGCCAAAGAGGAAGCCCAGCTTCTTGGAATATATCTGATAAAGAAATAATAGTAACTATTATTATAGCATCTTTGTTTGAAACCCAGCTTCTTGGAACGCATCTGATATAAGAAGAAAATTACTATCATTATCCTTGCTACTACTGAAACTCTGTATTTTGAAACACTTATCAGCAAACAGATCAAAGTATGATTTCTTCGAAATATCAACACTCACTGATTGATCATTGTTTCTCATTACCAGTCATTAAATTACTAGTTATCTTACTTGTTTTTAAACATTAACACTTAACAGCTAATGATTAAGAAGCCCAAGTAGTCCTTCCAAATCTAGGACTTGCCCAACAACAGCTAAAAGGGAAAACAGACAGGAAAAGACAACAAAACTGTCTCCTAATATGACAGAACTCTCTCAATGCTTTAGCTAGTACGATATCATACAGCAGAATATTGCATACCGAGGGAGAAAATGAAAACAGGCAACAGTTTGATTAACCAGCTACGAAGTAACAGAAAGCCAAAGCTAAAAAAACTGGAAGCCAACGTTAAGAGAATGTAATAGTCGTGAAACTACTCGGTATAAGAGTTGATGTAGTAAAAGTCAGCAGCAAAATTAAATATTCACATGTCCATTGGGCTTCATGGTCATCATTGGTTTTCTAGTAAGAGCTACAGCAAGCACTAAAGACTCTTCCTTAAACTTATTTTCACGTCCATCTTTCAAATCGTTAGGTTGCCTTCCTAGTAAACTCGATAAATATTTTAAGCTATGCAGAAATGCTCAGTTTGGGTTTAGAAAATACTTCCCTAAAAAAAGCTAGAGAAACAAAACCCACTGACTGACATGTCCTAGCAACTGTGTTCTGTAACAGAAGTCATAAAAGAGAACCAGTAAAAAGTATGGCAGCTCAACTATGATCATATTCGAGCACCCACCGTAGAAATGAGAAATAAGTTGCACAGCAAGATGCTCCTGCCTGCAGTCATCCCCACTCTTCACAATCATCTATAAAAGGAACGAAGAAAGGTCATCCATTAAAGCCATGAAACTGGAGTTTAAGTAGATAGCAAATTAAGCACCATCAGAGCATAGGTCAAATGGACAACTTGGCCCAATCCGGGAAAGTGTAACATCAAGATCATGATATACACGATCACTAACCATGTGCTAATCAGCCCATGGAACGATGAGTATTCTCGTTTCTGCTAAAAGGTTACAGCACATGCATAATTCCTAGAAGTTCATCCTATTGGACCCCAAGAGCATGTGAAAAGACAAAAAGTTAGCATCACATCATAAAGTACCATTGATTGACGTCACTGACAAACTACAGATACACAATCCAAAAAACCAGCAACCACATAGTAATCCATGGTGGTGGTTTCCCTCATCTCTAAACAGCCACCAAATGGAGATCGCTTCAGTTTTCAGTTCAGATCAATGGGAATTGTCAAAGGAGTGCTAAAAATTGTAGCATCAGAAAAGTCCAGGCATCTGGCCGTACTGATAGAAAATTCATGCCTAACGTTGCTAATGGGCAATGGGAAGTCAATATTAGCAAGTAAGCAAGCAAGCACCTACGAAGGAACCCTGAATGAGTGTAGTCGTAACATGCACTTGGAACTTCCATAAAACAAAAACAATACTCATTTGGTTCTTGATTCAAAATCGTATTGCTGATACCACTAGAAAATACAGGCAAATACAATCATATAACTTTAGAAACACCCATGGTTTGATAGACTACATAGCAGTAATTCTGTGCTGGTTAACCTTTGTTCGCGAAAACACAGAGCACTTACAGAGCGCAAGTCCCAACCGGGTAACTTCCCATGTACTGAAGCTTTGCGTATTCTCTCTTTTTTTAAATCCCAAAGTTCACCAGATAAGGGATCAGTGGCTCTAGGAGTGCCACCATTTGCCTGTCACCAACAGAAGAAAAACTTATAAACCAACATTCTGCTGCAAACAAGGCATGTAGTATTTGTTCTGAGAGTGTCACCCTAGGTTGTGAATCTGATGAATCTTGCCCAGCTCCTTTAAGAGGAAGTCCAAGAGGTGCTTCACCTTTGGCTGCTGCAGCCTGTAGAAAAATTAAGTCACGACCACCAATAGACATTAAAATAAGCCAGAACAAAAGATAACCATAGACTTCTCACCTTCACTTCTTCTATCGCAATAGTACTTGGAACACGACGATGCTCCCTTCTACGTGGCCCTTCATCTCCAATATCATCCATTCTGGCTCTAGAATCTGCTGTCAAAACTACCTTTATCCAGTCAAAATCACAGCCATCTGCAGCCTTTCTGCGTGAACTACTGCGGCGGATGCCAGAGTGCGAATCAGGCACTTCAGTTTTCAATCTTGAATCAACCGTCCGCCTCTCCACAGAAAGACTCAAAGTGACAACCTTCAACTTTGCCTCTGAAGAATGGGACATTGCCTGATCAATGGCTTCAGCCGTTGATCTTGACATTCTATCACTACTATTACGGTATGCTTCCTGAGTAGTCCACAACGGATATGCCCATGGTGGTGGCTTTGGCAACAATGCATCCCCATTAGCTAGAGGAATTCCTCCTCTAGAAAGCTTTTGAGCACCAGAGGCATCCTTAGAATTGCTACAAAAGATAAAGCAAATGGACTACATGATGAGGTAGAACAGAGAACACGTAGCATGGGAGCGGAAACTTGAAAAAGTACGACCACGGCTGAGTTATTGTATCGAGTATAAGCAGAAACTTGGACATGTGATATTATTGGCATTTTCTCTACTACACCAGAGATGCAAGTCAATCAGTACCTTGGTATTTCACTTTTCAAAACTTCCACGCAGATCATGTAAGGTGCCTTTTCTCTGGAGTTCAGTAGAATAGCCTCATCTTCAGGTATATGAACCACACGGTACATGCCCTTTCCCAGAGGAAAGCAAACACCTGGATTTGGTAAACAAAAGTAAACCTAGCAAATCAACAAATCATGAATATACCGCCCTGGTTGTCATTTCCAAACACTAGAAAATGCAATCAAAAGGGGCACCATTCAATTGTTTCGAGAAAAAAAGAGAGGTTGTCACTAGTCTTGCATCATGAAGAAGAGCTGGTAATTGGAATGGGGAAAAGAAACACTTTGCCACTCAGACTATGATCATGACCTCAAATTAGTAAGGAGATTTATTTTTAAATGAAAGATTAAGTAGATTAAGGAGCACTTTTACAATTCTGTCTTCCTTCCATTAAAATCTTCATAAGCAAATTAAAGGGTAAAAAGACAAAATATGGCTAGTCTGCAACAACCCAATAAAACAATATGATGGGGTATCGAAGAAAATTCTCTGATTCAATACAACATCAACTTAAAACAACAGTCCTCGTCAAATATAAAGAACAAGACAAAATTTCGGACTACAGATGATACCCGCAAACATAAACCAACAGGACATGTAATCCACTACAAGAACATTGCAAGCATTCATGTAATAGCCTCTAGTAGACTAATTAAATATTTACTAGCTTTAGCCTTTTGAATAATAAGACATTTTCCCTTCAAGAAAACTAAGGCCGTGGCACTAACCTCCAGCTAGTTGAGCCTCAACTAAATGCAAATTGATCTCCACAAGTGACTGGAAAGAAGCAAAAGTAAAAAATGCTATTAGAAACATGTCAAGTACACATTGTCTAACAACTAGATGCTGGCACAGCACTAGTAAGTGATGCCAGGAACTTATGAATAATTATTAATATTAGAATCCAAAAAAGTACACAGCAAAAGAAATGGTAAACCTCTCGAAGGGCACTTTTTCGATCTTCAACCGGGAATACATCCACTAGGCCATAGGAAGTGTCGCACAAAGACAGTACAAAGTCCAGGGATTCATGATATGCTCCTTTCCGCAATTGTGATGACGAGTGATTTGGTAATGGGGGTTTTGCATTTGACTTATCATTTTGTTGCTTAGGTGAACCAGGAAACTTCTGCAAGAAATAGAGCAAATAAGAGCCAGATTATAAAGTTGCAAGTAACTACAACAGCCAAAACAGCATTGGAGGACCACTGAAGCTACAGACAATATGAAACACTCAATACATATGCAATTCAAAATCACCCTGTTTCCTCTCAATCTCCCTGCATAACCCCGTCATAAAATAAGTAAATTATACCCGAAGTACCATTTTTTCAGCTTCAAACAAGTTCCACATTCACGTCAATCAGATAAGGACAACAGACTTAGCGAATTTTTTGCTTCAAAGAAGTTCCACATTCTCATCAATCAGAAAACCTTTCGTCAAGGCAGATGACTTTCAAACGCATACAAAAAGATAGCACATTTGCATCCTTAGTAATGGGGCTGAAAGTTCAAGGAAAGATTGCAGGTTTGGGCTTGCTGATTTCAAACTCCCCAGAAAATGACCAAATGCAGTGAAATATAATAGCAATATAAAACCACAATATCCCTCAGTAAACCGCTAATTCTTACCAAAGAAACCTGATTTAATCAACTTCCCCATCTCCCTGATTCAGACTGCTATAGCCTATATGTCTTTGCAAACTGATTTTCCTAATTCAGCCATGATCAACTTGGCAAATATAAATGTTACTTTACTTCATGTATCCCTTCGAGACTATCAAAATTTCAACAGTTACAATTGTTAATTCTACACTGCCCCTAATCTCAAACAAGACATAGAAATAGAGAAGCTGTGGAAAAATAAAGTCAGACACTTGCAGACAGTTATGATTGAAGTGGAGATTGCTGCAAAGATAAACAACTGCACTAGACCATAGACATGATAAATAAATACTTAAATTCAATGCACCTCTTTGTTTTTCTTTCCACTCAACAATTCAGAATCTTCGACTGAACGATCACGGTCTCGGAACAGTTTGCGGAAGAATTTCTCAGTCCCTGGGCTGCTTTCAGATAAGCTCACATGTCCATTGCTACTATTTTCATTGACCGATGCACTTTTTGAATCTTCAGGGTGCACACGAAATAACTTCCGGAACAAAGAATTATCTGAAGATTCTTCTTCCTCTCCGTTGAGATTATTCCCTTCACTGCCCTTATCAGGACCATGTTTCTTGTCATCGGACTTGTCCTTGAACAATTTACGGAAGAATCCATCTTTTTCATCATCCTCCGTCGATTTTCCGAATTTCTCCATGGCATTCATCCTCTCATCCTCATTTTTTTCATTCCCGTCTTTCTTGTCATCGAATTTCTCCTTAAAAAACTTCCTAAAAAACCCATCTCTTTCATCATCTTCCATTGATTTAGAGAGTAACCGGTCGTCAACTTCACCCTTGCTATCACGAAACAATTTCTTAAAAAAACCCTCCGAACTTACTGTCAGCTCATCCTCTTCACCTCTGTTATGATCCTTCAAAAGCCTCTTGAAGAACCCATCTGATGGTGAAGTCAACTCCTCCTCTTCAACTTTCCCTGAATCCCTCAAAAGCCTTTTGAAAAAACCATCTGAGCTAGACATTACCTCATCATCTTCAGTTCGATTTGAATCTTTCAAGAGCCTCTTGAAAAAACCATCAGAGCTTGACGTCAACTCCTCCTCATCTCGTTTACTGCTGTCCCTCAAAAGCCTCTTAAGAAATCCATCCTTCTCACTATCCTCATCATCTTTATCCATAGATTTTCTAAAAAGTAGAGCATCCCTGACCTTTGGACCAGGGATGAATTTCTTGAAAAGTTTATTCTCAGGTGAGCCTTGCCCACCATCATCTGGCAAATGATTACCTGATGAATGTGAAAATGATACAGATCTTTGTGCAGGTGGTGAGGAGGTCAAAGATAAGAACTTCTGCTTCGATGATAACAGCTTGTTTAGCACCTGGTTTTTACTGCCAGGGGTTGAATTCTCATTACGCTGCTTCAGCAAGGGAGGCCATTCCCCCATCAAAGTCGCAGCGATCTGACACTTTTCTTGAATCCGACTAATCCCATCATTGTCATCTGAATCCTCGAGCTCAGCCAGTAAGAACCAGTGCACCTTAAGGGCAATCATCAGTGACTTGGAGCATATATCAATAACAAACTTATCCAGCGATGGGCTTGGCTTGTGTATCAACATGTAACAAATCTGGAAAAGGTAGCTCTCTATACCAGACAATGGCAGAGTGTACATTCGGTTACACAAGTAATCACGAACCCCTGAGTGCTCATGTTTGTACAGGTAGCTCACAGCAATCCACTCGCAGAAAAACGCGGAGTCAAAGAACCTGATCAGCCACCCGTTCTCACTGGACTCGCTCGTCAAGTTGCTCCGCGATGACGTGATCTCCCTTGGCGGTTCAGCCGATTCTCCGAGACTAAGTCCCAGAAGCCTCACCATTGTCAGCCTACCATCATAAGCCCGAATTACCTCTCAGAAATCAGATCGGAGAAGCTCTGATCGCCTTCCCATCTAGAACAAGGAAAGGTTCAACTGATAACCAAACCATGCAGACAGCTCGGCTAGCAATAAACCACTCTTAAACCTTCATCAAAACCCTAATTATTCACAGCAGGCCAAGTTCCCCGGCTCTATCAGTTGCTCAATTGAAATGCTAACTAAATCCTACTCCAGAAACCCTAAGTGAAAAGCCTCACAACCACCTCACAAATTCCCCAGCTCACTCGGCGGGGGAGGATCGCCGAAACTGAGTAGATGAAGAAGGAGAAGTATGTGAAGTGTGATCGGAGGAATGGCCGGGGGAGGAAGAAATGGGAGAGAGAGAGAGTTTTGAGATGAGACAACTGGAATTGGGCAAATTCCAACTTACGGGAGCGGGAAAGGGAGTAATCGGAATAGCTGAGTTTCTGCCAACACTGGATCTCGAGAAATCTGCTCCTGGAGACGGCGAGGCCGGAGCCTGACGGCGGCAACGCGGTTCAGGAGCGGCGGCGGTTGGTGGTGGCGGGGAGGTGGGGGCTTGGTTTGGCGCCTGGCGGTCTGTTGTTGTTACAAAAAAAACAAGCGCAACAAAGACAAAAATGGGCGGAGGCACGAACTCTGGAAGTAAGAGTAATTAATTTTTTTTTAGGGAAGAGAAGGGGAAAAACTACAAGTTCAATTTTGAAAATTTCCGAATGAAAAAAACAATTAATGGGAAATATAAATATTCGCGTACTGCTGTGCTGAGGGTTATGCTATTGTGCGCCAATTGGAAACGCGCAATTATTATTTTTGTAAATTTCCGAATTGGTAGAAGCTCCTCCGGAGGATATAAGGGAAAAGGCGGTAAGTTTGGTACCAGTATTTAGGATATACTCAATATACTACCGAATTTGTTTATATTTGGTATTACCGAATATACGAATTATTTTTTGGAATTGGGATTGAGATTGAATTTCATTTGTTATTCGGTATTAGGGATTACGGGATTGGAATCGGTATATACTGAAATACCGATCAATACTGAAATATAAGCTAGTGTGTATTTATCCTCTCAACTAGACTCTCTCATTCACTGCCACAAAAAATGGACTCTCTCATTCACTACTACACGACCTTCAATCGCCAAAAGTGTCATTTAATTATACATAGATCATTCCATCACTATTAATAGTCGTTTGTCAACCTCCAATTCGTCAAATTAAAAATTACCAATGACAAGAACTTGAGATGTCTCCTCTCCTCCATTCTCCTTAATAATATCCTAATTCAAGACTATTTGCTTAGTCTTTTTTCCCTAAATTAAACAATAAAATCTAATTTATATATTTAATTATTAATTGTAAAGGTAATTAATTTCGTATTCGATAATACCCATTGGGATACCGAAGTACCGATTGGAATACCGGTATATTTAGGGATTGGGATTGGGATACCGAAATAATTTAGGGATTGAGATTGGGATTGATTTTAGGGTGTAATTCGGTATTTGGTATTGGAATACCGATACCGTACCGATTTCCACCCCTATAAGGGATAACCGTGTGGGGTCGATTCTTGACGAAGTCGTCTGGTCCTTTGACATTGATATGGGCTTCAGTGTACGATTTGTAAGTCGGCGTAATAATATGATAGCTCATTTGGTAGCTAGGAAGGCTCTTTCTTTGTACCCGACTAAGAGTCGTTTATTTTATTTTTAGACCTGGCTGAATTCCAGGATGTAACTATCTATTTGTGTCAATCAATATATGATTATTTTTTGCAAAAAAAAAAAAGATTAGCTTTGGACTAGAAAGGAAGGCAAAAGGAAAGAGTTAAAGTCCAATGGAATTTTGCATTGCATCTAAATTACTTCAATTTGACGATAGAGTCATAGAGGTGAGAATGAGATTCATTGAATTAGGCAAACTGCACTCTTTGTGTCTAATTGTGAGTAGGAGTGAGACACAGGAATTTGGGTTACGAGAGGTCGTGTTATATTATATTATGCTTAACGGCAAGGTTATTCTTACAAGAAAATCGAGAGCGTTTAGAGAGAGAAAGTATAAAAGCTAGTGGAAAGTTCTAACAAATCGATCTCTCGCCCACTAGAGTAAATGCTCTATTTATAGCCTTCACTATAAAGGATGGGCTTTAAATGCAATGTGACATTTAGACAAGACTGGGGTATAGACTCTGACCCAGCCCATGCTTGGGAAGTGACAATGTGTCAGGGCACCATGGTGTCGTTTGAGAGTCCTATTTCGCGAGTATATCTTCTGACTGCCCTATCACTTAAGCTCATGAATGATATTCTTTCTTTGCTTGCTGGATTCTTGCGGCTGGTATATCTGCGCAAGTAATTATGTTGTATCCCCAACATATATATATATATATGGTTCAGGCTAGCGTACACCTGGTGTACGGTGTACTCCTGCGTTCACACCTATTAATTAATTATTAATTATTTTTAATTTAATTATAATTAAGGTAATTATTAATAATAAAAACAATTGCAATTATATCCCTTCATTAATGGTTGTTCACGGTTTAGTCCCATATAAATTTTATCTTACATTCTCCTCATATCAATCCCTTAACTAACAATCATATATATTATAGTACCTTTTTCCAAATTATAAACTTAAAACACCCAAACTTTATAATTATATACAACTTCACTGCTCCTGGCCTCCTGCCATTACAACTCTATCATCTTGTCGTTTTGTCCTCCTTTCCCTTATCTCTCCCCCAATTCATCGAGTCCACCACTGAACAAGAGAGAAACAGAACCGAGCCAGCCACCCCTGTGCGCTCTCTCTCCCTCGTTCTCTTTTGCATTCAGCAGAGGCAAACAGTTTGATTCAACAACAAGAGGAGGAAGCAGACGAAGCTTAACAAGAAGATCCATTTCTTCTCTTCCGTCTTTCGATAGATAGATACAAACACACCCCTTCTCAAGTTAGACCCCAATCCTCCTCTGTAATTTTTAGGGTTTCTCTTCTCTCGAGTTTGAATCTCATCTGAAGCGTTCGATTGATCGATTGAGGCGGATGAACCGCAGTTCTCATGTTGTTACCTTATCTCCCCCAAATCAGATCGATCTAAACCCTAAGAAAAGCCCCCTTTCTTGTTTTGCCTCTTGCATGGAGCATTAGACTACGCCCCTTTCTTGATTCCTCTGCTAATCTCCATCTCCCAGCCGATCAGAGCTCCATTCCATGAAAGTCACAATCTCACCGACACCAAGGAAGGCCCCTTTGTCCATAGTTCATGGGGCCAGGCGGAGAAGCTCAACGGTGTTGGCGGACTTGATGGGTTGCTGTAGAGGACGATGAGAGGAGCCGATGTCTCTGTGGAGGACGTCGACAAGGTTGAGTAAGGAGGCCCAGATCCCATTTCGACGGCGAAGAAGAAGATGGTGACGGCGGAGAAAAATGGATACTGCGGCGGCGGGGACGAGGCACACATGCAAGAAGCTCGAGATTTACACCCCTGCGAGCGAACCAGTCTTCGTCAAGGGAACGTGGTTCGAGGGTCGCTTCGACCTCTCCATCACCGACGGCCTCCACTCTTGGGTCTGCCACGGTAAAACTATATCTCCCCTTACTTTTCTTGTTCGACTGATATCGACTCTCGTGTTTGAATCTCTCCATTTATACGGGGTTTCTTTTATCATCCTAACTCCTACTAAATCTGCAGGTTATAGAGGTTTGATTTGTGGGATGGATCCTGTTTGCTGTGAATCAAGTTCATGGATGGAAGCTGCACAGATTCAGAAGATGGATCGAGGTCCTAATCAGCCCTTTTACCAGGTTTTGCTTTCTGTTGCTGCTTTGTTCCAATTGCCGTTAACAATGGGAATACATGCATTTCACAGCTAATTTTTGAGCATTTCATCACAGCTTTTGAAATGGTGAGCTTAGTTGTTCCTGCCTCTTCTTGTTAGTTAGTACCTAGCGAATAATTCAGTTGCTGCAATGTCGCTGGTGGCCTGATTTTGGCTTGAAAGAAGCATAGGGAAGCATACAGAATGGTAGTAGTGATTGACCAACTTTCTCCCATTAGAGTTGAGACACACACTTGACTTGAGTTTAGTCGACAACACTTGGCTGCTTGTTGCTCTTAGCTCGTGGTATTGTTACAATTCATAAAGAGTTTCTCCATGCATTTGGTGTTGCTGCTTTTCTTTTGTTAAGCGTTACTTTTCCCCTATGAAATTGGCATGTTTGAATCGAAGCAAGTTTGTTATTCAATTGTTTGTAAGTTTTCACTTTTGGATTCTGGGTGTCATTGATTATGGGGAAATATGGACGGGTTCTGCATTCTTTTCCGCCCTGCTGCTATTAGAATCCGAATTCTGATCCCTCAGCTTTTAACCTCCGCTGCAAATCGTATGTAAACCTTAAGAATTTTTGTTACTTATTGTACTGTACTCGTCATGTTCTGGATTCCCTTGAATTGAGGTTCTGTGCTGTGCCCATAATTTCTTCTAAGCAGCTAGAACAAACTCAACTGTGTTCTTCTGACCTGATTATCTCATATATTGGCAAGAGAAAAGGGAGTTGGGCCTAAAACTGGGAAAGCTTTACACTACAAGGGTTCTTTCTTCCATAGTGTTATAAAAGGATCCATTGCTCAGGTTTGTTTTTGTTCTGATGCATTTTGGTCACTAAACTATGCACACACATTACTTTCAAGCTTGGGTTTGCGCTCAGTTTCTTGTTGATGTGGCTTGGAGGTGGTGTCTTTTAGTCAGTTTCCATGGTTAGCTGGTTACCCTTGTTTATGCTGTATTGTACACGGCTGATGGTCACGTCTGCTTTTGATATTGTTTTAAGGTTGTACTTACTGAGTTGTCCATCCTTAAAATTCACTACTCTTCATCGTGAAAAAACCCTATATGATGATGCAAATAATTATGTTAGTGGACTAATAGGCTGTGCATTTCTTGCAGGGAGGCGACTTCTCAAAAAGAGGAGGCATGTCTGGTGCCATTACTTTTCGAACTCTTTAAAAAGTAAGCTAGTTATTTGTATGCATAATAACTATATTACCGTGAATGCAAACTGGTTTCTTAGTTGCATATAGAAAGCGTAATCTGTATAAGGAAACTGGGTTTTAATTGCAAAATAATAATAAAGCATATTTATTAGACTAATTGGTATATGGAAACTGGTTTATTAGTTGCTGAATAATAAGAAAGCCTATTATTACTTATTAGGCTAAGCTGTCAGATTTGGTTAATAGAACCGGAGGTGTCTTTAAATGGTCCATACCCTATTGTTTTGTCTTCTATATAATTGTGTGTTTATCCCTTCGGTACATGCGAGTTAACAAATCCCCCCAAGAGCTTGAACATATTTTGCGGGAGGACATTCTTGGGGTTAGCTTTCCTCGAAGGTTCTTAAAAAATACTGAATAGCTATTTGTCTTGGTTTTAGTTTCCAGACAGGTAGCTGGCTTTGGGTCTTCTTGTTTGGTTTTTTTTTCCGGGGTGCCTTTATGGGGCTTGCCTTCCCCTGTCTGTTGCTGTTAGTAAGGGACTTGTTGTTTGGGGGTTGAATTTGTATCGGTTTCTGGCTTTTGCCTCCCTGTCTTAAAAAAAAAATTGTGTGTTTTGCTCCCTTTAGTTGTCGTGCTTTGGTGCTGCATTCTCCCTCTTAGGTAGTAGCCTGTTTACTTTTGAAATTTCTTCTTTGTTGTGATTCTGATCTTCATTATGTCCCGTCTCTGTGTATGCAGTTGCTGCTTTCATTCTGATTCTTTCTTGCGGAAGTGAAGATCATGGATCGAACTGGGTAATATGCATCATCTCTTTCAAACGTGTTTAGTCCTCATCTCTTTTTTTATTGTATGTTTTTCCTCTCTTATGACAGCTTTTTCTTTGGCCATTTAATATAGGGATAAGGGCTATCAAAATTTCCTGAAGGATGCTGCGAATATATCAGGACCCAAGAGTAGCATTACTGGATCTTTTTCAAAGGCTGGGGTTGGTCGTCTCTTTTTTTTTTTTTGTAATTATTATATTATATGTAAAGGTGTTAAAATTGTCCCCCTGCATATTGTTCTTAGTTTGCAAAGTTGGGCTGTAATTAATAATGGGCTCTGTTGGGCTGTAATTTATCATTGCATCTGTTGGGCTGTAAATTATTATGTGCTCGCTTGGCTCTAAGGCCCATTTGCACTTTGTTCTTTTTTTGGTGAAAACTTTTGGGTTTTGTCTTGACTCTGCAGCAAGAATACAGATTGCAATGAGTTCCTATATACAATTAATCACATTTTCTTTATTAGACATTGTTTTTAGCTTTATATAATTAAATAATTGCAATAATGTAATGAACTTATTGACTATTTCAACATTTTTTGTTGTCGACAGTATCGTTGTACCAACCCTATACAAAAGAAGCTTTTTTCGAGAGAAACGGCCAAGTCTCCTATGACACCGAGCACATATGTCATTGTTATTGATGACGATGATGATGATTTGTTGGGAGGAACGGTTAAGTCTCCTGTGACACCGAGTTCTGAAGCATTATTATTGACGATGATGATGACGAGCCTTATTTTGAAAGAAAAAAGAGAATTAAATCTTTCAGGACCTCTACCAAGGAAAAGGTATTTTTTTACTAGAATAGTTTTGTATACTATTAATAAGCATAGAAACTCTCTAATATTTTAGTTTTGCATGGCAGTTTGTGATGCAATTTCCTATCACCAAGTACATGAAGTTAACTTTAGAAGAGGTTAATATGGCATACTATATCTTTGCAAAAGATCTTGATGGTCGGAATATATTGGTAAAAAATGGTTCCCATTTTTGTACTCGTCTGTCGCTGTGGAGCTTGTTGCCTAACAAATGGGTACAAGATGATGTAAGTGTTGGTTTTATTTACAAAATTAGTTCACATTATTCATTTATATATAGTAGTCACATTGTTTGTTGTTGTGTTGAAGGTTATAACAAGTTGTGCATATTATCTCAACCTATCTGAGATGTATGAAGAACGACGTGGAACCCCGTTTCGGTTGTGCTTCCTCCCTACCCAAATGCAGGTAATGAAAATATGGAACACTAACACTCACATTTTTGTGCATATTAAAAACATGCACTAATCTTTGTTTCAATATGATCCAATAGGTGGGAGTGGAGAAGTATGGTTATAGTCCTGAAAAGTTATTAAATAATTATCGTTCTAGCTTCTTGCGTAATGCCTATGGATCCAAGAAGGTAGACATTTAACGAATATCTCATACCTATTTTTTTTTTTTTTGTATATTTTGTTTAAGGATGATGATCTTCATGTTGATATTTGGCAGGTCTATCTACCATTGAATTATGGCACTCATTGGTATTTGGCAGTGGTATTGACAGAATCAAAACAAGTACATCTGGTTGACTCAGCACCTATGACAGACCGCAATGGAAATCGTATGAAAGTTGTAGGACGCATGGTAAGTACACTGTTGAACATTTGCCATCAGTTTGTTTCGTAATCAAACTTATTTTAGTTAAGTACGTTTCATTATTTATGCAGATGGCATTTTTACATGATTTATTTGAAAAGCTATACTATGAGCTAGAGAAGATGAATGAAGCGCCAAACATCCGCAATTTTCAGTTGATCATTCCTGATAAGGTTCCTATACAAGAAAACGGGTAAATGATATGGATATTGTCTAAGATTATTTTAAAGCATTTGATTATTAATAAACTTACATAATAGCTATTTGTATTAGATTTGATTGTGGCATGTGGGTTTGCTTATGGATGATGTACTCAGATGCCATGAATGGATACTGTGTTGGGGTAAGGAAGCATACACTTAATTTTTATTAGTTCAATCACAATAGGATCTCTTGTATTTTTCCTTGTATTAACAAAAAAAAATTTACACAGCCATGTAACGAGGTGGACCGAATGATGTTGGCACTAAAGTTGGTGGGCTGGCCGCAAAATTCGAAGTTGGAGAAAATCCATCGTCATGCTCTTGAACACTCATCTATGTGTAAAGACATGATCCGCAAAGACATGGTACTCATGCATGGAGATGCCAGAATTTGAAGCTGAAACTTTTTGTCACCAGTTTGAAGTTGGAAAGCAGATTGGATCGCTGTTAGGATTATTTGAGTCAAGTTGAATTATTTGCATTTAAACTGGTTTGTTTGAATTATTCGAGTCAAGTTTGGATTATTTGAGGTTAAACTGGATTGTTTGAGTTATTGATTTGAGAAAAAGAGGTTTATTTGCTTAGCATCATATCACAGATTGATTTTTTGGTGGAAAAATATTAAGAGGCGAGACCGAGTCGAGCGACTTGCCATATAGGCCAACCTGGTAGGACGTCAGGTCTCTATAGCCTTTGTTCAGGCCGTGTAACATAACGGGGCCTTCAACTCCAGTGTTCCACGTCTCGAATCGAGGTCCAACATTATGAAAAAATCATCATGAAAATGATGACTCATCTAAATGGAATATCACTCATAAAACCCCTTCTATCCCAGTCTTTAAATTATTACCTCAAACATCAAAGAGTCCTTGGTTTTCTGCCATGTAAAGAATGTTCAGTTGGATCTAAGCAATGAAAATATAGAAACAGAAGGATCCTATCTTGCCCTAACCCAAACTTCGCTTGATATTCTATATTTCTACATGTACTCCACTGTTCTCTTATTCTAATAGCTTTGGCAGGGTAAGTCTTTAATCCGTTGAAGCACTCAAAGCTGAAGAACTGAAAGCTAAGGCAGCTGCTGGTCCAAAACCCTTGGGGACAAATGGATTACTCAAAGAAAGACTAGCAGATGTAGATGAAGGACCAAATGGGTTTGACTGTGCTGTTGGCGGCCTAAAACTTATTGGGCCAGGTTGTTGACCAGAGGGAAGCGCCCCACCTGCAATACATAGGATTTATAAGCAAGATACAGCAATTGACTCCAAGTAACACCAGCAAATTCTACTAGTAATCACCTTTGTCTCCAGATTGATAATCCTCCCATCTTAACTCCTCGTGGCTTTTCTCTTTGTAGACAGGCACAGCTGATATTGACTCTAACTTCTCAGGCTGCCCTCGTGTGGCTTCTGTGTCAGCAGTTCCTATATAGGGCACTGCCCTACTTCCTCCTCGCTGTGTACCAACTGGTGCTTGTCCAAAGCCTGAGCTTGCAAAGCTTGGTGTTGACGGCAGGGACCCTGATGATGTAAAAGGGGGAAGGCAAGATAACTGCCTGGGTTCAAAAGGTACAGTTACAAACTTAATTACAGCCAAAAACTAAGGGAGTAAAGCAAGATCACAGTCTCATGCATCGATCTAAACACATTACTTACCCTCGACTGTTTTCTTTCTTGGTTTTGAAGGTTTCTGGATGCGAAAGAAGTCGACAATTTTGGTCTGGACCAGAGGAAATGCTGTTCCAAACCAATCAACAAACATGCACAAGTAGCATCAGACCCATAACAACAAGTTTAGAACTTTTTCTTCAATTCTTCGCATAAAAAATTTTACTTGAAGTCCACCTATTGAGCAAACCAAATGAACAGCAATCTCGTAGCTCGGTGATTATATTAAAATAAAGCCCCCATCTTTCTTTTGGGTCTAGCTGTGCAGCCTAGTCAATGGCAGGCAAACTAGTTACGGTGACCTTCTCAGGATTCAGATTCAACATGCAGAGCAAAACCCACTTGCCTTGTAAGCTACCTGATTTTTCACCTAGGCAACATAAGTTACATAACTTACTAAATCCCTCGCCATTGAGACAAAGGAACCAAACGATTCGAGTGAAAATTGATGCTAGCACTGCACACATTGCAGCTGTACTGGATCAATACCCAATACCCACAAGAATATTTCAATTCCCGGGTACGATACCAAAGCAGACAGTGCAAAATCATTCGACCAACATCAGTACTACAAGGGCGGAATGCTAAAGGAGGAACAGGAAGCGTTCTGGAACCTCTTCTGGTTAGAGCAAGAAGGGCAGAACCAGGAGCCTTTTGGGACGGAAATGAGAATGGAATGCTTGCTTTACTGGTAGTTTAACATTCAATGCAATAACCTAGGTTCGAACTCTAAAAAGGGAATAAAGGCAAACTAAATCTAAACTGGATCTGGAAACTAATGAGAGAGCTTTTCTAAAACTTTCCCCAAATAAACTAAGTATTTTTGGTATTCTGCCCCCACAACCTAACCATCTTAATTACCCTTTAAGTAGCTTCCTGCGGGAGTTCTGTCAACAATTCCCCCCAACCTTTTGCAGCTGCCTCCTGTCTAAGAGAATCAGTCCAGGCGCCCACATGGAAGAGGATGGAAATCAGCATGCGGCAGGCGATGGTCTGACTAGCGAAAGAGAAGAAAAACGAAACCAGTCAGCCGAAGAAGAAGGTATTGTCGAGGAGAATGGAGATAAAAATGCAGAATCTGATATTGAACCTGACGATAAAATCATCGAAGATGAAGAGACTGAAGTTCTGAAAAATCTTAAGGCCGAGGACGTTATTGGTCGAAAGTTCAACAGTACTGAGGAGGCTTACGATTTCTACAATAAGTATGCAAGAGCTTGGGGTTTTTCGGTGAGACGTGAGAAGAAGACTGAAACAAAAAAGGGGGAAACAACTTCTCGACTTTTTGTCTGTTCTTGTGTGGGGACAAAACGCAAAAGTAAAGACGAGCTACAACGACCTTCACGATTAAATACAAGATTTCAGTGTAAAGCTAGGCTGCGTGTTCAGCTGGACAAGTCAGATTCAAAGTACATTGTTGACACTTTCTACATCGACCATACCCATAATCCGATTCGTCAAAAGTTGGTGCATCATATGAGATCACATCGAGGCTTAGATGAAGCGACTAAAGCTAAAGTTAGATACCAACGTGATGCAGGTATGAAAACCGCTGACATCATGAATCAGCATGTGCACCAGGCTGGAGGCTATGACAAAGTGGGACACACCAAAAAAGATTTACATAATTTTGCCTCTAAAGATCGTGGGGAAAGGATCAGCGAGGGAGATGCTGCCACGGCACTCGCATACCTTAAGTCTAAAATCAGCGGAGACAACCACTTCGTTTTGGAACCTATTTTTGGTGAAGATAAGCGACTTCATAGCATATTTTGGGCAGACAGCATGAGCGTAGCAGATATGGCGTGCTTTGGAGATTTGCTAGCATTTGACAGCACGTACAAGAAGAATGTTTATAACATGCCTCTAGTTGTTTTCTCAGGTGCACATTTCTACCTTATCGTTACTACATTCATTGATGCAAATTATCGTTCTGCTCTATTTTTGGTACATCTGTTGTACTTAATTTGCTGTCTATTAAAATATGCAATTGGATTCTAGGTTTTTAATGTACAAGCAAAACTAAGTCTTTTGCTACTGTAGTAAAGTATGACAGTGCAGAATTTTTTCTCAAAACCAGCTACTTTCAACAAAATTTCAGTAGCTTTCGCTAAAAACACTTAGCTTTTGTTCAAGTTTTGTAATAATTTGCTCGCTAATTTGTTTCCCTAGTCCGACCAATATGTTTGCTCACAAATAATTCAGCAACTTCTCAATTTTGGTATAAAGCTTACATACATTGGTTTTGGCACTAGGTATCAATCACCACAAAAAGAGTTGTATATTTGGATGTGCTCTGCTAGCTAACGAGACTGAGGAAAGTTATGACTGGGTGCTAGGGGTACTGAAGGAAGCAATGAGGGACAAAGAACCTCGTACAGTTGTAACATATGGCGACAAAGCAATGCGCAATGCCATTCAGAAAGTCTTTCCAGACGCAACTCATCGTTTGTGTTCATGGCATATTGCCAAGAATATTGTGAGTCGTTTCAAAAACCACAAAGAGTTCGAACCTGAATGGCAGAAGTTTGTATATGCTGATTATGAGTATGATGAATTTGAAGAAAAATGGGCAGCAATGGTGGAAAAGTTGTCGCTGCATAATTCTAAATGGGTATCGGATTTATTTGGAAGGCGAGGGGAGTGGGCTTACACGTACCTACGGACTTACTTCTTTGCAGGATTGTCAACAACGTCAGTTTGTGAAGGACTTAACTCACATCTTGCAAGGTTTGTAACTGAGGACCACAATCTACTCGAGTTTTTTTATCCATTTTGATCGTTGGATAAAAGAACTAAGGGAAACTGAGGTGAAATTAGATTTTCAATCCAGCTTTGGTTTACCCGAGATAAAACATACAGCCTTGAGGACTCTTGAAGAGAGTGCTGCTAGGGAATTCAGCAATAAGATATTTGGAAAATTTCGAAAAGAGCTAGGCAAAGTTGAGGGTATCAGGAAGAGAAATGTTGAGATAAATGGAGTGTGGCACAATTACCAGGTGACGTTGTTTGGCACAGAAAAGATGTTCAATGTCAGTTTTGATGTTGAAACCAAGAAGATGAAGTGCAGTTGTGCTAAATTTGACTACATGGGAATTCCATGTTGCCATATGCTCTCTGTGCTAAAGGAAGAGAACATACCGACAGTGCCAGAAACTTTGGTATTAAAAAGATGGACAAAGAATCCAAAGACAATAGACGACATGCAAGAGCAACAGAGTATCGATGATCCTAGTCTATTCAGTGTTAGGTACGGGATGCTGCAGTACAGCAACTTTCGCTTTTGCTTTCTAGGGGCAAATTCATCCGAAACTTATAGGTTTGCACAAAAAGCAATGGATAATTTGTGTGACCAGTTAGCGACGATGCAACAGAATCCTATTGAGGGAGGCACGATCCCTATACCAGAGGAATATAAAGGAGTATTAGACCCATTGAAGGTGCCATATAAAGGTGGTAAAACTGGAAAAGGAAAGTCTTTTGGTAAACAGAAACGAAAGTGCGGTAAGTGCGGACGAGATGGCCATTATCAAAGCACTTGTACTAATTCTCCTAGCAACTCACATGATGATGAGCCAACTAACCAACCGGTAAAGGTAAATTTTCTGGACAAATCTTGTGTATTTAATTAGTTGGTAACCATTTATTCTTCTATAAGTATGGCACTAAAACCTAACTTTTTGTTAACGTAGAAGAAGCCAAAACATAGTGCTACCAAGCAGGCTGAAAGTCAGCCCGATAACAACAATCCTGGCCAAAGAAAGGAAGCAGAAGATGTTGATGGTTTGGACGACGAACCTCAAAGGGTAAATTTTGTGAAATCTTATGGGCTTACGAAACAGATTTCATTCATCCTTGATTTTGGTTGTTACAACATTTCCATTTTATGTTACAGAAGATTCCGACCACAAGAAGTGCTACTAAGAGAAAACAAAGCAGCACCAACAAGTGATTTGGAAAAGTGCATCAACTATAGATTTCGAAGGATATGGTTCATTTAAGTTTATGCGTTTCTTTTAGTTAAGTTTGATTGTCGCAAAATTATTTGATCACTTTACGTTATGGATGGTTTAAATTCTATTTAACATTGTGGATTTTTCAGCTAAAGGTGGAACTGATCTTACTTGGAATCATCCAAATGTGATCTTCATTTCATAGTCCAGTAGCCGTCTCATAGTCTAATTACTATTCAAACAGGAAACCATGAGTAAAAAGTAGTAGGAATCTCACCTTAGCCACTGTATAAACGCCAAACAGACTAGTGTCCTTGTAGATATTCTTCTTCCGGTCGATGATTTTCATGCTTCCGTCGGGCTGCCATTCCCCAACATCACTTGTTTGTACAATAGTTGAGATTGAAATTTGTTAGAAACTTTAGTACATTGTTACAGAATCTTGAACCAGAGGGGAATAGTTCACGAACCAGTGTGGAACCATCCTTGTAGAACATGGGCACATGTGACGACTCGAAGGTAAGCTTCAACATGGCTGGCCAGTGGTGCTGCTCCAGATAGGATTAGCCGTACATTTCCTCCCAACCCTTGCTTTACTTGTGAGGAAGAGCAACCAGAGTTAAACACCATAACAGTATTTCGCAATTTGACAACATAATTAGACTGACTTAATAGTTAAGACCAAGCATCATGATTACCTTGCTGAAGACGAGCTTGTCACTGAGTGGAGATGCCTCGTCTGTCTTACTCCCGCCTTTCAAATTACTCAATTTGCTAAAGCGAGAGTGAGATCACCAGTTAGTCAAGAAACAGGAACCAGAATTGCAAGCAAGAATTATGAAATATCCCGTTTTTTTGTTCAAGTTGAGCTCACAAGGACATGCCAATGCTTAAATGTAAGATGAAATCTAGAGATGAAAGACCAGACTAGACAAGTAAACAACACTTACTGGGAGTACGCAAAATTGAACAGTGTCTTCTTCAAGAAGCCCCCAGCAGAGATCTTCTGAGTTAAGCCTTGAAAAATGAGAAAACAAGATACTGTCAATTTGGAGACAAGCAAGATTGTCTAACTATAAGAATACCCCAAATAATCAAAGTAGTGGATTCCGATCATTTCATGGCAACCAAGATCATAAATAAATTAGATAATTAGAAGGCCGCCTTAAGAATTATGCATGAGATTCAGAGCATTATCTGCAAGCTCATCTGCTGATGGATGGAAATGAGGGCGAGTGAAAAGGCTTAACTTCCGTTGAAGCACTCAAAGCTGAAGAACTGAAAGCTGAGGCAGCTGCTGGTCCAAAACCCTTGGGGACAAATGGATTACTCAAAGAAAGACTAGCAGATGTAGATGAAGGACCAAATGGGTTTGACTGTGCTGTTGGCGGCCTAAAACTTATTGGGCCAGGTTGTTGACCAGAGGGAAGCGCCCTACCTGCAATACATAGGATTTATAAGCAAGATACAGCAATTGACTCCAAGTAACACCAGCGAATTCTACTAGTAATCACCTTTGTCTCCAGATTGATAATCCTCCCATCTTAACTCCTCGTGGCTTTTCTCTTTGTAGACAGGCACAGCTGATATTGACTCTAACTTCTCAGGCTGCCCTCGTGTGGCTTTTGTGTCAGCAGTTCCTATATAGGGCACTAAACTAATTATTAAGCAAGTCAGAAAACATAGGATACTGCCACAAAGAATATTGAGATATGGGATCTATTGACAACATTTTTGGTGATCAATCTGAGACCCATTTGTGCATATGAAATGAAATGTAGAGAGAAGATATAAAAACCAAAATCACAGACAAGGGGGACCTGCAGAGATCATAAGCTCTAACAGTAAACTAGCTTGGACTACTATGGTATACAACTTCAAAACGGATTAACACAGCCTCATTGAATTGGAGACGAAGAAATGAAAGCCATGGGGAAGCAGAAAAAACAATCGGAAAACAAGGTAAACATAATCATTGTTATACATACCATATATGTCTATGTGCACAATCACATAATACAATCATCTTATGTCACAGCAACCACAAGTAGGACACCAACAGCATGGGCTTGCTAATACAAAACTAAACTTACCCCCAACTAATGGCGGAGAATTACCGAAAGCAGGAGTGCTAGATACAGAAGACTGTTACAACTGCAATTGAACTCATCATAGAGTTCCTTTACATTCCACATTCAGCATGCAAATTCAGACATAAGTTATCGAAACAATGTATCACGCCATATCAGGTTCATCAACATCAACTCTTCGGACGCCACCAATCTCAGGACAAGTTAATATGCCATGCATCAATTTTATTTGTTTTCTTCTGTAAAGAGTCATGCACCAAAGCTTGCAAGCACAGAATTAAACACATAGCTTTCAACCCTAAAAAGTCTAACAACGCTGATCTGCCTCGTATAAGCATAACTATAAAATAGTCTAGAATACTACAAGCCGCTATCAAAGAGAAAACGAGGATAACAAATTACTGAAAGAAAAACAGTTTCCGGGACTCCATTGACAAGGAATTTGAACCTTGTTGCACAGGATAATGGTTCAAGTAAAAATTGCGATGACCACACATTTCATTCACAAACAAAACTTAATGGAGATTGGATGCAAAATCAGCTGAAATGCAACAAAATCTCATTATCATCAGTCTTCCGTATATACTACAACTGCCTAACCTTTGATTCAGATACTAAAGGCTAGTTTCAAACACAATATAAAGAGCACTAACTACTAAAGAAAAGTAGGTAAGGGTCCACTTACAAGGAATTTGGCGTCCCTAGAGAGGAACAAGACCCTTGTACAATCTGCATGATAACAGTAAAAGACAATGTCAGGAATGTGCCGAGCTGTGATGGATATTAAACAACTCATTCACTCGAAAAAGAAGCAACAGATATTAAACAATTCATTCAGTCGAATAGAAGCACATACCCCAAAGCACCTTCAGATCTCACGAACTTGGGCAGACCATCAGAGAGACCTCTGGCGAACCCATACCGAGTCTGCACTCTAACCTTCACTGTCTCAAACGGGCAAAGAGCAATGTCAGCAATCACCTCAGCAGAGGAAGAACCAGCAAGGTAGATCAAGGTCTTGTACTTGGCAGAATTCTCGGGGCCAGCAATATCAGAGTAGTACTTCTTGAAGAATTCATAGAAGCCAAACTTGCAGGCGCCCTGAGCACTGTAACCAAGGAGAGTAGGCACCCATCCCCTGAAGAAACCTCTTACACCTTGCTCCTTGAGCAACACCCTGAAGCCAGACGAGATGCTCTTGTATTTGGTAGGGTTAATCTGGAAAACAGCAATTCCATACATCTCAGCAAACATTCTTCCTAACACATATCTATAGCATATCAAGGAATCGGAGCGAGAAATTCACACGAAACTATCGAGAACGGCAAACACGAGAAGGGAAGATCAAAATAATTTCCAGATATTCAACCTCAATCGACTTTAATACGACTACTACGAGACCGACGAGACCCTATCCTTCTTTCAAGCCAAAATCAGGCCACCAGTGACATTGCAGTAACTGAATTATTCACTAGGTACCAACTAACAAGAAGAGTGTCAGGAACAACTAAGCTCACCATTTCAAAGACCTATGGCAGCCCCAAAGCTAGATAGAACGAAAGCAAACCCTTCATACAATCGCTTCAATCTTCCTAACTTATAATGAAGTTTGATTCACATAATGGGTAAATAGAATCCAAAAGCAAACCAAATTGAACACAATTCCAAACGGGACAAAAATTATAGAAAAAGCGAATCACTAACTCGTTTGCAGCCATCGCCGGCATCGTCGAACCTCTAGATCGAGCCAGGGATTTGAAACCCCAGGTGCTTCTCCGCCAATTGGATATACTCGGATACTGGCTGACCCACTGCGCCGCTCTATCTCTCGCATCCTCTTCCCTAGCTGCAAAATTTGAAGCAAGAGTTAGGATGATAAAAGAAACCCCGTATAAACGGAGAGATTCAAACACGAGAGTCGATATCAGTCGAACAAGAAAAGTAAGGGGAGATATAGGTTTACCGTGGCAGACCCAAGAGTGGAGGCCGTCGGTGATGGAGAGGTCGAAGCGACCCTCGAACGACGTTCCCTTGACGAAGACTGGTTCGCTCGCAGGGGTGTAAATCTCGAGCTTCATGCATGTGTGCCTCGTCCCCGCCGCCGCAGTATCCATTCTTCTCCACCATCACCATCTTCTTCTCCGCCGTCGCCGTCTTCTTCTTCGCCGTTGATGGAGATTAGCAGAGCAGTCAAGAGGGTTTTGAGAGACCAGAGAAGAGATGCGTAGAGGTAAGGGATCAGAATTTTTTTTTGGAAATGATCAGATCTTTCATTTCCCTCTTTGAGAAAAGGGCCGGTCGAAAATGTGGAGGGAATTTTTTAGTTCTCAAATTTTGATTGGGCAAAAAATTGGAGGGATTTTTCCCTCTTAAAATTTTAGTTGGATAATTAATTGTTTCTGGTCATTAACAAAGGAAAGATTCATCATATTTTTTTTGTTATTCTTCTTCATAATTAAATATGGTAAGTTATTTTTTCTTGATTCTTTATATTATTTTTAGCATGAAAATAGGTTTCATGCCTACATGTTGTGATTAGAAAACTCTTTTCTTGTAGTGTGTATATCACATTGTAGTATGAAGAAGAACCCTAAACCCTAAACCCTGAACCCTAAACCCTAAACCCTAAACCCACTCATTCCACATGCTCTTGCTCGTTCTAATTTCGTTCCATGAATCACTGTTGAATGGGGATAATAGTGGAGTCAAATGACCGAGTCACTTTACAATATAAACTATGTAACCAAAGCAATCCACAAGACATTACTAAGTTAGTTGGCGAGCTATATATGAAGTCACTCATGAACTACTACCCTAGTTGGCTCGAGGTTCACAACTTCGAGTCGTCGTATGATGCAAACTCAAATGTCAATCTTTCTTAACAACATTAAATGGGTTTGGCCAACCTTTCAACTTTAGTTCCAATTGTTCTTTAACTATGCTCGTTAAACATTAAAAGAAACGGTTATATAACAGTCATTGTGATAAGATCGGGAGCTTGAAAAGTCTTGTTTTAAACATTAAAAACATTCGAAGTAAAAGGATCGGGAGCCTGAAAATCTTGTTTTAAAAATATCACCACAATATGTATTGTAAGGAAAACATAGTATTTTAAGTCATACAATTAGTTCGGCAATAATGTGTGTGGACAATTGGATGTAATGTCGAGTATCAAAGCAACGTTCAATGATATCGCCACTCATTTAAGTTTTTAGTTTTATGTGGGGTAGAAAAGGTTCTCAATGGTATTATGGTTTTGTTTTGGCTCTAAAACTCAAGATTCTTAATTCGAAACAACAAATCGGCAAAGAAGGCTACATCGGTTGTGATTTGTTGTGTGACAAGTGAGTATAATGAAGAGAACATGATCCTTAACATATTTTGGTCTCGAAGATTATTAAAAGTGAGTCGTGAAGCCCATTACAAGTACCTGAACCCAACTCACTATCTTCTTCCTTGTCAGTCGCCACTATCGTATGCTTCTTCTTACCCACACAGTAAAACCCAAAACCTAGCACGACCCAAAATACATAGTCAAGGACCACCTTTCAAGACAGGGTGAAGCAAGGATTCCATGTTCGGAGGGGCCGTAAAATGTCAAACAAAATAATAAAATATTAAATATGATTTGCTATATGCAAAGTACACAATGCTATTTGGAATCAATCAAGTCACTCAAAATAGCGTTTAACCAAAACGTGTTCACTAATATCTCATTCATTATAAATAACAAGACTACTAACGATAGAGCCATCACTCTTTTCATTATAAAAAACTCATTCAATACCAGCCGTAACGACTATAAGAGTCTGACCCAGATGAAACATATAATCAACGAATCAAAGTCAGTTGACTTCCCAGAGCATTCCAAACCACGATACAGTGGAAGAAAGCTCGGAAGTTGGGAGTCATCGTCGTTGGTTCTTCTTTCTGTCATCACCGACGTTGATTCTGCGTCCTCTATTTGGTAAGCTAACGTTTTGGATGTTTTAAGTTAAATCTCTAAAACCATGCTTTTAGTGAAATAGATGCACAATATGATAGATTCACTAAATCATTATGTTTAAAAGCATCAACACAAAAGTTATTCAACGGAATCGTCAATCTATAATTTTACTTTCTAAAAAAAACGAGAGAGTAATACTTTTTTTTACAACAAAGGGTAATACTTTCTTGAAAGATTACGTATAATATTAATGTCGACGCCATATTAACATTTAAAAAAAAGAAACCTGAAACTAATAAACCAAAATTCCCACACTAATCTCTAGTAATCAGTTCACAATTCAATAATTGGGCACAAAAGAAAATAAAGAAAACTTACAAGCAAAAACAAAAATTAACTTGCGGTTACCAGTAATCGAACCCCGATCTCACGATTGCAAGCTAAAATCCACACCAATGCGCCATTAGTTCTTTCGTGTTTCATTCTTGCCAATGACTAATATTATACGTTTTAATTTGTTCATAAATTTCAGGGCCCTCAACATCGCTGCACTGTCTTCGTCCCTGTTCCCAGAAATCTGGCTATTCTTCCCCAAACCCAGAAATCGAACGACCAGGCATCGCCATAAACTCTCCTTCATATAGTTGCATCGTCGAATTCAATCTTCGTCGGGGTTGTGGGTGGGTGGGGGGGGGGATGGAGGGTGGATGAAGAGGCCGACGGCGATTAGAGAGGATTTCGATTCAGACGTATGCAGGGGATGAATAGCGGCGATTAGAGAGGATTTCGATTCAGACATATGCAGGGGAAGAATAGCACCAGGAAAGAGAACGAGTGGAAGAGGGAAGAGCGGAGCTCGACGAATTCGTCGTCCCCGGAACCGCTGGGTTCTTGCTACCAGTCGATGACCTTCGATCGCATCCGACGCGGAGTGTCGAATTCAGTGGCGGAGGCCCGAACTAAGAACGCGCTGCTCTTGAGCGGAGCTGGAGTCGCCGCCGGATCATGAAATCCCTCCGGAACCGACAGCACCTGCACGGAATTGGTGATCGAGATTGCTCTAGACGATTGAGTACTTCAAGACAAGGTCTAGCCAGTACAGCTCACTGCTCACGTATACGAACTAAAGAGACAGCTGGATGGAGGATTCCCTGTTCCTATTTCGACGAAATTGATGGCTGAAGGCGGGGAACCCAGCTCCCGATTGACCAGTGACGCTCGAGTTTTTGCAAAGGGGATTTGGCGATTGGGGATCTAAAGTTTATGACGGCCGATCTGAATCAGAGGAGAAAGAGAGTTCAAGGAACATAGGATTTACAAGTAAAAACCTCACTCTCACCTCTGCTGAAAAAGATGAAGGAGATGGAGATGAGATGAATGAAAGAATAACGACAAACTGGGTTCTAAATTGTAGTCGGTAGGAGCAGACGAGCAGTGGTTGTAGTTGTAGATAATTCTAAACTTGGAAAAAATCCCAAAGTACACTAGTTTTTAAAAAAAATTCCCAAAATACATTAGTTATAAAAAAAATTCCAAAACTACACATGTTTGAGCATCACCGTTTTTGTCTAAAACGGTGAAGGTCATCACCGCGTTTGACAAACACGGTGAGTACTTCACCGTTTTAAACTAAAACGGTGAAGGCTTCACCGCTTTTGTTAAAAACGGTGAAGTACTCACCGTTTTAATTTAACACGGTGATGCCTTCACCGTTTTAAACTAAAACGGTGAAGGCTTCACCGTTTTTCTAGGACGCGGTGAAGTTGCTGACGTGGCAGACACGGGGTATTCACCGCGTTAGACAAACACGGTGAATAACCCGTGTCTGCCACGTCAGCGATCCGCCTCAGTGTGCTTTCACCGTGGCCGTTAGATGCGGTGAGGCGCGGATCGTGGTTTTCTTCCCACGATCCGACGCCTCACAGCAAGCCACGTGGACGGGGAGCCGGTTTTGGGGAAGGACAGTCCTTCACCGCGTTCATCAAACGCGGTGAATGCTCCCCCACATTTACTGCGCAGCAGCTCCTCCCCCCCTTCCCCCAACTATAAATACCCCCTTCCCCTTTCACTTTCAACTCACCCCACAAACATTTCACTTCTTTCTCCCTCAATTTATCCGCTCTAGTCTCGTTCTAAGTATGCTCTGTGGTTGCGGCTAAGTCCGATCTTCCACATCAGAAAGAATTACTAGAGTTTGACCCTAAAGCCCCCGTCCCGCTAAGTTCCCGTCCCTTACAAAGCTAAACCCGTCGAACCTCTGTCCGGCTTCCGCCAATAATGGACGAAGAGGCTCTTCGTGTAGGTTTTTTGGTTTGTGATTTTTTTTAATCGAAACAATTTGATTTATTTTTTATCAAAACAATCTCTGATTATATTACTTTTTTATAGATGGGTGCCGAGATATACGATCCTCGATTGTATATCCATTATGGCCCAAGGGATGCGAGTCTCTTAACCGATCAAGAAATGCATCGCTCCCGTGCCATTTGGGATAACAATCCGGTAATTTGATGAACTGACTTGCTTTATTTTATTATTTTCTAATGTTTTATTTTGCTTTATTTAATCTAATTAATTGATGTTTTTCCTATTTTTTTTAGGAATCTCTTGTTCCCGTGGTTCATAAAGGGACCAATAACTTGCCCGCTTGGCATCCAAGGTTGGAGCCCTATATAGCGAGGACCGGTTTGGGAATGTTGCGCCATTTCTTGCGGATCGAGATCGACAACGAGCTGCTTACGGCAATGGCGTCCCGAAACTCATACATTCCACCTTGCGGAGGGGGAAATGACGATCACCCTCAAAGACGTGGCGATCCTCACCGGGCTTCCTATATCTGGAGATGCCATCATTGGGAACACGACCAAACCCGGAGGAGGTTGGGGGCCGCTCATCCGTGATCGTTTGGGCTTCGACATGCCGACCACCACACCAAATCAAGGACGGGGGCATCCACCGTTGAATGCGGGGCAAGTGTCGGTCCCGTGGCTGGTATCTCACATCCAGCAAGAGGTGGAAATCAATGACGAGACACCGGAAGAACAAGTCGAGCGCTACGCCCGCATCTACCTCATCGGTTTGGTGGGTGGATTTTTGTTCCCCGACAAGTCCAACCGGTGGATTCAAGGCATATGGTTGCCATTGCTCACCGGTGACTGGGATGCAATTGGAGAGAAGAGTTGGGGATCGGCCGTGCTAGCGGGCGTATACCGGGAGCTGTGTACTTGCTCGAGGGTTGGGGCAAAGCAAGCTGGTGCTGCGATGTTCATCGTTCAACTGTGGGTATGGGAGCATCTTCCAATGTTCGCACCTCTCGACCCACGTCCATACCGGAGAAACGATGATGAGCTCAACCTTCTGCAAAATCTCCCCTACGGTGTCAAGTAAGTTTATTCCGTACTTAGCCCAATTTAAATTTTATTACATGCTTGAGCTAGATTTAAATTGAATTTATTCCGTACTTAGCCCAATTTAAATTTTATTACATGCTTGAGCTAGATTTAAATTGAATTTATTCCGTACTTAGCCCAATTTAAATTTTATTACATGCTTGAGCTAGATTTAAATTGTCTGCACTTCCGTACTTAGCCCAATTTAATTTTTATTACATGCTTAACTAGATTTAAATTGAATTTAAATTGATTCCGTACTTTTACTTACAAGGTGGATAGGAGCAAATACGAATGACCATCAGCCTGAGCATTCGTTACTGTTTTATCGTTCTGAGTTAGATAAACCATGGTGGAATCAGGTAATCATGTTTTGTCCATATTTGAACAAGATCAATTTTATCAAAGTAAATGGTCGTTAATTCCGAATTTTTGTGATTTTAGGTTATATGGGATCCATATCCACGTGAAGTGGTTGAGCTGCATCATCTTAGGCACCCTCTGGATCACCAGACGTGGTTGTGCAAGGTGCCATTGATCTGTTGGCACATTGTGGAATGGCACCTACCCGATCGATCCCTGAGGCAGTATCGAATGGAGCAACCAATTCCACAAGACCCGCCAGCAGGTTTCAGGGAGCTACATGCTATGGACCTCCGAAACAATGCAAACTGGACGCTAAAGCATGGATTCTACATCAACATCTGGGAGAATCGATCCCAATGGGTGGTGCAAGGGATGCCGGAGACGAGACCGATGGGCTACCACGATGGGTACATGCAGTGGTATCGGAAGTTCACCCTGAGATGGGTGTCAAAGCAAGGTGCTGTGATGGGTTCGGTGGTAAGTCATCCTAATCTCCCTCATTCTTAAATATATTTATTTTAATGTTTAGTTAATTTGATATATTTTGTGCTTTCCTTAGGTTGATGGTTTGGAACACGCAAAGTACACTCTCGAAAGTGCTCCAACCATGGATGAGCGGAAGACTACTTGGTTGACCCGACTTATGAATAACCTCCTGAGTTGCACCAGAGAGCAAAGGAGGGATGTCGTGGCCTATCCTCCCGTTCCTGCCCCGGCACGACCCTCATTCCGTGATGATGCAGCCATTGTGCCCCCGGTTGAGCCCCCACGAAGGAGCAAACGCAGGCCTTTGCCTACGTTCGAAGAGGTGCGTACCACTCAAGAAACCGAGCTCCCCGAACCGTTCGAGTACCAGTGGGCACCTACAGCGGATGCCGGTGGAGGCTCATCGAGTCGTGGAGGATCTCAGGAATGGGACACTTTCTCTCATGGGTTCTCTCAATTCCAACATCAGCAACAAAGTTCGATGTTTCAGACCCCGCAACAACAAACTCCGATCATTCGTCAAGCTACCGCTCCAACTCAGCCACCACCACCACCATATGTAACCCCAGTTAGGGCTCGGGTCAAGAGAAATCCGCGACCAGCCGTTGAGCGAGCCCGCCAAGAAGCAGCGGCGGAGGGGGGAAGAAGGGGTCGAGGACGTCGTGGAGGACGAGGAGGAAGAGGTGGAGATGGGGGCCAAAATGAAGCAAATTAGTGAATTTATCGTTTTATCATTGTAGTGAACTATCAATGTTGTTTTTGTGATTTTTAGGTGTTGTTATTTGAGTTTGCATTGTCTAAAAACTATCCTACGCACTTAAGTTGTCGAATGAATTTTCTGGATCATTTTATCAAGAATCAGTATCTTCCCTCAACACAAAAAAGTTGGGCAAATTAACCACGATCGCATAGAATTTTACAGATCCCAATTCCGAGTCCAAACGAGTGAGATAAGTGACGTCAAAGCGTGATCGTATCGTTAAAGTAACTTTTGCGTACTATAAACTAAAACGCCCGTATCTTATTCGTTTGAGGTCGAAATAACGAGCCGTTTGCGGCCGCGCGATCGTATCGACAAGGAAAACATTTTTGATTTAACAAAATACTTGGACTTCAAATGCAAACGTTAATTAAAAATTAAACAAGCGATCAATTTAGTAGCAGAATACAAGTAAATGCAAATTAAGTTGATGGTTGTCCTGGGCAACGCCTCTTGTCGTGACCAGGTTGTCTGCACTTAGAGCATTGCTTCGGTCCCCTTCTCGTCCGTTCAACTTGATCCATCTCATTGTGTATCCTTTCAACTCTAGGACGGCCTTTGGTGCGTTTTAGGTGCAACGGTGGGATAATCAACTTTCCAGCGTATATAGGCCAATACGCTTCATCTGGCATGGGGCTCAAAGCTGCATTATATGAGTTCCGTATCGCTTGTTCAGTGTAGTAAGGACTCACTAGGCTGTTTCTGTTCATGGTTATTGACTTAGCAACCGCCATTGCATGTGAACAGGGTATCCTTTCGTTCTGATACTTTTGACAAGAACACTCCCCTAATTCGTAGTGCAATTTGACCGTTTGACGATTGTGACCACGTCTCCCTCCACCCCATATACCTGTTTCGACAGCGAATATTCCTTCACTGCGGTTAAAAAGAACAACCTTATGCTTACTTGATTTTTCATCGTTCTTCTGCATTTGAGCGAATACGTCATGTGCTATTGAATGACCTTGCAACTCCCTCCCTATAGCTAGCTGTAGCCGAGCAACTCGCCACTCGTTGACCTTCCAATAAGACATTTCCACGATGACAGAAATAGGCATCGCTCGAAGACCCTTGTACACATTATTTATACTTTCTCCATGGTTGGTAGTTGCAATGCCCCATCTAGCCCCGTTGTCCATATGGAACGTCCACATGGGCAACTCTTGACCTTCAGCCCATACTGCTCCAGCTCGGTGGGTCTGACGGATCGTTTTCATGATCTGCTCGTACTTTTTTGGTTGATGTGCAACCGCTAAAAGGTGAACAAAAGACTAACTGGTCAATACATGATGAATAACATCAGCTTATCAGCTTAATAAACACAAACTTAAATCGCATAAGAAAAACATGAGTACCTGCATTCCAAAGTAGATTTTTGATGTCTTTCTTCTTCCCAAATTTTTGTTGGAAATTGGCGAGCCAGTGCCGAATACACCATCTCCATCTCCACCCCCACTCGTCGGGAAAACCACCAACAGCATTCCTTATCCCCGCATGTCGATCGGATATAATCGTAATATCTTCCCGCTGTGTCACGTGTTCGTGCAGTTGGTCAAAGAACCAAGCCCAACTTAAACTGTTCTCCCCTTCCACTAATGCAAATGCAAGCGGGAAAATTCGCCTGTTTCCATCAACGCCAGTGGCAATTAGAAGACATCCTCTGTACTTCCCAGTAAGGAAAGTTCCGTCAACCTGAATAAAAATTTAGGATATAATTAGTATGAAATATACTTAACAGCAAATAATACAACATTTAAAACCGGAACTAGTTGGTAAAATACCTGAATAACCGGTATGCAGAACCCAAAACCGTCAATGCATGGTTTAAAAGCCCAAAAAAGACGATGGAACATCAGCTTATCCTGTACTCGAACTTGATCCTCAGTGTATACATTGTTGTATACTGGGACGAAAACAGTCCCAGGATTGGACTCCTCCATTGCTCCCATAAGTCTAGGGAGTAAAGCATACGAATCCTCCCAATCACCATACACCTCAGCCATGGCTTTCTGCTTACCATGCCATGCTTTTTTGTACCTTATCGTGTAAGAATGTCGATCCTTCACCTCTGCCATGATAGCTTTCACCTTGATATCTGGTTGTGCTTCTATAAGGTGCTTAATAGTTCTCCCAACCTTCTTTGCTTTTAGTTGCCTGTGATCTTGGGAAAGTATAGAAGAGGAGCATGTGTGGATCGTCTCAGCTTTGCGAATCACCCAAGCACCCTTTCTCTTCATATTTGCAGCCCGCAGTTGCCACGTACAACCCTCTGCATCATGCTTGCATATGACATGTAATTGTTTACTGTCAGAATATTTTACCTTCCACTCGAAATTGCGCCTCAATGCCTCTTCTGTAAATGCATCCTGCACAGCGTCTTTCGATGTGAACGCCATACCCACCTCCAGATTGGCCGTCGGATTGTACACTGGCATAGGGACAAAGTCGGGGGGATCATTCTGACTATGTAAAAATTGAGTTGGAACCTGTGTGTAATATGGCGTGGGTGCCTCACGAAATGCCGCCTCATCCTCGTTATCATCAGTATCTTCCTCCTCCTCGCTCACTGATATCAAATCTTCCTCAGTATCCTCGTCGCTTGACTCGAATGGATAGCTCGAGCTAGAAGGATCAACATGACCACGATCACCAACATCGTCCTCTCGCTCATGTGAAGTACGCCCTGATCGAATGGTATTCTCGATTCCATATCACTCTGGCCCCCAAGCAGGCCATTGAACACCATCGGCCTCAACAAATGTGGCTGGTTTAGGAGGTTGCGAGTATTGGTCCCATCCTGCACTACTCGATCCACCGTAGTTGATTGAACCACCACCCTCCCCGTAACCTCCTGTATAACCACCGCCTTGGTAGTTGCTCGAACTACCACCCCATTCGTACCCTCCTGCAAAACCATCATCATAAGAATACTGGTGAGAATGAGATTCACCGAGCACCTCGGTCTCAACATACACCTCTGCAAGCCGGACTTGGTTATCGCTTAGGAACTGTAACATCATCATAACCGCGTCATCATCGTTTATGACAACTTCTTGGAACACGACCCCGCCAGCACTCATGTCTGGATACCGGTAAGTAATTTTGCCAAGTCTCGTCTGTCCGCTCGTACAAACCCTTTCTGCACAAAGATCATAGAGTTCTTGAAAATTGAATCGGGATTCAATTTTCAGCATAATGGATTCGCCGTCCTCATAATCAATGCCTATGTCAGAGTTTATCACCCTTCCATTCCACCGAATAGTAAGATGAAACTTCTTGAATTTACCCATATCTACAATTTACAATAAGTATCTATTAGCTTAAAGACAGTAAAATTAACCAAAATCATACTGTACAACTAATATTAAATCATACCATAACTAACGAAAATAAATTCAACTAACTAACAACAACATAATACGAAAATTAAATCATACTATAACTAACGAACATAAGTTCAACTAACTAACAACAACATAATACGAAAATTAAATCATACTATAACTACTAAAAACATAATTAGACCATAATACGAAAAGTCTCAACATACCGAAAAATTTTTGTTCTGTGTATTATGCTCGATTTTGGCTGCTGAAATTTGAAGAAAGGGGAGTGGTTATGTTTTTACAACTGCTGGTGGTGTGGTATTTATAGGAAAATCTGCCTACTATTCACCGTTTTTGTCAAAAACGGTGAACACTATCACCGCGTTTGTCTCAAACGGTGAATAGGTGGTAGCTGCGACCTAATTTTGACCTACCAGGGGTGGGAAACGTGGGAAATGATCACCGCGTTAGTTAACAACGGTGAAGGCTTCACCGTTTTTGACCAAAACGGTGATGTGTTCACAGTTGTTAATTAACGCGGTGAAAACTTCACCGTTTTGGTCTGAAACGGTGAATACTTCACCGTTTTTGTTTAAAACGGTGAAGTATTCACCGTGTTTGTCAAACGCGGTGATGATCTTCACCGCGTTTGTCTAAAACGGTGATGCTCAAACATGTGTACTTTGGGAAATTTTTTTATAACTCATGTATTTTGGGAATTTTTTTTAAGAACGTGTGTACTTTGGGATTTTTTCCTCTAAACTTTAGGTGTTATAAACTAATGATTTGGAGAAAAGAGTACTATGATTCATATAATTACAAGTTAAAGGATTAATTTGAGCGTAATGCACTATAAAAATTGATATGAGACTAAAATGTATACAAGAATAATTGAGTGAGTATGATTGTAATTATATTTATTACTAATAATTAATTGATTATAATTAAGTTAAAAATAATTAATAATTAATTAATAGGTGTGAACACAGGCGTACGCCATACACCAGGTGTACGCTAGCCTTTGCCATATATATATATATATATATATATATATATATATATATATATATATATATATATATGTATGTACATAAATGAATAGATAAAGAATCAAAGAGGACAAACAAAGGTATCTGTTGGGCCAAGTATTGGAATACAAAGCCCACAAAGAAGTAGACTAAGCTGTTGTGGTCTCACATACACACCACGAGGAGACCGCCCGACAATGATGTGCAGACATACTGACAAAACCACCCGACACAGAGGACTGACGCTCCTCTGATCTCTTCCGGACAGACAAAGTCAGACATCCGTACTGACGCAACATTTAATGAGTCCAGAAGCATCCTAGGTCGCCTGACAGGACATTAATGCCTCGGTCCAAGTCAGAGTTAGTATAAATAGCCCCAAGGGGGCAACATTTATGATAACTTCTATCTACTCGATTCTCTCTCTTATTTACAACACATTCACTTCTCTGTCTAACTTTGGCATCGGAGGAGGTCTCAGGATTCCCCTGAGGACCTTTCTTGCAGGATTTCGGAGATCGCTCCTCGTATATCGAAAGCCATACAAGGTTGGTGAAGTCTCACAAAACCACCTGGTACGATCCAGGCACAAACATATTGGCGCCCACCGTGAGGCCTCGCGACTTCTTTGCGGAGAAGATGGGAGACGATTTCGATTCAAAGGGATGACCGAGAACAACACCCTCTGAGGTCTGTCGCCAAGATTCGAAGACGAGACCGAACTCGAGGAGGTAGTCAAGAGCCAAGGTATGCAAATTGCGAGCATGCAGGACAACCTCTCCCAAATCCTACAACTCTTGAAGACAAGAGAAGAACCCGTTGAGGGTTCGAGGGGAAAGACGCGTGAAGAAAAGCAGAAGACCGCCCACGTCCTCGACAACCTTGCTCGGACAAAAGGCGGAGGACTAGAGGCGGAAGACGTAGACCTCAGGTTTCTTGAGGAGCACCTACGATCGACCTACAGGAAACACAAGAGCTCGAACGTTCTTCAAAACCCCCTATCGAGGGAGTTATTCAAGACCATGGTCCCGCCTAACTTCTCCTCTCTCGGGTTGCCCACGTACAGCGGGACTTCGGATCCTGCGGACCATCTTTGCGCCTTCATGCTAAAGATGTAGCTCATTGACGCGCCAGACTCAGACTTGTGTCGGGCATTCCCTGTCACCTTCAGCGGTCAGTGCCAGGCGTGGTACACCTCACTCTCGGAGAGGATAATTGGAAACTTTGAACAATTTGCGAAGCTCTTCTCCACAAAGTTCGCATCCCAAAGGCTTCGTAGGCTCACAGTCTCAGCTCTCATAAATTGTAGACAAAGGAAGGAAGAATCGCTCGGGAGTTCTACGACCGATGGAACGCGATCGCATGCGAAATACAAGACATCTCCTTGGTCGTAGCCGCCGACAACCTCAGAATATCCACAACCAGCATCGTGCTCAAAAGGATCTTGATAAAAAAGGAAGTCACCCTAACGTCATGGTCTGATCTAGATCAGTTGGTGCGGCGAGCAATCTTGCTCTACGAAGCATTGGCCACCAACGACCGGACGCAGCAAGGTCGCCCCCGAGCTTACCCTCAAGAGCGAGGAGACGCTCGACGTGGGAGGAGCTCCTCAGAGCGAAGGTCGTATCGTAAAAGATACACAAAGCGCGATGGCAAAAGGGAAGTATTTTCTACTGATCGAGAAAGAGGAAGAGAAAGACGAAAAGGAGGAAAGAAACATGAGACATCCTCTGGACAAGAACCGCAAGACGGAAAGAAGCGGTGTGACTGGTACCAAATCACCACTCATGACACCATAGAGTGTCGGGAGTTCAAAGCCAGCCTAAGATATTTGGCGCCAGGAGACCTACGAAGCTGCCTCGAGACAAGGCGTCTTTATCGAGACCATTCTCAAGAAACGCGAGATGGCTCCCGTAGCCCCGACATATATAAAGCAAAAAGGTCGAGAAAGGAAATATCAAGATTCCCATCAAGAAACAAGGTCATCTCTCCACAAAGGCAGTCTCCCGCCTACAGACCTCCGCGCAATGATGACAACGGAATGGAGATCATAACCATTGCGAGGGCAGAAAGCGTCCTAGATCCGAGGGAGACTGCATAGCTCACTGCCTCAGCGTCCAACGAAGAGTGACAACCGATGTCACCTTCTTGCCGTCCGAATTGGTCAAGGAGGAAAATACAGAAGACCCTTTGGTCATCTCGTTCAGAACCGCCAAGTTCAAGGTCACTCGAGCCCTCGTAGATAAAGGGAGCTCCACATACATCCTCTTCTACTTAACACTCAAAGGAATGAAGAAGAGCGTTCAAGACCTCAACCCATCCAACACTAGTTTGGTAGGGTTTTCAGGAACTAATATTCGCGTCCTCGGGTCAATCACACTCAAGGTCACCATAGGCGAGGGCGGGATCACCAAGACTAGGCCAGTGTAATTCCACGTAGCGGATTGTCCTTTGACGTACAATGCCATCCTAGGACGTGGTTTCCTTGCTTCATTCGAGGCAATCGCGTCCACGTGCCACCAGATGCTGAAGTTCCCTAGTGGAGGAAAGACGGGGCACGTCCGAGTCAACCCAAAAGAAGCCAAGGAGTGCTACCAGGCAACCGTTGAACATCTCAAAGTCGACCTCATCGATGCAATGCAAGAGAGGATGTCCCACGCCCCAAAGCTGTCGAGGGAGACATAGTGGTGACTTTAAACGAAGAACGACCAGACAAGACGGTCCATATTCCGGCTCACTTGGTCGCGGAAGAAGCCCAAAAGCTGCTCACGCTCCTCAGAGAGTTCCAAGACCTCTTTGCGTGGGGACCAGAATACATGTCCGGCGTCCCCCACAGGGTCTCCGAACACCACCTCTCAGTCAAGCACAAAGCGCGACCAATATACAACATTGAAGAAGCCACTTGTCAGTAGAGAAATAAATGGCTCTGGAAGAATAGGTGCGGCGACTACTCATAGCCGACTTCATTAGGGAAGTAAAATACCTCACATGGCTCTCAAATCCGGTCTTTGTACGCAAGGCAGGGGGCACCTAGAGAATGTGCATCGACTTCACCATCCTCAATGCACCATGCCCCAAGGATGCGTATCCTCTTACCCGCATTGACCGACTAATTGATGGAACTGCTAATCATGAGGTGCTCAGCTTCTTGGACATGTTTTCGGGATATCATCAAATCCGAATGGCTGAAGGCGACCAAGAGCTGACTGCTTTCATGACGCCCATGGGAAACTTCTACTATGTGGTCATGCCCTTCGGGTTGAAAAATGCGGGAGCAACTTACCAAAGAATGGTTGATGCGGTCCAGTCCCTATGTTACTAGGACTCGGACTCCTGCTTTTTTTAGCAACAATAACAAAGCATCATCATATATGGACTTTTACAAGCATTTTGTTTTTTTAGTGTAGTTCTTACTTCATTCACTTTTCCACTTCCCTTAGTCGAACTCTATGTCTACACCTTTGCCAAAAACCCTTCTTTGTGGATATCTTCTACATTCTTTGCCATCTTTCATCATCCACTTGATCGACTGTCCCTAAAAAAGCCAAGGGTAATTAGTACAAAAGGTTACGAACCTTTGCACTTAGTACCAAACGGTAACAAATCTTTAATTTCTAAAAAAATGGTCACAAATCTTAGAGCGAATATCAAAATGATAATTCTGTCACCTTCCATCCAAAAACCCGTTACTTATGTCCAGTCAGCACTCCACATCACTTAAAATATTATTACAAAAATCAATGACAATGGATCAAACCAAACCCGTAATTGAAAAAAAGAGTCGACCCATTCACTTCCCCTGCTCGACGAGCGCATCACCGTCATCTCCCGCCTCCCCTACCTGGCGCTAGAATTGTCGTCGTCTCCCAACTCCCCTCCGAACTGTACTCCTCTCCCACCTCCCCTGCTCGGCGCTCGAATCACCGACGTCTCTCACACACTCCCTTCTTTATCGTCGAACTCCCTTCCCTCGGTCATTGTCGACCAGAAATTGCAATAGCTGCCGATTGATTTCCCTGGACACCGATTATTTTCTCTCTCATCGTCGATTCAACACATCGGCCGACTATCTGAAGAGGAAAGTTGACTTCTGGATCGCGAACTTGGGGGTTTACTGGTTGCGATTCACCTTTTCTCCTATGTAGTGGGAGAAAGGTGTTAACCCAATCAGTCTCTCATCTGTCCCCATAATTGTCAATTGGTGGGGGATAAGGGGATATATTGGTGTCGTCTTTTAGATTCCCAATTTGTGGCCGCCAAAATTTTTGGTAGTCAGCGCAGGGGGATTGGGGATAGTTGGAGCAACGGGAACAAAAAAATAGTTTGTCGGGGAGGGGACCATCAGCGCAGCCGACGCTCGCCATTCCTCCTTGAGAAAACCGGGATCACGGCGGGGGCGGCGAAGGGGATCGACGTCCTTCTGCGCGGTCGACTTCTTTCTCTCTGTCGAGGCTACGACGATTCTAGAATGAGACGAGTTGATGGCGATTGGCAGCGGATGGTAAGGGGCAGAAGAAAAGTGAATGGTTCGGTTCTTTGCTAAATTTCGGGTTTGGTTTGATCCGGTTGAAATGAGTTTGTTATTAATTTTTGTATTAATATTTAAAGTGACGTGTTGTGCTTACTAGATAAAAGTAACGGTTTTTTTGGATGGAAGATGACAGAATTACCATTTTGATATTCTCTCTAAGATTTGTGACCGTTTTTTTACAAATTAAAGGTTTGTGACCGTTTTGTACTAAGTGCAAAGGTTTTTGACCTTTTGTGCTAATTACCCAAAAAGCCAATGTCACCTAGTCTTCTAAGCCATAAAGCTATGGGCTAAGCGGGTATCGAACTCATACCTTCTATGCTTTGTTCCTATGATTGGAAAATGGAACCAAATCACTAACGCAACACCAAATATTTAAAATCAATTTCAAACCATCTCAGAGTGGTTGTAACAATTCGAATGATCCCACTACATCAGGACCCTTTTGACGTTGCACAAAAGCCATTACTTTACGTTCAACTAGCACTAAAAAGGCTACTCGTAGTGGAAATGGTATAATTATTCCAAGTACCAAAGAACGAGAGTCGGCTTTTGGATCTCTCCTTCCCCCAAGGAATATCTTACGAGCCAAAAAATCAAAATAAGAGGCTTTGCCTTGGTCTTTATAGTGCACGAGTCGGGTGGTGTGAATGAGAAAGTGTTAAGTGAGCTTTTCTATAATAGTTGATTTGCCACATTGTTGAATAACAACACCTTTCTTATTGCACTGCCAACCTTTTGGACTCGCATATTCTCCCTTCTTCGCAGTTCTATCTCCTTTCCTCTTCCCATTCAAAAGGGTCCATTCTAACCGGCTTGAATTTAACAACAACTGAGTCAATAGCCGGGGATTCAAGAATAGTACAAAAGTATTCGGTTATTGGGGGAAAATCAATATACTTCTAATGTCAAATCGGGATCAACTAGGACAAAAGTAAAGCATTGGGTCGAACTCTTATTTGGTGTAAAAGATTACGATCACGTAACAAGGGTCGGAAGTACAGTAAACTTGGCCAAAATATGACACCCGACGGACCCTCCCCTTCTTCTTCAGTAAAGCCCGATCAATCGTATGAAATCATAGCATCAATTGGAAGAATCAACATAGGAAGGTGAAGAGCAAGATTCCCTTATAAAAGTTTCCAAACATACACATGATCTTATACTAGCTATTATTGAGCCAACTGCACTTCTAAGGCAAGCTCTTAAAGAAAATCAGCAGCAGACAATCAAATGTGACTACTTGAAAAAACATGTAAGTGATAAAAAAAAGATATGTTATGGATTCTTATGTAGCTCAAAATAAGTTATCATTAGATTCTACAATTTCATAGGTATCTTAAATATTAGTGAAAGTGCGTTGGAATGAATTAGATGGTTCTTATTAGACGTGGATTCAAATATTATCTAGGGTTAGTGTTCATCATTAGGTCATTATATTGGATGCTCTTAACCTTAATTGCATGCTATGGGTTAGTGTTCATCACTAGGTCATTGTATTGGATGCTCTTGACCCTAATTGCATGCTATGCATTATGTTCCCTTTATTGCTACAATGCCTTTTGAATCAGAGCTAACCTTTTCTCTCTTTACATTAATTCAGTTGTTTAAGCAACCTACAAATAAAATCAAGTCACAGCTGACAAATTTACACTTAACTTGGGTTGCAAGATACAATCAAGTCCCAGCTGACAAAGTTACAGTTAAATTGAGTTATCATGTCTGCTGCAATCCTTGAAGCTTATGGGGAACCCACAACACAAGCAACAATCTTTTGAGAGTTGTGGAAGAAGATTACAAGGAACTAGGAGTCTGAGTTTGCTGCTAGCTCTTCACCACAAACTCACATTCAACTGCCATTTCTGAGGTTCCCACACTACTTTGGCCAAACCAACTTTCATGTGAAGCAGAAAGGAGATGATTGAAAGGTAACCACCAGTGACATGATCACGTATCATGTTGTATTGAACAACTAGTGGCTTCATCCAACATGGTTGGTGGTCAACAATCTTCTGAGGTACACGACCGTTAATTCTATATGAGGACTTCATGAGGGGGCTATATTTTGACTATAGCCCAGCACATCGACAATCATGCAAATGAGTACGAATTTGTTTTATGGGATGCTTTGGAGAGGGAAGGACCAATTCACAGACAACCAAAATTCACCTTTGGAGTAGAGAGGGTGACAAGCAAGGGAGTAAACCTCACTGGGAATGGTTGCCCATGCTACTTGTAATGGACGCAGGCGGCGAGACCAACAGTGCATCTAGAGAGGATACACGAGGAAGGATATGGAGTTGGCCACCCACCACCACCATCACAACATGGAGACTATGGAGTCCAGCTAGCAGAGTTGAGAGCAAATATGGGGAGATAGGAGGACAACTTGACTTCATACTAAACCATAAACGAGCAGCACTAGGATGCCTTAGAGTAGGAGAGACACATGGAGCTTGAGGATACTCGAGCTTGGTGCCAGAGAGCAGAGGCAGAGCAGCAGTGAATCCATTCGTGGATGGAAGACTTTGGTAGATCATTGTGTTCTCTCTTTCTCAGTAGTGGACCACCACAAGAAGGACCCAACAGTTAGGAGATCAAGACTTTGAGAAAGCTATTTTTTTTTAACAATTTTGAGTCTTCCTATGCGATGATGGAGAACTAGCTACTATGAACTATGATGTCAAATTTAGAACAACAACCCAGGTAACTCGTTCTAACCTTGCCATAACTCACTATTTTTTAGTCCATTGAGGACAATGTTCATTTGTGTGGGGTGAGAATGGTTGATATGTTTTGCATTGATATGCTTACTACTTTCTACAAGATTAGTCGTTCAAATTTGAAACTTTTCAATGCTAAATAGTATGATATGTGCTTTAAACATGCTTGAATTTACTAGTGATGTTTTCTACCTAATGACTTTTAATCATCCCTTAAACGTGTTCATTGAGTTGTATGGTTATGAGTAGTGTTTGCTTGAGGACAAGTAAATTTCAAGTGTGGGGTATTTTTTTATGACACTTTATTTATAGTGTTTATTACTCCCATATTTGATACATTTTCCCCGCCTATCAATACATCTTCAATACTTTCTCTTGTATTCCATATATAAATCACAAATATTTGATCAATGATCCTTTAATAGACCTAGGATATATTTTGTGAACCATTTGATGCCTTCTTGGTATGTTTTTTTTATGGTTTTCAAGGTACAACACAACCTAGGAGGATTTGGATCAAGCATTGGACAACTTTGGAGGACTAAAAGAGCTATAAAGAGAAGAATATTGAGCTTTCTTGATAAAGACGATGTCCAATGACGGAGAAGCCTACTATTAACCACGAGTAGAGTCCAAGAGAAGCCTAGTGGAGGAATGCTTGGCCCCAACAGAAGTAAGAATTAGCGGCATCCTAGCAACGAGTCCAACCAGCGCCCATGGAAACCTGGACAAAGTGCGATCAAATATTCAGGAAAGGTTGTTCATGAGCCAAGAAGTCCAGTCCATGAAGAAAATCAGTGACGGTCCCAACCGCCACCTACTACAAGAAGACCCAAGCCCAAATAGATGACCGTTGGGTCTTGTTTCGGCCCTAAGTCAAAGAAACATTTTCCTAGTAGGATTAAGAGGGTTTTGGCTGAGTTTTACCACTATAAATAAAGGGCTAGACTCATTAGTTTGATAGACTGCACAAATTCACTAAAAACTTCTGTAAACACTCTGCTCGTTTGTCTTTGTATGTATTGATGCTATAATTTCATATTATGCTTGTGATTTTCGATGCCCAATGTGTATGCATTTATGCTTTATGGTTTGATGCCTATGTGTATGATGTCTCATTTAGTTCAATACTTATTATCATGAATGCTTGTGACTCTATAGTATACAACTATATGCATTGTGCTTAGTATTATCTAGGTTGTCATAAATTACCCTCTAGTGATACCTCATTGACGCTACAGGAGTATAGGGGAATGATCAACTATCTATACCTCGAGTAGTATTAATACTTGATTGTTAAATCATCGATGCTATAGACCATCGATTATGAGTTATGAGGCCCACACTTAATCATGTGTTATCCTTGTGTCCCTGTCTTCATTGATTATATGATGGCATGAAGCAAAATCACGCATTAGCCAGTCAAGTTCCTATTGTATGTGGCGAAAGCTCGAGTATAATGGCCTTAATGGAAGGGATTGAGTGATGTTATTGATGAGTCATTGATGCATGATATGTTTGAGCCTTAGTATGTGTTATAATGCTCAAGTTTACCTTATTGTTCAATAACATATATTTACTTTTAAGCATCTATAATTTGAAAAAACCCCTAAACAACTTTACTTTTCCTTGCTTTACTTTTCTTTGCTTGTTACTCAAATGAAACCCTGTAAAGAAGCTTTTCCATTTCGTGTGAGCATATATGGTATGGTGTGAGTAGTTATGCATTAGAAGACCTTGTGACATACGACCTAGGATATCCTATGATTTTTATCACTTGCACGAATAAACCCCATAAGTAGTATTTTATACCCACATTTAGGATATAATATTATTATGTGGCACACTCTTGGTTGATTTTATGATAGAAAAGTCTTGATATCCAATGTGTGATTAATAGGCCTAAGATATTATTTTGTATTATTTGATGCCTTTCGGATAGTTTTGGTGATTTTCAGGAAAAAGCATGCCTAGGAAGAATATTGGAATGGACCTGAAGCAAAACCTTAATTCTTGGAGGAAGACAGAATCACAAATGCCTAAGTTTTGGGTAGACCCGCTATGACCCATTCTAGCTGGAATTTGGTGGAGAGGTTCACGAATCTGAAGGAGACGTGGGCACCCAATTTTGGCTCGATCTGACAATGGAAGACCACGATGGCCCAAAATCATTGTTGACAGCCGGTACTTTAGGATCTCTTGTCGTGCAAACCAGGTAAGACGATTCCTAGTTCAAATAAGAAGGGGTAAACCTTATGTAATGTCAGTTAGCATTATCGGCTTGGGGAATTAGTATAAATAGGGGACTTGGGACACATTGTACAACTTTTTGGACTCCAAAAGGTCAAAAGTTTCTCCATTTTTGAGGAAAATTGCATCCATGATCCCAAACTATAATAGTTTAGCGTTAAATGAGATAAGAGAAGCAGCCCTGTTGGCGCCCTCTCTCTCGATGTCGAGCTAAACCTCCCATCGGATAGGAATGCTAACGATTGATTCCCTTTTGGAATCTTACCCATAAATTAAACACTTCAAAGAGAAAGAGAGCTAGAATAGGTAAGGATGCTAGCACTAGTTTCACTATTGTTGATGTGTCTTTGACGGAAGCTACTGTTTTATGTTGTTCCGCATCAACCTCAGGAATAAGATGTTGTTTAGAAAATAGAACCATGTGTATCCATAAGTAATAATACATTGACATTGAGTTAATGCTAATGATCATCATTCTTAGTTGAATACCTCGACTATCATGCACGGCATGTCGAGAAAACCTGCATTCGTGGTAGTATATATTTCGAAGAACGAATACATGACAAGACAAAGAACTGCACATGCATTGGAATTGAAGAATAACCGATGATTGTTCTATGGCAGGATGACAAATCGTGCATAGAAAATTATTGGATCACTAATCAATAAATTATTTGATATTTTTATATGGCATGCCACTATTGATATCAGTTCTTCATAACTATCCGAGGCATGATGAGAAATCACACACTTAGGGGGGTTACAATTGCCACATGATGAGAAATCGTGAGCGAGAGTATGTTTCCTAGTAAGATTGAAGTGAGATGATCCAAACACCTTTGTCTCAATCAATATGTTCTACTAAACAAAGTTGGTTCACTAGGTGAAACAATCCGACTTTATACCTCTTACTTTGCCTTTCAACCCGTTTCTAACTTCTATTTTACCTTCCTACTTAGTAAACACAACAATCAGGAAAAATCAACCTCATCTGAAGAATCTTCGAACCACTAGTAGTGGATTTAAAGCAGAGAAATTGCTAGAGGTCCTACAGAGTACGACACTATACATTTGTTTAGGTCGTAATCGATTTTTGCTACATACTATAGCCATCAAGCTTTGTCTATATCTTTTCTTGTTTGGTCATTTAATAGACATATTTTGATTGGAAGATGGTTTTAATCTCATTTTAAATTTTTATAATATTCCAATTTATTTATATTGACACTTTTTTAATGCATGCATACAGATGTGTGGTGAAGAAAGAAAAGAAAAGTAAATTGGCAATAGATTAATAAGGTAAATAGTAGGTCAAACTTGAGATCATATAGCATAGTAACATATCCTCATCGAAGGAATTGTAATTTATCTAAAAGCAAGTTCAAGTTCCAATTGTGAAACGTCAAATAGAAGAACCATGCATGGCTGCACACAACTAGCATACATCGTCCCAAATCTCCATCACATTAAATGATTTACCTTTAAGAATCATTTGTAGGCACACCTAATCTATATATCTTTTAAAAAAAGTTTCTACCTTTTACTCTTCTCCATATTATTTTTAATTTTTCCACAAATAAAATTATGAATCATAAAATTACATATTGTAGAAAAAATAATAAGAAGAATTAATGTTTTATGATGGATGCTAGTGAGCCAAGCTGAATTCACGATAGTCCAGTGATAGTCTTTCTTTTCCATCTTCTTTTCCCAATAAAAAACAAACTAGAGTTTTTTTTACAATATCAAACATAAAATCCCCCTCATAAGTTTGTTTTGTACAACAAGTAACTGCTAATAATTCATTTTTCTCTTATTTTTTGATTTTTTTTTTGTCTGCAACAAGAATAAAATTGAAGAAAATTGAGGAGTGAAAGCTCTCTTAAGTTCATCTTAAATTGGATTGAAATCTCTCTCATCTTCTGCAATCAGTCTGTATAGATGTGTTGCTATATATGAAACTCATTTGACCCTTTTGATTTCTTCGTTCTTTTATTTTCCCAGAATTTCTTTCCCTCTTTCTGACGGATTAGAAGAGAACTAGTAGGGACGAAGAATTCGACACGAGAATGCTTTCTTTTAGCTAGGTAAGAAGATTTTCTTGTCCATTCTTTTTTATTGTGATTCTCGGGATTTCCCGAATATGAAGATAATGATGATTGTGATTATGTGTTCTAGGTTTGATGGATTCATCCAAATGTATAAAGATAATCATCTGATTTTTTGTTGGTTTTGGTGTTTGCCTATGAAACCTCTTAGTTGAATAGTTGGTATTTGTTGAGAAACTTTATGTGGTTGTGGACATTTCTATAGCCCTTTGGTATTTGTTGATCAGGCTATGCTCATTTTGTGTAGTTTGAAATAATTTTTGGATTGTTCAAAGATTTTTTCATGTGGATCGTTTTCTGGTTTCTAAAATTCAATCTACGATTGATCTTCAATTTTGGGATTAGTCTTTTGGCTTCCTTTCTTTCTGGCATAGGTAAAAGTCTACATTTATTTCTTGTTGGATTGACCGTGAAAGTTATTAAACTAGCGTTGTAATGTGGGTCAAAACCTTGATTATGCAGTTCTAAAGGTAGTTGTTGGTTGAATCTTCCATATAAACATGCAAGGGAAGTATGTTAGGATAGACAATAACAGAAGACAACCACCAGCATCAAACAACTACTACTCGACTGTACCTATCGTGGTGTTTGTAGCCCTATGTTTGGTCGGTGTGTGGATGATGACATCATCATCCAATATTCCTGGGCAAAATGTAGACATGCATGTTCAAGAAACCGACAAGAACGATGTGAAAGATCAAGTGATAGACAGCTCCAAAAGTAGTACTGCTAAGCAAGTAGACATTATCCAAGGTGGTTTGGCTGGGGATGCAAATAAATCAATAGAAGACACAACAAATCCACAAGAAGCAAACAATTCTATTGTACCGAAAGATCATAAGGAGAATAAACCAAAAGAGACATATCCACAAAATCATGATGAGAAGCCAACATATATGCCAAAACCAAAGCTCGAAAAGAATCCTCTAGAGAAAGCAAAGGAAAAACCTGTTGAAGAGTATGCATCAAGTATTGAGGCACAATATCGAAAAGAAGATGTAGATTCAAAGCTTGTTGATGGAAAGGTAAACCAATTTGGCGAACAAAAAAATCCCAATGTTGGTCAAGCTAATGGGATGGGGCAAGGAGGATCAAAGAAGAATATCTTAGAAGATGGTAAGCCTATTTCATATCAAAATGAGAAGAAACCTGATTTTGCAGAGATCAATAAGACATTAGATGATAAACCTGGTGATTCAAGATTTGAGGAAGTGAGTGAAGGCCAAGTTGTGGAGAAAGGGGTTGAAAAAGACAATATGGAAGTCAAGAATCAAAGTTCAAGTGAAAATTTTCCCTCAGGAGCTCAGGCTGAGCTTACAAATGAAACCTCAACAGAGAATGGATCATGGTCAACTCAGGCAGTGGAATCAAAGAATGAGAAGGATACTCAAGAATCGGCTAAAGAGCCAGTTGTATTCAATTGGAAATCGTGCAATGGCACTGCTGGTCCTGACTTCATTCCTTGTTTGGATAACTGGAGAGCTATTAAGAATCTTAGATCGAATAAGCATTATGAACATAGAGAGCGACATTGCCCCGAAGAACCTCCAACTTGCCTAGTTCCACTTCCAAAAGGTTATAAACGCCCAATCGAGTGGCCTACAAGCAGGGAAAAAGTAAGTTACTTTGTTCTTTTGTGATTATGTCAACCGAATTGGCTCTTCCTTATGTAACTGACAAAAATCACTTCTTTATATAGATTTGGTACTCTAACGTACCCCACACAAAACTTGTTGAGTATAAGGGGCATCAAAACTGGGTGAAAGTTGATGGTCAATACATTATTTTCCCTGGTGGCGGAACTCAGTTCAAGCATGGCGCTCTCCATTACATCGATTTTATAAACGAGGTTAAGACTTAGCTGTATTTTGTACTCATTTTAACTTACTACTATCACATTTTACATTAACTGCTAAACTTATTTTGTTTATGGTCATACATGGCTTCTTCATCCTCTTGTTACATTTAGTTGTTGATATTGCAGACATTTTGATAAATTATTCGAAAAATAGATTTGAAGCTCAAATCAACCAGTTTAATGGCCCCTTTATCTGGTATGTGGATTTGTAGCTGGCGGGTTGAATTGAAGTGTCTTTCTTTCTTTTTCAGAATGTACCTGACATTGCTTGGGGAAAACGTAGTCGTGTAATCTTGGATGTTGGATGTGGAGTTGCTAGTTTTGGAGGGTTTCTCTTTGACAGAGATGTATTGGCAATGTCACTGGCCCCTAAAGATGAGCATGAAGCTCAAGTGCAATTCGCTCTCGAAAGAGGAATCCCTGCTATATCTGCTGTCATGGGCACGCTGAGACTTCCCTTCCCAAGTAAAGTATTTGATGTAGTGCATTGTGCGCGTTGTAGGGTGCCGTGGCATATTGAAGGTGCATGATCCTTTTTAGTTGTCTTCAATTCGTTGATTTATTCACGTAAACAATCCATGCTAGGTGGAATTATGAGATTAATTTTTATTTTATTTTTTTTTCTTTTAGGCCACCATATGTTCACTAAGAATGATTAAATTGTGGCAACTAACCATCACTTTTGCTTGTTGCAATTGATAAATGGTGGGCAGGTGGTAAACTTCTTCTTGAGTTGAATCGATTGTTGAGGCCAGGCGGATATTTCGTGTGGTCTGCTACTCCAATATATCAAAAGAAACCCGAAGACAAAGAAATTTGGAAAGGTAGGTGATGCCAAACAATAATTTAGATGAATTTCTATCACATCATCTGATTTCTCATGTTTTTCCTTCTATAGCAATGAGCAAATTATTAGAGACAATATGTTGGGAGATTGTGACTAAATTTAAGGATAGAGTCAATGGAGTTGGCCTAGCTATTTACAGAAAACCAACGAACAACACATGTTATGAAAAGAGATCAATACAAGAGCCCCCAATGTGTGAAGCATCTGATGATCCTAATGCGGCATGGTAATTAATTATTTCTCCTCTCCTAACAAGTTATTATCAATATACTGTATTCTTGACACTTTATGTGGTTCTTATGTTTAGGAATGTGCCTCTACAAACATGCATGCATAAGGTGCCCGTCGATTCTCTAGAACGTGGGTCGCGATGGCCTGAACAATGGCCATCTAGACTGGACAACACTCCATATTGGATGTTAGGTTCTGAAATGGGAGTTTACGGCAAACCACAACCAGAAGACTTCGTTGCTGATTATGAGCATTGGAAGCGAGTCGTCTCCAAATCATATATCAATGGGATGGGAATAAATTGGGAAACCGTTAGGAATGTAATGGACATGAGAGCTATCTATGGAGGGTAAGTAAAATTCTCACATTTATGAGAAAAGTATAGCTATTTTGTTTCTTGTGTCTTTTATAGGATCTTTTGAATGCTTCTTTCAAGTACGTTGATAGCTAAAATTACATTGCTAAACAAAATGCTAAACTATACTAATTCAAAATCACAGAAAAACATTCACTTTGTTTAAACTGTAGTGAGTTCAATCGATTTTAACATATGAATATATGATGGTCTAATTAACACTTTTTATTCAACCGATCTAGTACCAGACTAGATGGAGCCACTTTTTATTTTAACACATCACTATAGTTAGCATGCATTTAAGATTTTTAGTTTAGTGGTCATTTTGTCACAAACATCAAAGTGTGTTGTCCATTTAAGCACTAGAACACAATAGTGATAGTTCTAATTCATTCGTTACAAATCATTTGTCATGTTTTGTAGGTTTGCAGCTGCTTTGAAGGATATGAATGTATGGGTGATGAATGTTGTCCCAATTGACTCCGCTGATGTATTGCCCGTTATCTATGAGCGTGGTCTATTTGGAATTTACCATGATTGGTGCCAGTCATTCAGTACGTACCCAAGATCATATGATCTTCTGCACGCCGATCATCTATTCTCCATGATCAAGCAGAAGTATGATTTATTTGTCCCATTTTCTGTTTCTTACCTTAACCCGATCATCCTGTATTCTTCGCTCCATATTGGTTTTCTAAAATGTTTTTCTTAGCTAAATGACCATTTCATAATATATATGCCTTTTCCTAGGTGCAAGATAGTTCCTCTAGTGGTAGAGGTCGACCGTATCCTAAGGCCGGAAGGAAAGCTAATCATACGAGACACTACTGAGATCGTGAGAGAGGTGGAGAGAATCCTAAGATCGATGCAGTGGGAGATCCGAATGACTTACAACAAGGACAATGAAGGGTTGCTTTCTGCCCAAAAGACAATGTGGCGGCCAAAGGAAGTTGAAATGCTAGATTATGCTATCATTACTTGACTTATAGAGCTCCTTCCCTAATAGTTATGTAATTTGAAGGTTAGAGTGCCCCCTTATTCCCTTTATTGGGTTATTGGAAGTTTCACTTATTTACCAACATCTGCAGTAATCGAGTTTTCTTCCATAAGGGTCCAAAAAATCAATTAACTATAATAGCCTAGCTCACTATACCACATCCTTAGCTTTTTTTGGGTTGTTGGTTTTAGATGTCTCAAGTTGAAGTCCCTGTATAGTTGCCCACCATCGAGTGTTTTTTAAAGTCACCAAGTAAAATGGCAATGGTCACTCGGTACAAGGAGGTAGAGCAAGAGAACCTGGACAAACATCCATGTTTTAACTGTTGACATCATAAATGGAACACTGTATAATGGCGTCGAGATTGACTACCATGCATGTATAATATGCTTACTTTGAAAATGTATGTATACGGAAGGGATTCATACCACCTTGTGTTGCTCAACTGTGCATCTATGGAAAGATATGTTCTTTTAATATATTTTTTTTTATCTCCTGTCTTCCTCTTTTCTTCAGTTTTCCCTTTGTCTCTTTATCTTGCTCACTGCACACATCATTCTCATTCTTGCCCTCTTTATGATTCAATGCCGATTGACCACCTCATACTCCTTGTAGCTAGTTTCTGGCACATTTGAAAGCCGTATACATACTAAACTATCTGCTCCAATAACCATTCCCACCCTCGTATGGAATGGCTTGCTAACGCTCGTGCTCTTTAGTAGACCTTAAGGATTGACCTAATTATGACTCCCTCCACTGACCGTGCTGATCAACTAAGATTCCACTATGACAAGTATTCCATCACAAATGACATGTTATGAAAGTGATTGTTTCTAATTCCACTTGGATGATTTTGTGACGACAGTGCTGAATCTTTGTTTTTGTTCATTGGCAAGGTTCTAAAAGGCGCTAGGCGTAAGGCAGGCGCTCGGCTCCTGACTTGTGCCTTGCCCGATTAGGCATAGCCTAGGCGTTCAGAGCATAAATGGAAAAATTCTAAAATATTTCCTGTTTTCTGGAATAATTCATATAATTAAGTGCATATAAAATTAACAATGCCTAGTTCTTAACAGTAAACACTTAACATAACAAATAACAAGCAAATAGTAACCAATCATCTGCTAATAGGTGCTTATTGAGGCAAGAAGCTTGTGCTACGTACCGAGGAGAAGGAAGGAGCAGCAATTGACGAGTTTCGACTTTATTTCCCACTATAGCAGTGGAGCGGTGTGAAGGCGAGAAGAGTGATCGATTACTTTCTCCTGCGGTGGCAGAGAGCAGCAAATGGGGTGAGAGCTAGGGCGGGAGGCGGTAGCAGATGGGGGCGAGAGCTAAGGCGGCAGGGCAACAGATGATACTCCCCGCGTTTCTGATTTTCTAGGGCAAGAGGCAAGTTTCTGATTTTCTAGGGCAAGAGGCAAGTTTCTGATTTTCTAGGACAAAACGAAGAGTATTGGGTTTAACCGCCTAAGCTTGCCCAGGCACGCCTTCTCTCCACTAGGTGCAAACTAAGCGCTATTCCTACCTACTAAGCGCTACCAGCGCCTTTTACCACGCCTATGGCCAAGTCAAGGCGATTCTCCACCGCCTAGCGCCTAATTGAGCCTAGGCGCGCCTTCTTGAACCCTGTTCATCGGTAATTTACCAGAGTTAAGGCTCTACTTGTGTACTCAAAATGAAGTGGCTCTCTCGGAATCCAATTGTTGTTTACCACATTTCCTTTGTTAAAGCTTTGAATGACCTGTTTACATCTTAGCCCCCAGAATCCAGGAGAAGGACGCCATCAATTATACAACCTTATTTATGTGTCACACACTTCACAACTATAAAACAATATCTGTTTGCAACACTTCTGTCGATAGTTTGTCTCTTTCATAAGTTAATTCATATTCTTGAATCTTGATCTTGTTTTGCCCTACCTTTACTTATTATATTTATTTTGAGAGAAAGTTCTATACTTCATTCTAAGACGTTCATTCGTGACCTTATTTTTTATAAAATTTTTTCTTATTAATCTTTACCGTCACAAAATTATTTTCTTTAGATGATAATACCATTCATTTATTTATGAAAATACCAGCCACAACAACTACACTAGGGGATAATGTATTCGATTTGGATATAATTTGATTTTTCAATGAATGATATCCAAACAAAGAAAATAAAAATAGATAGATAAGTTGAATCTCATTAGTATTGTTAGTGAAAATGAAAGAATATCGGAAGACCCAAGACTGAAGAGGACCACCGAATGGAAGTGACAACTAGCATAAAAAACTAAACTATTAAAATTAAATGTTATTATGTTAATAATTTTCCCTCCATTTCTGATTATTAAAATTGTTAAAATACCTAAAAATACCCCTTCAACATATTATCTTGTTGTTTTTCTATTAATGACGAAAAAACAACTCATCTGAATGGGTCAAGAATTTTCAAAATCCTCAATTTTCTCGAAAATAAAAAAATGTTCCAAGTTTTCCCCGTTATTTTTTCCAATTATATTTTGATTTTTTCAATTTTTTCCAAAAAGCAGTGAAATTCAATATATCAGCTTTGACAATAATATTATGATTTTTTAAAAGAAAAAAACAGGGCGCGAAACGAGCGGGCCTCCAAAGATGCCTCTCAGGCCCGTGGAAATCGGGCCCTTTCTCCCTCCAAATTTGGTCCCCACCCCCATCCCTCAGCCGACCGCCACGTGTCCTCTCATTTCTCTTCAGCGTTTCTCCCCTCCCGCGCTTCTTCTCTTTTACCAGAAAACAAAAACCAGAGTGTCATTCCCACACACCGCCCTTTCTGCAACTCTTTTTTCTTCTCCCCTCCTCCTCCTCTTTCTCGTACGGAAAAACCCTAATCCGATTGAGCCAAACTGCTACACGCGCCTACACCTTCTCTCTCTTCTCTTCTGTCCAATCGTAAGTTGATTTCGCTGCGTTCTCTGTCTCGTCTGTAGCTGCGATCGATGGCTTCTAATGTCATTCTTCGTTTTCAGGAGGAATCTCAGTTTTGGATATTTTTTTTTCCCGCGCGGGAGTTAGGTCGGATCACCGGGCGTTTGAACGAGCTCCGTCGGCGACCGCCGTCGTTGTGCTCCGGGTTCTGGTGATCTTTCTCTTGAGATTTTTCGGTTCCGATTTGTTCTCATTTGCGTCTTCCTTGCTATTTGTTTCCTGTTTGTTTTCGTTTCCGAGGGATGATTTCTTGAAAGAAAGTGGGAATGAGAATGCGGAAAAAAGTATCGAGCTATTTTACTCTTTAATCGTTTATGTTTCTTACGGAATTAGTATTGGTTTCCGAGAAAATCTGGAATTCAGGATCGGTGGAGATTGATTTTTCAGCTCAGGTTGAATGGTTGATGAATATTGATCTTTCAATCTATCTTCCTCTCCAATTCCTGAATTTTCTCTGCTCATGTGCTCCGTCGGCCACCGCCGTCGTTCTGTTAGGGATTCTGGCTCGGTCTTCGATTTGACTGTTTGGTTTCGGTAGAGCCGTGAAATGACTTTGAATGAAGGAGAATGTGAATGACAAGTCGATGTACCATTGAGCTATTTTACCTTTTTACCTGATGCGTTCGTTGGAAATTAGTGTTACCTGTTTGGTTGCCGAGAAAATCCTGAATAATTATCTGTGGAGATTAATTAACGTTTGCTGTAATCTTTTCCACTGTTGTGCTGTGGTGATCAAAAGCAGGTAGGTCGTTGAATAGGTACACAAGGATTGAAGAGAATGCAATCTGATCGGCCGTGGTAATAATAAACGCCGCCGAAGTAACAGAAGCTGTAGCCAGCCAAGACGCAGAGGACAGAATAAAAAGGTTTTTCCCAGGGATTAATCGATGACGAACGCGGAGGCGCCCAATCCACACTTGATCAGGCGGCCGTCGCGTGGCGCTGCGACGACAACCTTCTCCACCGAGGTTTTCGACAACTCAGTCGTCCCTTCTTCCTTGGAATCAATCAAGCCGATCCTCCGGGTCGCCAACGAGATCCAAAATGAGCGCCCTCGCGTTGCCTATCTATGTAAGTACAATAATGTCACAATTGCCATTTGATCAGTGTCGAATTCTTCTGGTTTTCACGAATATGGAGTTCTTGTTGTTAGTTATTAGGTATTTGATTATCTTCGGTATTGCATAGGTCGATTTTACGCATTTGAGAAAGCGCATCGGCTGGATCCCAGCTCTAGTGGACGTGGTGTGAGGCAGTTCAAAACAGCCTTGCTGCAAAGAGTCGAAAGGGTAACTGATTCATTGCTCCCCACTGTATACCTTTGAAAAGGCCCATGTTGACCATTCGTTTTTTCATTTTGGACATTGGATGATTATATGCCGTTGCTCTCTCCCTTTAGTTAAAGATTAGATAACAGCAGTGTCGATTATCACCGTGATGAATTGTTACGAGATGTAGAAGGCGAAGCGGGTCTCATACTCTCATTGTCATAAGGGCTGAATATTTGGGCTTCATAGGTTTTGGGCTTTAGATGAAACTTCGGCTGAGTTTGGAGTCTAGGCTCACTACTGCGTTTCTATTTTCCTCGCAAGTCGCAACTGTTCTGCCTTTCGTTTGGTTCCAACTTCCAAAATGCAGAAACAGCGTTTTTGTATGATCTTAATCATCGCAGTTGTAGCAAACTATAAGGGTTTTGGTGGATTACTCATCCAAGGGAAGGAATATGGAAACAATGCAATCTTCTTCTCTCAGAAAATTCCGAGGTGAAGCTAGGAATTTAGTTCGTAGAAAGGAACAAAGTTACTGAATGAACCGAGTAGGTGGAAGCAGATTTGGTTTCTGGGAGGAGGTGATGCAAGCGGCAACTGTAATCAGTTCCAGGTTTGGGATGGCGCGGGTCCTTTAGTTTGCTCGTAGGGATACGCGTTTGGCATGCACTGATTTTACCCTTGTCCATTGAACATTCAGTTCTTCGAAGACTAAATTTCCCTTCTTTGTCTTGTCGATTTAACTCAGGAAAACGCATCCAGTATCGCCTCCCGGGTTAAAAAAACGGATGCGCGGGAAATCCAGAGCTTCTATTACCAGTATTATAAACAATATGTTGAAGCACTCGAGCAGGGCGAGCAAGCAGACAGGTAAATTTTGGCTTTCTGTGAGTGTTCGTTTGCACAAGGGTATCCACATTGACGGGTTTTCAAAGTATGCACTTCATCCGAATCCTTTCAGAGCTCAACTTGGCAAGGCCTATCAGACAGCAGGAGTTCTTTTTGAAGTACTTTGCGCCGTTAATAAGACTGAGAAAGTTGAAGAGGTTGCCCCTGAGGTTAGTCCCTTCCTAGGTTGTTGCCAATCAACTTGTGAGATTGCTTTTAGCTTTTTTGTATTGTTTAATTTATGATTGCTCGTGGGGTGAAGATAAGTGAGATTGTTGCAATGGTGTAGATTATTGCTGCGGCTAGAGACATCCAAGAAAAGAAGGAAATCTATGCACCCTACAATATTCTTCCCCTGGATTCTGCGGGGGCTTCCCAATCAATTATGCAACTTGAGGAGGTAGGACTTGTTTTAAGTTCTCCAGACTCTCTACTGATGCGCTGCATTGATAGATCGTCATTGTTCTGATGGTGATACCATTTGCATCTCCTGAATATTTCTATATCTTCAGGTCAAGGCAGCAGTTGCAGCACTATGGAATACCCGAGGGTTGTCATGGCCTTCAGCTTTTGAACAGCACAGGCAGAAAGCAGGGGATCTCGACCTTCTTGATTGGTTAAGGGCCATGTTTGGCTTCCAGGTACGCTTTTGACTTGAAACCAATGATACCAGCAGTAACTATTAACAGCTTGGAGACCTTTTGTAACGTGCTTGTGTTTTCTTTGAACACAGAGAGACAGTGTTCGGAACCAGAGAGAGCATCTGATATTGCTACTTGCCAACAACCATATAAGGCTCCACCCCAAGCCTGAACCTCTTAATAAGGCATGTGCTGACTTTTGCTGTTTAGTTCTCCTCTTCTCATATCTAATATGCTATGGTGTAAGCTATATAAATCTGAAGTATAGATGATTCGTGCATCTATGTATAAGTCATCTAAAGTCCTAATTGTAACTTGAAATTTTTACCTGTTGTTGTAAGTATATGGACAGTGGGTGTTTACCTCCGGTTTATTACTTGAACATAAATATAAGTGCATGCTGATGACTATGAAAAGGAGAGTGTTCGTTTATTATGGATGTGATTAAATCACAGTGTGCCTAATCTACAAGTCAAAATGAATTCTAAAATATTGACCAAGCTAACTAGTGGATCATTGACTTGGAGTAAATAATTGAATTTTTCTTATGAGGGTTTATGGGTATCTTTTGTCTTTATGCAGCTTGATGAAAGAGCTGTAGATGCAGTAATGAATAAGATTTTTAAGAACTATAAAAATTGGTGCAAATTTTTAGGAAGGAAACACAGTTTACGGTAAGCATTCTATGACAATAAATACTTGGTTTTTTTCTTTGTGATTTATTCCTCGATGGGAAAACTTAAGCATTCTAGAGAAGTTGCAAAGTGAGTTTTACTTTCATCATTTGTTGCAGACTTCCTCAAAGTCAGCCCGAAATCCAGCAAAGAAAAATACTATACATGGGTTTGTACCTTCTTATCTGGGGTGAAGCAGCTAACGTTCGGTTCATGCCAGAGTGTCTTTGCTACATCTTTCACAATGTAAGTAGTCATATCTTGGTGCATTTTCTCATTCCTTTTATTGATGAAAGTGTTCAAAGTGGAAAATTTGTGTTTTGTTGGGTTATGATTTCATTAATGATATTGTCATCATAATTTTCAGATGGCCTATGAACTCCATGGCTTATTAGCTGGAAATGTGAGCATTGTAACTGGAGAAAATATTAAGCCTTCTTATGGCGGAGACGATGAGGCGTTTCTGAGGAAAGTTATAACACCAATCTACCGAGTAATAGCAAAGGTATGAGTTTAAAAAAGTAGACATAGTCACTTCAGAAGTCAGGAACTTCTGTATAGAGAATGAAGAGTTGCACTCACTTATTCCAGGAAGCGAGTAAGAGTCAAAATGGTACAGCTTCTAGTACAGAATGGTGCAACTATGACGATCTTAATGAATATTTCTGGTTAGTTTGCTACAATGTAACTAATGATCTGACTTTAGTCCTTTCAATTCTTTCCTTCACTTAGATGATCAGTTTTGCTGTTTTTTTTTTCCCTTTTTCTGTTCAGGTCATCTGATTGCTTCTCTCTTGGTTGGCCTATGCGTGATGATGGTGCATTCTTCAAATCAACACGTGATGAAGTTAAGGTTGTACTGATATTTTGACTCTCACTGCAATATCTAAGTTAACCGCTGGATCTTGCTTAACAAAATTGTGTGACAGGGAAAGAAGACTCCTCCAGGATACTCTGGTAGCACGGGAAAATCATATTTTGTTGAAACACGAACATTTTGGCACATATTTCGAAGCTTTGACAGATTGTGGACTTTTTTTGTGCTAGCCTTTCAGGTATTTCCGTTTTGAGTGGCAAAGTTGGTTCTGTATTCATTAGTTTCATGCTTCGGTACCTATCCGAGTATTCTAAAGAATTGGCCAACAAATTGTTGCAGTTAATGATCATCTATGCTTGGAGTGGAGTAGCAATACAAAATATACTCAGAAGGGATGTGTTGTATTACCTATCAAGTATTTTCATTACGGCGGCCTTTCTGCGGTTCCTTCAGAGTATGATATTTAACATGAGCTACACTTGTTACTGATACAGTTCAGTTTTCACTGTTCATTCACTTACTTGAGTACTTATTCTCGACTATCTGAATGCCATAAATTGAAAATCCCCTTGCTACAATGAATAGAATGCAAAGTTTCTTTGATATACCAGACTCCATACTTTTGAATGTTTTTCTGGTCACTGGCGCTTTAAAGGTATATATTTCTTTTCGGAGACTATGTTACTCTAGGTTGCAGTTAACGTCTACTTGAGGATAGAAATAGGCATTAGATACACATGAAAATCTTCTTTTCCATTGTCTTCATTTTGCTTTTACACTATTATGTTACTCTAGGTTGACATGTTAATGTAAGCCTCAGCATTTATGGGAGATGATGGAGAACATTCCTATGTGTTAGCTCTTCTTCTATGAGCAATGATGTGTTTCTGGTCTGCTAATTAACAGGTCTCTATTGAATTGATTTTTAAAGGAACTGTAGATTTCATTTCTTACCTGCAGATAATTACTTGGTGCTAAATAAGAATTGAGTAGGCCTCTTAGAACTTGATAACTCACATCCATGCGCTGCAAACAACTGGATCAATTTGGAGACTGAACTTCTTTATGGATTGATTTGTCTGGTTTTATGTTTATACACTTAGTTTTGCTCTTAAATCTAATTGTTCCTGTCCATGCCCCCCTCCCTTTTCACCTGATTGCACTTGACTCTCTTTTTTTAGGTATTCTTGACCTTGTTCTCAACTTCCCTGGATATCATAGATGGAAATTTACGGATGTTCTGAGGAACATCCTTAAGATCATTGTTAGTTTTGCATGGGCTGTCATTCTTCCACTCTGTTATTCGGGAAACCTCAAGCAAGTGAGTGGTTTCACAAGGGGAATGGATTTCCTCCGCACAGTGAAGAGTATTCCTCCGATATACTTGTTTGCTGTAGTTGTATACATGGTCCCGAATATCTTGGCGGCTTCTTTGTTCATCTTCCCCATGCTCAGAAGATGGATTGAGAACTCAGACTGGCTCATTGTTAGACTCCTATTGTGGTGGTCACAGGTATCCATATTTTGCTCCATGTTCTGTTCTAGTTATCTGTATCATGTTTTCCCATTTTATCTTTAAATTGCAGCAGTTTTGTTCTCTGTACCCCTCTTATCCAATGTCTATTTCTGAAATAGGTTTCCCATGACACTTCATGTCACCCACCTCATATTTTCCAGTTCTGAATGCAGTGTATCTATCAGCATGTGTTGGGATCTTTTACTGATTGTTTCTTTTTTAATCTTTTGTCTTGAGCTGCTGAACAAGCTCATTCTGTGTCTGATTGTTTCCCCCCCTTTTTCCTGCAGCCAAGGATTTATGTTGGAAGGGGAATGCATGAAAGTCAATTTTCACTTATAAAGTGAGCTTGTTAGGCTTCAATTTACAAATTATGTCCTTTTCCGCTGTGTGCCCTTGTCCAAATCCCATAATTTCTGAAAAAATCTTTCACTTTTAGGTATACTATTTTTTGGGTGTTGCTTTTGAGTTGCAAGTTCACATTCAGCTACTTTATCCAGGTAACCTCATTTTTCTCATGCTGTAATGGTTATTTCGTTTGTAGTGTCTTCACTGATATGGCAAGTATTGGACTGTGAAGAAAAATGATTATAGACTATTATATATTTAGAGTATTTGTTGTATAATCTTTTCTCTATTCTACAGATAAAGCCCCTAGTAAAACCAACAAAAGACATCATGAACATTCGACATGTAGAGTATACTTGGCATGAGATTTTCCCTTATGGTATGGGGTGATATTCTTTCTCTCTGTGATATAACTCGACTTATGTAATGCATTAACATTCATCCTGGAAATGCAGCCCGCCACAACTATGGCGCAGTTTTGTCACTCTGGGCACCAACAATATTGGTATGTATTCTATCTTCTCCTTTATTTCTTGTCATTACCTTTTCTATTTGTCTGTAGTCGATTCCAACGGGCTTGATGACAAGCTCCATTCTGCCAATGAAATTGGATGTAGGTGTATTTCATGGATACACAAATTTGGTATGCTATATTCTCAACCATATACGGTGGCTTTGAGGGAGCAGTTGATCGCCTAGGAGAGGCAAGCATCTCCAATCTTTTTTTTGTCATTTCCTTATCACCTTTGCTCTTGTGCTTCACTGAGTTCTTATCAATAATTCATTTAATTTGTGTTTTCTTTCACATTATTGGTCTGCAGAAACCACATTTTTCATGCATAATAAATCTGGTCTTGCTTCATTTCTTTCCGAAAAAGTCAAATTTGTTTCGTTAATTTTAGGAGTTTTCGGACTCACTTTATCTTGTTTTATCGCTTCCTTCCTTTCGTGAGATTTTTTTGCACATCTTAAGATTTGATATGAATAAAGTTTCTGGAGCTGTGAAGCAAGATTGCAAGACCAATCATTTGTAGCTGAAGCTAATACAATTTTTTTAATTTTCCGACATAATAATTCCCCTCTATAGTTACTGAATGCGAAGGCATAAAAAATTCAATCGTTCTTTGCTACATATTTCATCGATTCTCGAAAGGATACAGTTGGTCCCTTAACTTTCATGCCCCTATTATTTGCCATATGAGGCATGTGCTGGTTTCAAGTGAACTGCTTCAATCTTCTCAATTCCGGAATCCTTTGGGTTGATAACCTGGAAATGGATCTTCTTTTTTGTTTAAGTGTGGATATGTTACCTAGAGAACCATCCATGGAATTGTAATCAGTGATACACGGGCTTTAATTTATGTGCCATATCACTACTTATTCCTTGCTTCTTTGCAGATACGAACTCTCGGTATGCTGAGGTCACGGTTTCAGTCATTGCCAGGTGCATTTAATGCATATTTGGTGCCTTCGGACAAGGCTCAGAAAAAAGGATTTTCTCTGTCGAAGAGATTTGCTGAGGTTTCTTTCTTCTAACTGGAATCTTGATTCTTGTCCATTATGATATGCATATACTTAGATTGTGCTTTGCTTCTTACGTACTTCAATTGTTACATTTTTCTGCCAGGTTTCAGCAAATAGAAGAAGTGAAGCTGCCAAATTTGCCCAGTTGTGGAATGAAGTGATAACCAGTTTCCGTGAAGAAGATCTTATCAGTGACAGGAAAGGCTGCACAAGCAAGATAAATAATGTTAACTAAGGCTTTTTCCTCACTTATTTTTTTATAATAAAACGGGAATTTCCTTTCTCCAGGGAGATGGATTTGTTAGTAGTTCCTTATACATCAGATCCCAGCATCAAGTTGATCCAGTGGCCACCATTTTTGCTTGCAAGCAAGGTCTTTATTGCCTTAAAAGAACATTCCAAATTTCCGTTACTTTTTCCCCAGGAAATTGACTATACTTCCTTTTGCAGATCCCTATAGCTCTGAATATGGCAGCGCACTTCCGATCAAAGGATGCTGACTTATGGAAACGTATATGTGCAGACGAGTATATGAAATGTGCTGTGATTGAGTGCTATGAATCCTTCAAACAAGTCCTCAATATTTTGGTCGTTGGAGAAAATGAAAAGAGGTTCTTTTCACTATTATATATCTTTTCAAAGTTATTTTTCATTCATGTTGATTTTAAAAGGAAAGCATATGACTTGTTCATTGTTGGGTTCTAAGACACCCTTTCTTTTCTGGTGGCTCCGTGTTTGTTTGGAAACTCAGATGAGACTGATTATCCGTCTGGCTCTTGCTGTTCTTATTTTGCTTCAATAGAGTTATAACTGGCCTGTTATAAGTTCTTACTTGTTGTCCTCTATATATGATTTCCTGCTTTCTGGGAACCAGGCTCTTGTTTGTCCATTAATGTATTAGCCGGTCCTTACCAAGCAAATCAAATTTGAATGATGCTGCAGCATCAACTGTGAATGAGCTAGTTAGCTTTATTCCCCACCTTTTACTGTTCATATGCCGTCATTAAGCGTTTTGAACTTTGATCACGCTGTGATAAGTTTTTATTCCATCGACTGATGGTGTTTTATGGCAGGATAATTGGCATCATCGTCAAAGAAATAGAGAGTCATGTTTCAAAGAGCACACTTCTTGCAAATTTCAGAATGGCCTCTTTGCCAGCTCTTTGTGAAAAAGTTGTGGTGCTTGTGGGAATCCTGGTGGGTCTCTTATTTATTTGTGTTTACTTACTTGTGATGTTCATAGCCCTTGATCATGTATATATGATTCTACCCTTTTGACTGTCTCTTTATGTTGCAGAAAGATGGTGATCCTTCCAAGAGAGATGACGTGGTGCTGTTGCTTCAAGATATGTTAGAGTTGGTCACCCGTGATCTGATGGTGAATGAGAATCGGTTGGTATATCTTCTGGTTGTATATTATCATATGCCATGATCATTTCTTTACTAATCATTAATGTTTCCTGTTATATTTCAGTGAATTAGTAGATCTCGGACATAGTGGCAAGGATTCTGGAAGACAACTGTTTGCTGGTACAGATCCAAGACCCGCTGTAGTATTTCCTCCCCCGGCTTCTGCTCAGTGGGATGAACAGGTAACAACTGCCTTCAGCTGAGCCCTTGAGCTATTAAGGTTTTGATTAGCGCTTGATTTTACCAACCAGGTGCCTGAATTTTCCCCCTAATCTTCCTCCAGATAAGACGGCTTCATCTTCTTTTGACGGTAAAAGAATCTGCCATGGATGTACCAGCAAATCTTGAAGCGCGCAGGAGGATTTCGTTTTTCACGAACTCCTTGTTCATGGATATGCCACGTGCTCCACGAGTCCGCAAAATGCTCTCATTTAGGTATGTTTCTTGATTAAGTGAAAGATTCGGCTCTTTTTATTGGATTAATGTTGATGAAACTTTGTATTATGGGCCAAGTATAAAAGAAAAGAAAGGTCTAGTTTCTGAATGAAATTCGTTATTCTCATGAAATGACTTGATAGAATAGTTCAGAAAAAAAAATCTAGAACCATTCATAGACACATAGAACAGTCCTAAATTTTGTCTGTAGATAATCCTAATTATGAGAAAGCATTCAAATCCGTACCCTAGATAGTTCATTTTGCCATTATGAATATACGGAAAAAGCTCTTATTACAGTTAACAAATTTCTGCCATACTTTATTTCTGTTGCCATAACAGTGTTATGACCCCATACTATAGCGAGGAAACTGTCTATTCTAAATCCGACCTTGAAATGGAAAATGAAGATGGTGTGTCCATTATATACTACTTGCAAAAAATCTATCCAGGTGGGATGCTCAATCGTGATTTTGATTCTTTTGGAATTAGAGAAGTTATATATATATCTGAATTGATAGTCCTTTTGCAACTGTGCCAGACGAATGGACAAACTTCATGGAGCGAATTAATTGTAAGAAAGAGAGTCAGGTTTGGGAAAATGAAGAAAACATCTTACAGATCCGTCATTGGGCCTCCTTAAGGGGTCAAACTCTCTGTCGCACAGGTGATTGAGGCTAATTTTAGGACCCTCTAAATTGTATGATTATACTGACCACTTTTTGCTGATGTTGCAGTCAGAGGAATGATGTATTATAGAAGAGCTCTGAAACTTCAGGCTTTCCTTGATATGGCTAATGAGAGCGGTAAGTGAATTAGTGTTCTTATTTTATTTCAAGCATGAAAGTTTTTCTTCTGTTAGATGTAGGCGTCCTCACCAAATTCAACTGATGGAATTAGTTGCAATAAGAAACAAGTTCGTAAAGATGTCAACATACAGGTCCAGTCCGGATGCAGATTCAGGTTATCCAACATGCTGGTTTGAATCAATATACAAAATCCTTGTCGGTGTTAATAGAGTTCTGGAAAGAACCAAATAACCAACCAGTAATTGTTTTCTTAGTGTTCTTTTTTTTAATAAATTTCTTATTGTTATTCCTATGCTCTTAACATAAAGATAAACCCAACCAGTAAGTATTATGTGTTTATATCTCTTTGTTCCCCGAGTAGACAAAGCCTTAGTTATTGATGACACAGTTCTGTTAGCTGTTCTAGTTTATGTTTCCTGTACAGCTTAACTGAATGTCAGCGGGTGAATGCTGTCCTCAGTGGAACTTTAGTAACTTACAATAGTCTAATTTTGGTGCGACCCCATCTTTTTCCCTTTCTGAGATACGAGGTTGAAGAACTGGTTTCATGTTTTGAAGATCTGAATCTTGTATGCAGAGATATTAGCTGGCTATAAAGCTATAACAAACCCAACTGAGGAAGACAAGAAAAGTCAACGATCCCTCTCTGCTCAGTTGGAGGCAGTAGCTGACATGAAATTCACGTATGTAGCCACCTGCCAGATTTATGGAAATCAGAAGAGAAAAGGAGATCGTCATGCAACAAACATCCTGAATTTGATGGTTAAGTACGTTCTCTCTGGCAATAAGCTTTGCTCTCTTTAATTAATTTGCAACTGTTGGTTCAAGAATCCTAGTCTGGGTTTTGATCCCTTGATGTTGCTTCTGTAGCAATCCTTCTCTCCGTGTTGCATATATTGATGAAATAGAAGAATGCGATTCTGGAAAAGCACAAAAAGTTTATTACTCAGTGCTGGTCAAAGGTGTTGATAATCTTGATCAGGTGATTTTTCCACACAAGCTGGTCAAAGTTTATCCACTGCATCCGCGATGGATAATTGATGTTAATTGTTCTCGTGTCACTTCCCACAGGAAATTTATCGTATCAAACTGCCAGGTTCAGCAAAACTAGGTGAAGGAAAGCCTGAAAATCAGAACCATGCTGTAGTATTTACTAGAGGGGAAGCCATGCAAGCCATTGATATGAATCAGGTATAATAAATCTAAAGGAGTTCTCTTTGTTGCAACCCTTACATATAAATTCATAAAATGTATAAAAAGATGCGAACACTGTCTTTGTAGGATAACTATCTAGAAGAAGCTTTCAAAATGCGCAATCTTCTTGAAGAATTTCATGAGGATCATGGGGTGCGACCACCTACAATTTTAGGTGTCCGTGAGCATATTTTTACTGGAAGGTTGGATAAAAGTTTGTCTTCTTGATCGATAATTTATTCCTTGTGAATGCTGGGTTCTATATCTAACAAGTTATACATTGATTATGCTCAGTGTTTCTTCTTTGGCTTGGTTCATGTCAAATCAAGAAACAAGTTTCGTCACCCTTGGTCAAAGAGTTCTTGCTAGGCCCTTGAAGTACGTACTTCTTTCTTTATTGCATTTTCTGTGTGTGGGTCCCCCCTTTTAAAGCTACTATGTCAAGATAAAGCCACTGGAATTGGAGAAAATTCTTGATATAGCTGCACAGTCTTAACTTTTTCTCCTTGATTTCCCATATTTTATGTATGGAATTAACTCGGTTCATATCAGTAGAGAATTATGCACCAACTTGTCCATGTTTGGGTTGGTTTTTTCTAATGGAGTTTTTGTTATTTAGGATACGATTCCATTACGGGCATCCAGATGTGTTTGACAGAATTTTCCACATAACCCGTGGGGGTGTCAGTAAGGCTTCTCGTGGCATCAACTTGAGTGAGGATATCTTCGCCGGTAAAGACTCGAGTCTACCATCCCATCTTTCGGAAGGTTTCTCCCCACTTAATTCTATACCAATGCACATTCTTTCATGCAGGATTCAATTCAACTCTACGAAGAGGAAATGTCACCCACCATGAGTACATTCAAGTTGGCAAAGGTCGAGATGTTGGGCTCAACCAAATCTCCTTGTTTGAAGCCAAAGTAGCATGCGGTAATGGCGAGCAAACACTCAGCAGGGACATCTATAGACTAGGCCATCGTTTCGATTTCTTCCGAATGTTGTCCTTCTATTATACGACCATTGGTTTCTACATCAGCTCAATGGTAAGTCCTTCACTACCCTCTCTAGTAAAGTTTAGTTATGGTTTTCCGTTATATTATAGTTTCCTGTTATAACAAAAAAATCCTCTTACCATTAATGTGAATCCTGCCAGTGTTAACATAAACCAAAATCCGTTTAAATCTATTTGGACAGCTTGAGATCCAGTTAACTGGAAAACAGAGAAGGTTGGCCATCCCCTTGTATTTGAAGTGAACAAGAAACTGAATCTGTCAACTTGAACACTAGGCACATCTAGAAAAAGCCACCTCGTTAGACACACCATGATCAAAGTCTGATATGTACCAAACAAGACATGCAAATATGTTTCCTCGATTCAACATTCCTACTTGCTCCATGTGCAGATGGTGGTCCTCACAGTCTACGCCTTCTTATATGGGAGACTGTATTTAGCACTGAGTGGATTGGAAGGTTCCATAATCAAGTTTGCAAAACACAGAGGAGACAATGCACTGAAATCAGCTATGGCTTCCCAGTCCGTGGTCCAGCTAGGCCTCCTCACCGCCTTGCCCATGGTCATGGAGATGGGCCTCGAGAGAGGCTTCCGAACAGCGCTAGGCGACATCATTATCATGCAACTACAGCTTGCCTCCGTCTTCTTCACCTTCTCCCTAGGAACACGAACCCACTACTATGGCCGTACTGTCCTCCATGGTGGCGCCAAGTACCGAGCAACCGGTCGTGGCTTCGTCGTCCGCCACGAGAAGTTTGCTGAAAACTATCGTATGTACTCGAGATCCCACTTCGTCAAGGCCCTGGAGCTCATGCTGCTTCTTATATGCTACCAGATATATGGGAAATCCGTGTCTGGCCAGGTAGCTTACGTGCTCCTCACGGCTTCCATGTGGTTCCTGGTTGTGTCGTGGCTATTCGCTCCTTTCCTGTTCAATCCTTCGGGGTTCGAGTGGCAGAAGGTCGTTGACGATTGGGACGACTGGACTAAGTGGATTGGCAGCCGGGGAGGGATCGGTGTGCCTGCAAATAAGAGCTGGGAGTCGTGGTGGGAAGAGGAACAAGAGCACCTCCAGCACACGGGGATCTCTGGGCAGATTTGTGAGGTCATCCTCGCTTTACGTTTCTTCATCTATCAGTACGGCATCGTTTACCAGCTGAAAGTCACCCTGGCCACGTCAGCTGGACGAGAGCACAGCCTTTCTGTGAGTATCATTATATAAATCCCTCATTTCTGCTCTGCTGTGAGCTCAGCCCTACTGCACTGGTTAATGATTCATATTTTTGCAGGTCTATGGACTGTCATGGCTGGTCATTGTCGCTCTTATGGTAATCCTGAAGGTAAAGATGACTATTGTTTTCTACCTTGTTGTGAATTTGCAAAAAAACCCCGTGGAATATAACTTGATGACTTTCACCCATACAGATTGTGTCGACGGGTAGAAAGAAGTTCAGCGCTGACTTCCAGCTAATGTTCAGACTTCTCAAGTTCGTGCTCTTCATTGGTTTCGTGGTCACGCTCATCATCCTCTTCACTACACTCCATCTCACGGTCGGAGATGTGTTCCAGAGCTTGATGGCCTTCCTCCCTACCGGCTGGGCAATTCTACAGGTATGGAACTTTGACACCGTTCCGTGGAATTGTATTTGCAAAGTCTGTTTGAAATGAATGGATTTCATCGTTATCTTTCAATAACCGATTTAAGGTGGTCGAAATTTTTTTTATATTGCCGTCTCTCATTACTTGCAAAGTAGCAACATTAGTGCAGACATTTCCATTTAGCTGACAGTGTAAGTGTAACCAGAACCTGCTAAGCTGAAATGGATGGAAAATTGGAAATAGTTCTCAGGAGGATAGGATTATTAGAATTGGACCAGAATTGTATTCTTTCGATTCTGTTCCACCATTTCATCCAATCTGGTGCGCGCACCTCTGGTAGCTCCAACGATGATCTAACGCTGTTAGTTTGGTGGTCTTAAAACGCAGATATCGCAAGCGTGCAAGCCGATAGTGAAGGGGTTGAAGATGTGGGGATCGGTGAAGGCATTGGCGAGAGGGTACGAGTACATGATGGCATTGATACTCTTCCTCCCCATAGCAGTGCTAGCCTGGTTCCCGTTCGTGTCCGAGTTCCAGAACAGGCTTCTATTCAACCAAGCCTTCAGCAGAGGTCTCCAGATCCAACGGATCCTCGCCGGCGGAAAGAAGCACAAGTAATATCAGCGACAGGTCAGGATTCGAAAGAGGTCTCCATCCACTTAGTAGAATGCCATTTGGTGCGCGCATAAAAGAGGAGGTGCGGTTTTGCGCTTTCTATATATGCTCTGCAACGGTCGAAACCCATTCTTGTTGTTTTTCTATATCTCACCACATTAAATTTGTTGGGCTGTCTCTTACCAAATGGTTTCTGTATATTCTTGACTTGGCCAATAAGAGAGAGGAAGTTTAGCTGGGTTCGGGTTTTGCTTGGTTATGTTTGGAAGCTCACTATCTCGTAGTTACTAGTTTAGCTTAGGGGCTGTTTGGAGGATGGTGAAGCGATTTGACTCAATTGTTTTAAGTAGGTTGGATGGAGGAGTTATGAAATTGGGCAATTCGCCTCCACTCGTAATGGTATCACATAAACACATTATTTCACAATACTTAGTCATTTCTTCTATCAATTCAAATGAGGCAATTCAAATTGCCTCGTTCCAATTCTTGCATCCCTTATTGTTGTGTTGTCAAATGACTGAATGAGGCTATTTGACTTAATTGTTTCATTTTGAGTCAATTGAGTTTAATTTTCTTATCCAGTATCATCATCCAAACAAGGCCTATAATTGCTGCATCTCATGATTGATATATAATTACATAATACTTGCTGAGTTCAAATATATGCAAAGTGAGTCAATTCAGATTTTCTCATCTCAAATGTTGCTTCCTCATTTTGTGCTGCTAAACAAGGCTATTCGACTCAATTACTTTACTTTGAGACGGTCAGATCAAATTGTCTCATCAAATTCCATCATTTCAAACGACCTATTGATTACTTCCATGCTGGCTGCCTCTTCAATTGAAAGCGAGATATGAAGACTAGCTAGAAGCACATCAAGCTTGGTTGTCTATGAGCTTGATTTGTCTAGTTTATGCAACCAAGCTAGTTTTTGGACAGAAAATGATAGGCGGCCCCTTCTTTGCTGAAAGTCAGCCTTGCAGCAGCTGTAATAGAGTAACACCTTAAACTAGAAAGTGACTTAAGTAATAGTTAGCAAGAAACTAACAAAGGAGCTATTGGTACTTCGTGTCACTGTATCTTTTAGTTGCAAGTGTGGGTGGTAATTCTTTCAAGCTAAATCGAAAGGTGCTAACTTGGTGCTAGTCTTTGTTCTACCCCGATCGAACTCGAAGTAAAAGTTCTTTCTCAAAAGCTCTTAAATTAGTTCAAGAATATAATCTCTCGAGTCGTGTTCATCCCGACTTAAAGGCCTGAGAATCCATTGTGCGAACCCTTTACAATTTACATGCATTCCTTCTTTCTCTTTGCCAACCATGATCACCATATTGAACTGTATGTACATGGTCCTCCTCACCGCAACCAAATCTAATTACGACAGGAAATTGGTTTTGCTCGTTCTGTCGACATACGAGAAACAGTTGGGACTTGGGTGAGTGGATTTTAGATTATTTAATTGCTAGAGCACAAAACAGACAGTGCGGCTGGCTGACAGTCTGACGTGACACTTGGAAATTTGTCATCCACCCAAAAAAAAAATGACACGATTCCCACCTTTTCGTGCTTGCCAAAAAAACGACACAGATTTATTTATCATTATTTTTGGATCAAAATCCAACACTCTTATCTTCTGTCTCTATCGATGCCAAACAAAACCCACAAATCAAAATGGTGGGCCGACGGCCGGGCAGGCCTATCGTCCTTCCTTCCATTGCTTTCCAACTGCCGAGCCCCCACGTCATCAAGCAACTCAGAAAAGTCCACTCCGCCAACGACCGGCGACGAGCCACCATATCGACCCATTCTGCCCAATTGGCTCCCCGGCGACTAAGATCCTCACTCGTTTAATTGGCCGGATTAGTTGGCTAAAAACAAACAACGCACAAGATAACAAAAACTACTAAACGATCGATAAAATGAAGAACACTTCGTGAAACTCGAAACAGGCTGTGTAAATCCAAATAATCAAAGAACCTTCCTTTCTCCCTCCTCATCGCCTTCCCTAGTTTGCTTCACCCAAAGGCTAAAAGGTCAAAGAATAACAACCAAAGGATAAGCCATGCTAATTGTAAAAGCCATATGGAAGAATTAAGGAATGGTTGTACTATCCCTAGACCACTAGTTAACATTCAAAATGAAAAATTTAGAGTATAATGTACATTATAGCAATGCTTTTAACTTAAAAAAGAGAGACTAGTCGCTTTCAAGTTGGTTCGTAGCAATAATTTAAGAGGTCATATGGGTGAATCAATTCACAAACGAGGCAATTTGGTCAGTTGTTTCGTTTTATGAAAACAAGTCGTTTATAACAAATCAATTCGAATTGTCTGCATCCATCTCGTACAACTGGAATTGACTCAAAATGAATCCCTTCAAAATTCTAAGCCAAATTGATCCATACAATTTTTTTTTTTACAAACGAATCAGTTTGATCAAATTGTCACAAACGAGACAATTAGATGTCATTGGTTCATTACAATTCCTCATCAAAACAATCATGAAAACATATCTAAGGGTACATCACATGCGCCTTCAGTCTATTACTCGATCCAACCCAAATCGGGCACAACACTCATATAGTGTGCTTGAGCTTTGTGTACACAAATACATACGCATGAAATTATTAGAATTCAACACAAAACCTTTCAAACATCAATAATGAAAATCCTCTCATCTATTTTCTGATACAATATGTATGCATGTATCAAACACGTATGACTCTCATTCTTCATTCGTAAATTGCGTTCATCCAATGATCATACAAACAATCGCTACTATAGTCTCAAATTCAGGGGTTGTTTGGAAGTTGCGATTGTTAAATAGATGTATTCTTGAAAATGCATGTATAATATTATACATGTATTGTCGAATTTGATGCATTGTAGAATACAACGTTTGGTATGTGTGATTGTGTATGTCGCATCAGCTAAAAGCTGAGACAAAACAATCTCAACTCAATTATGAATTATCTCAACAATCACAACTAAAAGTTGAAATATAACAATCACTCAAAATGAGTGATAGTTGTCAAGAACCAGTTGGTTGTTGGGAGAGGTTCAATCGTGGATCATATACTACAACACTAACACGCCCCCTCAAATGAAAGCCACTCACAAGGGCGTGAAGTTTGCACAGGTCTGAAGACAAGAATACCATGTGCTTAACAAATGGGGGTCACATAAGGCTCTGATACCATGTCAAGAACCAATTGGTCCCAATAACTCTAGTTGTTGGGAGAGGTTCAATCGTGGATCATATACTACAACACTAACAATAGTTTCTGTTACATCACAGAAATAATCCATGTATTGTTTCTGCTAAAAAAACAAAAAAACGATGCATTGTAAACAATACATGAATAATGACAATCTCAACAAAACTATCGCAACTTCCAAACGACTCCTCAAAGCATCACTTTGAATAACATGATTTGTTAGAGTTTATATGTATTAACTCTTACCCGCTAAATCGTCTCAAAATCGACGAATTCGAGATTTACATCAACTTATTCTCCATTAAAACAGCAATAAAATAATCTCGCAAAACGAGAATAAAAGCATTGAATTCGAAAAAAAAGAAATTCTCACAGTTCCCGAGGCACGAAACCTCTTTCTCTCTCTCTCTCGCGGATCCGCTTCCCCTTTGCCGGACTTCGGGCCTCCGAACTATATATATATAACCCGCTCCGACCAAACCCACCACTAGAGAGAGAGAGAGAGAGCAAAAAGAGAAAGTTACCGGAAAACCCAACGAAGCCATGTGCCTTTCCTCTTCTCCACTTCTCCCTCCAACTCGCCGCTCCTCCGCCTGACTCAGTTCCTTCCTTCCCGCCGACGAACGAGTCACCTCGTCCTCCCAACAAAACAAAAATGGCCGAGACGCGCCGCCTGAACCGGCGAACCTCATGGTGCTGCTCCATCACTCACCCTCCCTGCAAAAGCCCCGACTACTGCCGCGCCCTCCCGTCCTCCAATTCGAAGCGCAAGCCCAAGCCGAATCGGAAGAAGCCGACTCGCTCCAACTCGCTACCGTACGACTCGCCTCAGGGCTTGAAATTGAGCTTCGTCGGCAAGATTGACCCCCGCAAGATCCTCTCCCCGGGCCGCGTCTCCCCAATCGACTCCGATCCCACCGCCGGGGAGCTCGTGCAATCCGCGGCGTCGGTGGGGACGGCGGCCGAGGAACAACGCGCTGCCGCCGCTCTTCCGGTGACGGCGGCTGTGGTAGAAGTGGAATGTGCGAGATCCGAGAGGTCCGCTTCCTTCAGAGGACTGAACGATGTTACAGGAGGCGGCCTCGGGTCGGGTTCGGGTCATTTCGGGTTGGATCCGGGCGGCGGCGGAGGGGATTCGTTTGACGTGAGGTTGAATTTGAGAGGGAGGAGAGGCGGGACGTTGGTGCTGGAGATGAGTTCCGATGTTTTGATGGCGAATTCGGAGGTTCTGGGAGCGCTGGTGGCAGAGTACAGGAAGGGGGCTCACAAGGTGAATCGTATTTATAGTAATGGTAATGGTGGTAGAAGGAGTAGATCGATGAAGGTTTGCAGAATTGAGGTCCCTGACGTGGAGAACATTGGGGTTTTCAGAGACACGATCGAGTTGATGTTTGAAGATGACATTACTTCCAAGCTCTTGAAGCATGGAGCTTATCGCGCCATTTCTATTCTTGAGGTACATTTCTTTCCTGAAAACGTTCTCCTTGCCCCTTTCGAAATGTATTAGATAAGCCCGATTGAATCGATTATGTTCTGTTGAAATGGTTGAAATAGCTTGGTGGGTATTCAGTGGTTGATTAAGAAGTTGAAAGCTTGTGTGATTTTCATGGTGCTTGGGAATTGTTTTGAGAGAGAGATAGAAAGAGTAGAGTGAATTAATTAGCATCTGAAAGTCAGCTTGTGTCTGTCAAAATGATCTAAGAATGTTGTTGGAACTGATCTCAGGTATCAGCTGATCTTAAATTCAGCCGAGGCGCCTTATCTTGCTTGAACTACCTTGGGGCAGTGCCTTGGACAGAAGAGGAAGAAGAAAAACTCAGGCGCATAATGACCATCCACAAGTTCGATGAAACAGCCACTCGAGACATCTTAGACAGACTCTATATTCAGGAACCAAGTGAAGACTCACAATGGAGTTTGACCAAACAACTTCTCTGGTCGATCACCACTTGTACGGATCCATCTGCGAGAAACGAGTTGAAATCTTTGGTGAAGGGGCTCGTCTCCAAGAGCTCGGTCTACGATAAACAACAGCCTGCCCTGAACAAGGCGGATGTGTACGTTATCTGCCAGAGCTGCCTCGATTCCCTAGCCTGCCTCTTTGACGAGGCATCATCATCACAGCCTAACACCGACACTGGACTAGCCAAAAAGAGCACACCAGCTGCTGCTAGGTCTCTGGTCGAGAGGATTGCGATGCAGGTTGACAATGTCAACTGGCTTTTAGAGATCCTGCTTGAATGGCAGATGGCTGAGGAGTTCGTCGACATGTGGGGCAACCAAGAAGAACTCAGGAAGCTCCACGAGGGAGCTTCTCCATTGTTTAGATACGAGCTCAGCAGAGTCTCTGCAGCCCTGTTTATTGCCATGGGGACCAGAAGGTTGCATTGTCAATTTGAGTCGAGATCAATGCTTTTCAAGACGTGGTTTTGCCCCATGCTGCAGGATTTCGGGTGGATTAAGAGGTGCAAGAAGGGGTTGGATTTGAAGGTGTTGGAAGAAGCAATCGGCCAGTCGCTGCTCACACTTCCCCTGGCGATGCAGCACGAGCTGTTCATGGAGTGGTTTAGTTACTTCTCGAAGCACGGGAACGATTGTATAAATCTAGGGAAAGCGTTTCAGATGTGGTGGCGAAGGTCGTTCCTTAGAGGCTCGGAGACTCACGGTGTTGAATCCAGGTAATTAGACCGCCCTACTAACTAACACACGTTAGGTTTCTCTTAGACCACGGAATTCTCGAACCCTAATGTGGAAATGACGTTTTTGTGTCCTGCGCTTCCGTATAATCGTTGTGGCGAATTTCTGGTCGCCTTGGATGAAATGATGTGGTTGTGGTTAATGTAGTAGCTCTTCCCGCGGCCCTCGATAATTGATTGTTGGCTTCAGGGTTCGATTCGTTGTCCGTTGATTGCTTTTATATGTTGAGGATTTGTAATTCTTTTGAGTAATTTGAAGGATGGCATTGATGAATTCTTTCAACATAACTAGATTACTAACTACTCCTTTTCCTTGTTTCCTTTTCTTGTTTGAATTTAGGAAGCTTAGGGTTAGGTTTAGGCTTCCAATGGCATAACCTTCAAAGATCAACTTCACTACAAGACCACTGACAGTAACTTCCACCTAAGAGAAACTGAATATCTTCATAAATGGCAATCTTTGGGAGGGGGAAATTGGATGATTTATGGAAGACTTTTAACATACTGCAGATGGCAAGATTTCTGAAAAACGATATTAATTCTTTAGTGTAGAATACCAATAATATATGTTCTAACTTCTAAGCAAACCTATTACTGGTAATCAGATTTGAAAATGGTTAGTTATCCTAAACACATGTAGTTGTGAACATTATTTATTATAGATCGGTAGGGTGTTAACATGCAAATGTTAAACTTTTGTGAAGATCATGATGCAATCTCGAATTCGCATTGTGCACATACAATCGCAGCTAGTACTGCATGTCGTCGTAAATTGGGGGTTGTTGTATTGTTGTAGCGATCTTGTTCGAAACTGTATTTGCACAAGACTAGCTGGATTTTAAGCTCAGGAGCACAATACTCATGAAGAAAATTTATCTATGTAACACAATAAGTGAGATTGGTAGATATATAGAACACAACCGAAGCTGCAGATTATTTCTTTGCAGATCTGTGGCGTCTTCCTCTTGTTCTTCCTCTTGGGCCTTACTTGGGCTCCTCCTCCGGGCTTCGGATCCATATTGCTTACGAGTTACATTTTTGTGTCGCTACGATCTTATTATTTTAATCCGTCTCTCTGTGATTTAGATTTTTTTAAGTACCGTACGGATGGAATTTCTTGGGGGAACCTTCGACGACTCCAAAAATAAAATATGGAGAAGGAAGAATTAGTCAGCAGTGACGTTTGGTTTTAAAGAGTCAAGCGATGCGATGATGTCATCACCGTTCATTAATGTTTTTGAGTAGATTAAGATGGGGTTTGTGACTTTTGTGTTGTGTTGTTGTGTGGTTGGGTTGATCGATTGATTGATCGCTCAGTCAGTTGGTTTTGCCGCGTCGTTTGGAAAGTAGTGGGGGCCAATTTTGGTTTTAGCCCTTAGAGTTGGAAGTTTAGTATCGGTATTTGGGTTATACCGAATATTGTATTGAATTTGTTTATATTTGGTATTACCGAATATACATATTATTTTTTGAGATTGGGATAGAGATTGAATTTCAATTGTAATTCGGTATTAGGGATTTACGGGATTGAGATCGATATATACCGAAATACCGATCAATACCAAAATATAAGCTAGTGTGTATTTTATCCTCTCAACTAGATGTTAGAATTAATTTTATTGTATATAATTTCCCCGGAAGTTCATCTCGTCAGATTGTCAAAGGTGAACAGAAATACCTGGATACGTGTCGATTGATCGCCAAGAACTTGATGCGGAATCTGAAAGATGATATGGAACTGGACGGGACTCCTAGAGCACGATCCAGGAGGTACTGTGACCTTCCTCAACCAAGCCTCCATAGTTCCTTTACGGGAGAGCTCTCGTCTTCCTGATGGAGAGAAGACAAGAATATTTTGGTCTTGGTGTATTGGGGACCACGACCTCAACTCCTTTATATACTAGTCACCGTGGGCTCCCATAAAACCCAAGGTGAATAAGTATTGGGTTTCCACCTATTTAGACTCATATCAATCCAAGACATCTTTGGGCTCCTGATTTGGATCACTCTCAATTAGCCCACATAACCAAATAGCTCATATAATTGTAAAATATGTGGGCCATAACATTATAGGAAATAGAATTTCCTAACACTAGACTCTCTCATTCACTAACTACTACACGACCCTCAACCACCAAGAGTGTAATTTAATTATACATAGATCATTTCATCTTTGTTTCACAACTCAAAAGTCCCAATCCAACTCAATTTTGACTTTCCAATTTAAGTCACTCTCATCTCTCACCTAATAACTTGTTATTTTCATAACATCTAAAAGCAAATACTAGTATTAGTCATCTCTCAGCCTTCAATTCGTCAAATTAAAGATTACCAACGACAAGAACTTGAGATGTCACATCTCCTTCATTCTCCTTATCCATATCCTAGTTCTAGGCAAACTTAAGAGTCAAGACTCTTTGCTTAGTCTCTTTTCCCTAAATTAAACAATCACATCTAATTTATATATTTAATTATTTATTTCAAATGAAATTCATTTCGTATTCGATAATACCGATTGGGATACCGAAGTACCGATTGGGATATCGCAATATTTAGGGATTGAGATTGGGATACCAAAATTATTTAGGGATAGGGATTGACTTTTGGGTATAATTCGGTATTCGGGATTTCGGTATTTGGTATTGGGATACCGATACTGTACCGATTTCCACCCCTACTTGCAAGCGTGAATGACTCGTTTTCAAGAGTTTATTGGGTATTCATCAAACTGTCGTAGTTTCGGTTGTAGTCACACGATTAGGGTTGCAAGCGTGAATGACTCATTTTCAAGAGTTTGTGGGGGTCTTTATGGATTTGGAGTAGTTTTGGTTGTACCCACATTGATGTAGGGTTTTAAGTGCGAATGACTCTTTTTTTGATAGTTTGTTAGACGAATTGATTTGGAGTAGTTTTCGTTTTACGTGGAAAGAAATGTTTATCGATTTTGAACCTCTCACAACAAATCGAGTTATTGGGATCAACTGGTTTCTTACATAGCATCAGAGCTTTACATAGCCGCCAAGAAGTATTATGTTCGAATTTCGATGGTTCCCATTTATGAAGCACATGTAATTCTCCTATCCCGGACCTATGCAAACGAAATCTCTTAGGGGTTTATTGGCTTTTATTTGAAGTAATGTTTTAGTACGTGGTATAAGATCCATTATGAACCTCTTCCAATAACTTAAAAAATTATTGGTGTGTTAACAAAATTACTCAACAAATAGAGCTATTGCCATGCCTAGATGTAAGTGGATAGCTTCGATTGTGATCCGTTTAGTCGTGTAGTACCTTTTTAGACTTGATCCCTTAGTATTATAAAACAAAGTATAATGAGTAATGTCCAATTTTCAAAGTATCCGAAAAGTTTGGTGACCAATAATGTAATTGCCAAAAAATTAACAAGATTTGCTGTCCTTTGATGGTTTGTGGTGGAAAGAAACCCACTTGCTTGCAGTTGAAAAGATTTATTGGGAGCTATTGCTTTGGCCTTTGGGATGAGAATTGCCAGCCAAATGGGCAGTGGCCACTACCAATTTTAACGCGCAAGTGACGAGGTTTAATTTTGGTGCCGATTAAGTCGGCAGAAGTAAGATTCCGGCTGAAACTTACAACGCAAAAGGTCCCTTCGTTGCCTTAAGTTGTTTGTCGTCGTCGTCGTTATTATTATTATATAAAATTAGGATATCATGTATGTTGTATCATAACGCTATCAACTAGCATATAACCGGCCCATTGGCCGGAATGTTCTTATTTGATTTTATGTTATATTTAAACCAATCAATCGGTTTAATTTTATTGATAATCTTTCGATCGAGATGATATATAAAGAAATAATATATAGGTCTAACATTCGGAGAAATACCATCATCATTTAATTTTATTGATAATCTTTCGATCGAGATGATATATAAAGAAATAATATATAGGTCTAACATTCGGAGAAATACCATCATCATTTAAGAATATAAAATGTATCATTAATTCCATTTTCATAATAATTAAGCCCTCGTCAAATACTATTGGTTAGTTGATGGTCAAGAAAGAGGGTATAAAAGCTCAGTGAAATTCCACACGACCATTGGATAGTTTAAAACTAAATCACCTCACAATCCTACATAAGGGTTTAATGCGCTTCTTTAATGAACAATATGCCACTAATCAAAAAGAAAAGGAGAGTTGTTGATTCAAGTCAACTATATACTAACAACTCAGCTAAGAGGAGACCATCAAAACTTGAGAGCAAACGACAAAATTAGGGTTATCTCCAACATACTAATAGACTCAATCAAAGTAATAATGCACAAAATTAGACACTCCTTGTTTATCAGTTCCGGTAGGTTGAATAAAGAATTGACCTACTTCAATAAATCAATCAATGATTCCTCGTTTTAAGATAGAAATAGGTTGCGATAGATGTAAAAACCATAAACATAAAGATCCGATAGCCACCACTCTTCGTTGTACAACCAAATTTTTATCTCAAGAGACATATGTTTCAACCAAAAATTCAATTCAAATCCTCCTTCTGCAACTCCATTATTGATTAAACTCTTTTACTTGCCCAACTTAGATCCCCAACAATAAAACCGCGTGCCAAGAGATACCGAATGATTGATTTTCAAAGGCGGCCTTGTACTGGGAAGTGAAAGGGGTGCAAAATATTGTACGATGGAGGAAATTTCCGAGGAAGTTAGAAAGAGTTAAAAACAAAGATAAAAACCACAAAATTTAAATTGAAAAAATGCAAGGACACAACACGTAGTGACAAAATTAATTTTTTCCATGTTAGCCAATTATCAATTTACCTTTAGCAAAAACTAAGGAGAGAGAAAGAGTTTTAAAATTGAGAAAATTACATGAAACTCAACTATGAAAATTGAAGTATCAAGCACCATAAAAATCTATACGGTATACTTAGTGGGCTTGCTAATCATGATGGAAAGTCCTGCGATTTTCAGAGAGTTAACTTCGTGTACATTTTGTATTCAAAACGACACAACAAATTTGTTTAGTGTAAATGGTTGTGATTGCTTGAAGAGACTCGGGTTCAAATCCTGATGTTAATATTTTTTATGTGAGATAAATAATTAATTGTAAAGACAAAAATGTCCTTCTTTCTTTTACTGTCGTTGCAGAAAATTTAAAATGGAGAAAAGTACACAAAAGTGTACTATATATTATTGGGGTATTAGCAATGGCAATAGCGGGTTTGGAGTGGGTATTTCGGTACTCATACTCGTTTCGTGGCAGATCGGGTACAAATTGGGTAATTTATCACGAGTTGTGGGTCATGATAGGTCAAATCCATATGGATATGTAATTTAAAAGAAAAATTGTAGAAATATTATTTTTTTCATTAAAAAACTAAACAACAAACTATAATATGATAAGTGTAATTTAATTATGAGAAATTGAGATTCCCACCTATTAACAACTTCATTATAGCTAAAATATGAGATAATAAATATAAAATCTTAAATAATTTGAATAAAAGTACATGTAATTTATGGAAAAACGGGTTGAAAGTGGAGAGGATAAGGACAGGTCGGGTCGAGGAGAGTACCTACGCCCGTCCCAACCCTTCCCTACCCGTCTCAAAACAAGTAGAACAGCTCAGGTAAAAGGGTCAGATCGAAGCGCTAAATATGAGTTAGGTAGAGAAATTTGGGTTTCGCTTGATTTGAAAAATGAGAAATTTGGGAAGATATGAATTTTAGAAGAATTCAGATTTATTATTTATTGCTTGACATTATGGATTTGAAAGACTTAATTGTTTACTTAGCTTATTGGATTTGACTATGCACTTTGCTTGAGTAGATCATTGGTTTATGGTCATGCCTCAAATCACATCTTTTGACTTTGACATGATATTTGCCCGTGCATGAGGTCCACTAATTTAATTTGGACCCTCAAAGTGATGCAATCCCGCTGGCATCACAATGTGATGATTTCATCAAAGTAAACAAGAGAGAAGTCATAGCTTGAAGATGGAAGAACCCCAAACGGAAGGGATTCGATTCCCCGCCTGGGGATGACAAGGCAATGACCGAGGAATAGGAGCAGGAGACCCTCTGGTCAGGTGGATGTTAATCCCTGATCGGGAATCTGATGGTGCGCGACAGGGGATCGGACACTAACGAGTAAAAATTACCTTTTGTGTTTATAATTCTTTTCCTTTTTGGATTTTTGTTTAGTTTTGTTTCTCTAGCCCGTGTAAAGGGCTTAAGCTCGAGTTTTAGGGCAGGCATTGAAGATTTGGAATATTATTTGTTTTTATTCTTGGTTCATTGAGCTTTTGTCTTGCGAGTTGTGTTTTGTATCAATCGAGTATTTTTCTTGATTGTGTTCGAGCATCTACTCTATATTGATAGAGCTTTCTCCCAGGCGTAAGATTGCACTTCAATTTCGTTTTATCCTTAACCTTAACCTATGTTTTTGGTTGTGCAACTCTGATAGCTACACGCACCAATTCCGTGCTCGTATCACAATGTCTATGGATCACACATATGTGATCCTCAGCAAACAACATCATTATGCAAAGTCCATGATGTATTAGATTTAGGATACAAATCCATAATCTAAATCCATGAAACATATCCTTGTATGAATATTAGATAAGAATTAAACGAAATTAGGACCAAGACAAATCAAGATCGACTAGAAGAAGAACTCATGTTCCTCTCACCTCAAATCGGTGCCCCCAAACCTCTCTTCCTTTTTATTTTTTGAGCAAATACATCATCTCCTCCTTCTAGATTGGAACATACACATAGGTTATGTCGGGGAACAACATTACAAAACCACAAAGTGGATTAGATTAGATAGGAGGGGGATAAAAATGGAAACCCAACCCAACTAGAGAAGATGTAGTAAAATTCATAAAAACGTGTAGCACATTTTGTCGTCTACAATGAAGACACTAACCACCCCAACTATACATAACATCCCTGCAATATTATAGTTCTTAATTTATTAAAATTGTTTTCTGCTCTCTTAAATCTTAATACATAAATTAATTATTATACCACCACAAGAAACTCAAGGCTTACGTGCCTATGAAGAAATTAACCACATTTGTTGATTGAGAATCTACTTAGCTACACGTTTTATATAGCTGGAGTGACATTGACACAACCACACAAAGCAAGTTCATGAACCAAATCAGAAAAGAAAGGTGGCTTATGAATCGAGACTACTGTTATATTGTCTCATCTTTTAGTTACCACTTATCTTTTACTACTTTATAAGACTCTTTGATCATATAAAGAGTTTACGATGTCAAGCTTCAGTTGATTTTCCAATAACTCGAATTGTTGGGAGAGATTCGATTATAATTCTTATATCATTTACTAATCGTTTCCTCAAATGAAAGCAAACTCACGGGTTTAAATTTGCACATATATTAATACAATGTATTTAATTATATTGGGTGTTGTCGAGATTTGAACACAACACGTCTCAATCATTGACTACTCTAATACCACATCAATAGTCCATTGGTCACAGTAATTCGTACCTGCTTCTTTTAATTTCTTGTTTTACATTATTGTATTATTATGGTGCGTAAAAAACCTTTCTTCTGATCTTCTGAGATTGGATCTCACCGCCACCATATAGGCACACTTGCAGTTACTCCCTGCTCCAGACCTTTGTGGAATATTAGGGCTTAAATTTGTTCCTTAACCGAATCCATCAAGGCCATTTGAGTAAAGTTCTCAATTCGATTTAGTCCGTTGGTCCAGTCGAGCAAGCGAGTTGAGGTTAATGTTCCGACCGCTTTAATTTGGATATATAAAAAAATCATTATAGTATTAATACATTTATAAATTATATCAAATCTCATCTAACATATGAGTAATAACATACAAAACTACACCAAAATAACACGTCGTACTTGGATGCAACAAATAGTAAAAATTGACACACACTTATATAATATCAATATTCAGCTTAGAATTCCAAAATAAATAGGGTTAGGCGAAGAACAAAACTAGAAAATAGGAACTTTTGCAAACCAAATGGAAAAACGAAGCCGTGTTACCTCCAACTCGATAACCTTGCAGCAGGTCGAGTCGACAAGTGTGTGGGGTCTGTTTTTCTCTGTGAATCAAGATCAAAACGGATCAATCGGCAGGTCGACCCGCAGTTGACAACCTTGCTTTTTATTTAGACAACTAACCGGTTATTAATGTCTAAAAAAGAATCTCTTACTACAAAGTAGATTCCATTCAAGACAACGATACTGCCATTGCCTAACACTATAACAGATGCATAGCCTCTCGAATCGTCAGAACTTCCATAGCTTTAGGATTGGATACACCTTGGAACGAGCAGCCAAATGCAAATATTGGTGTAGCTCCTGAAGAAAACCTAATTGTTAGTTCTGATGTTTGATGTTTTCCCATTGGGGGAATTATATGTTTTTTCCCTCTATCCAAAAATAAAACTAAAAGGCGCATGATTCTCCCAATATACTAACTACGTATTATAATTCCGTTGCTAACCATACGGCCTCTATAATAATAAAAATAAAATAGTTGAGGCTGCAAAGGGAGAATGAGAAAGATGAGATACATTTAATAATAAATTGAATATATTTTGGTAGCTAACTTCCAATTAGCATTAATCAAACAACTATTGGATGAGACAATGTGTAACACACCATAATAAAGAGAAAAAAAAAACATGTTCATGTTGGTAGAAAAACCTATATATATATATAGGGCTAAGCAAGTGAACTTACTAAATACTCGGACCGGATAAAACTGTTACGAATAACAACTAACTGGATTCACATCCTTAATCTCATTGCTCAATTGAGGTAACCAATATTAACTTAATTGACAAGACGCGTATTGTAGTGAAATGAAGAATTTCTTGTAAAAACTTCAAAGTTAAACGTGCTCACCGTGTAGCACTGCAAGGATGTCTGACCTTATTGGAATTCACCTTGATATGCACCTCAAGGGAAAAATCCGTGCGATCGAGACACAAAGCTGACATTAATATCTTGTCGCGAAAAGGTTCGGGATGTTACTACTGGTACCAGAGCATCTCTACGTCCCTCTTGTACGATGGTGGGGCAAATCTCAACAGGGACGTTGAGTCCCAAAGTTGGGAAGGGGGGGGGGGGGGGGGGGGGGGGGGTTATGTAACCACCTTAGGCGAATATCACATCAACAAAACACGAGAGAGAACCATGATTCATAAGTAAGAAATCGGCCATAACTGACAAGACGCGTTTTGAGCTGAAATGTAAACATTCTTGTAAGAACTCCAAAATTAAACGTGTTGACTGTATTATACTGCAAGAGTAAGTGACTTTATGAAAAATCAGCTTGTTATTAGGGGTGTCAGTCGGTCGGTTTCGGTTTAACCGAAAACCGAATTCTCGGTTATCGGTTAAACTGGGCCACCCCCTATGGCTACCGACCACCGACCGTGAGGGAGTCACGGTTAGCCGACCAACCGATCGGTCGGTTTCGGTTTAAGACTCGGTTAGAAGGCCAACCGAAAAACCTGCCCACTTTCTCCACTTTCTATTCCTGCCCACTTTCTCCTTTATTCTCTCTCCTTAGTTTTATCTCTCTGCCGAGAAAGAAAGAAACAAAAGAAACAACTGCAAAATCTGCCCACTTTCCTTTCCTTCGACCCCTAAACCAGACTCTACCCCTCTCTGGCTCTGCTCTCTCCCCCTTGCCTGCGTCTCCCCCGATCTGGTCACGACCGCCGTCGAGCCGTTTCCTTCTCTCTTCCCCCGAAACCAAAAACCAAAACCCAGAAAAGGGGTCAAAATCCCAGCAAAAAAACCCAGAAAATCAAACACGCAAAACCATAATCCGCCACTTACAATCGATTTGGAGGCTGGCCGGCCCTCCAACGGCGTATTATAGGCTGGGATCTTGTCTGATTCCGAAGTGGAACGATAGATGGGATCATGGGAAGTGATTTTCCCCTCCCGTTTCTCGGAAAGAAGAAGAAAGTAAATCGAGGGAGGAGGGTTTCTGATTTCAGAAGGCATGGCGGAGAGGGAAAGAGTGGTTTTTGGGTCTCTGGTTCGTTTCGTAGAGAGAACAGAGGAGAAGGAGGAAGAGAGGTTTGAGCGCCGACGACGATGGTGGTGGCAAACGAGGAGAAGGAGAAGGAAACGGCTCGGAGTGCCGGCCAGCCTACTCTCGACGACGATGGCGGAGATGAAGGAAGCAGAGGCAGGGAGGATGGCCGACAATCTGGTGTCGGAAGCGGCGCGACGCGGGGGCGGCGCGGGGAGATCTGGAGAGGCGGCGCTGTGCGGGGAGAAAGGAAGGAGAGATTTTTTGTTTTGGGAATTAGGTTTCGTTTGTGTTGGGGGAGGGTTTCTGGGAATGGAAGCGGGATCGTTTGGAGCAGCAGGCGCGGAGGTCGGTTACCTTCGGTTAGCCGCGTAACCGGTTTCCGGTTAGTCGGCTAACCGAAGCACCCCTCAGCCCTTCCGGCAACCGACCGCTACAAGAAAGGACGGTTTTCGGTTAGTCGCTAACCGACAGTTATCGGTCAAACCGACCGGTTAGCCGCTAACCGACAATCGACCTGCCACCCCTACTTGTTATGCATAAAAAAAATCGATGAAAGTCGAAATTCAAAGCGAACAATATATTCTCGGAAACAATTTTGACATATATTAAAAAAAGAGAGAAAATTTTGTAAACAAAGAAGTGAAAAATGGTGGGAGAAGGAGTGCCACGTCAGCAGAAGGCCTTCAGCCTTTTATCCAACGACCTCCTGCCGGCCCCCTTAGCTTAGCTGTATAGACCCACTCCTTTTTCCCGGGCCCACTTCCCTCCAAAATCACAACAATAATAATTTAAAGTTTTAAAAATAATTTATCCAAAAAGACGCAATTTTTATTTTTATTTTCAATTTGGTATTTTGTGTTTAATTGTTTATTGATTGTGAAATGTGAAAAAGAAATTTACAGAAAGAAAAGCAAAAGCTTCTCTCTTCCTTTCTTCTTCTATGCCCATTTGCTCTCTCATTGAATTTCCTCCCAATTTCCTTCGGTATAAATCCCACCCCACAACCAAGTTTCAATCTTTTTCTTCTTCTTCTTTCTTCTTCTTCTTCTTCTTCTAATTCTTTCATTTCTCCGCCGCCAGCCATGCCAGTTTCAGTTTGGTGGGGGAAGAAGTTCAGTAGTAGCAAGAGCAGCAGCCCGACCAGCGGCGGCAACAGCAACGAGAGCTCGTTTTCTCCCAAGTCGGCGGCCAAGATTAATATCACCAGGAGGCACAGCTCCGATTCACCATCAGGTACTCCCGGGTTGACCGGTTCTTCGCGCGCCGGGAAAGATTCCTCCGGCGGATCCTCTGGGTTCTTCGGGTTCGATTCGGATGCCGACAGGCGCGGGCACCCTTTGCCCCGGCCGTCCGTCAGTGATCGCGGCGGCGATCAGGGAGTAGGTGTCGTCGGGTTTGGGATTGGGTCGGGTTCCGGTTCTGCTTCCGGGTCTATTTCCAGCGTCAGCTCGACTGGGTCAGCGGGTGATGAGCCCCAGATTGGAAGTGGTGATCATCAGGCGGCGTTTTTCGGCGGTTACAGGTTGGTTTTCTTTTGTTGGTCTCTTCGATTGCTGATTCTTCTCTCTATAATTAGGGGTGTTTTTTGAATTCTGGGTTTATCTAGTTTGGTTTGATCTCGTAAGAAATACCTGGTTTCTAGGGCAGGCGGCCATTGACGATCTCTGAAGTTTGGTTAGATTGGTTCCTTTCCTGCAATTTCCCCTCCCTTTTGTATAGAGTAGATGCCAATTACTCCCCATTTCAATTTGGAGAGTTGGCGTTGCTGACTTTAAGCAAGTTGGGTTTTTAATTTGTTGGCTTCAGATTTAGGGGATGTATTTCTCTTTTCCTCGATGTAATGGAAATCCCCAGTTTTTGCAGTGTTTGGTTTAATCCCTGGGTTTATGTATTGCCTCATACAATTACTCCCATTTCCTGCCCAATTTGGAAGCTTGGAATTTCTGTGTTCTAGTAGTTGACTTTTAGATTTAGGTGGGATTGATTTCTCTTTCCCTTCATGAAATGGGAATCCTAGTTGTCAGATTGAAATTGTTGGATGTTTCAGTCTAAGGTTATTCGTTCTGTTGGAATGAATGCAAACCTAGGTCACCCGCCAATCCAGGAGGGCGAGCTGAAGCTAAGTTCTATGTGGGCTCTCGAAGCCCCGGTCCAGGATCGAGAAGCCCTGGTCCGAGGTCAAGAAGCCCTGTACCTGGTTCAAGAGGTGCAAGCAGGCCTACCTCACCACTCCATGCGCGGTTAGGCGGTATGAATCTCGATTCGCCAACTGGGAGGTCCGAAGACAGCAAAAGCCAATGTCACCCATTGCCTCTTCCCCCAACTTCACCCACTAGTCCTTCATCTTCCTCCACAACTAGCACAAGAAATCATGGAGGGGGTGAAACAATGACTGCGACACTGTCAAAATGGAAGAAAGGAAAGCTTCTTGGAAGGGGAACTTTCGGTCATGTTTACCTCGGATTCAATAGGTAGAGCTTGGGTTCCCTCCTTTCTTGTCAATGGGAGATGCATATGGAAGCTTGTGAGGATACTGACTTTTATTTGGCTGTTCGGACAGTGTAAACGGGCAGATGTGTGCGATAAAAGAAGTCAGGGTGGTGTCAGATGACCAGACATCAAAAGAATGTCTTAAGCAACTGAACCAGGTACAATTTTGTCAAGACTAGGTGTCAAACTGGGGAAACAGCTGAATGTTGACTTTAGACTTATTTTCGTTTATCTTTTGGGTGTTCATATTGTTAACACACTTTTTTTTGTGAACAGGAAATAAATTTGCTTAGTCAACTTTCACATCCAAACATTGTTAAATACCACGGGAGTGAATTGGTAAGGATTGCTTTTTCATATCATTATTAATCACACTTTATGGCACAATTGTGATTCGCTGGACTCTGCTCTCAAATAACTGTTATTTCATCTGTTCTTCAGAGCGACGAAACACTTTCAGTTTATTTGGAGTTCGTCTCTGGTGGTTCGATTTACAAATTACTTCAAGAGTATGGTGCCTTCAAGGAGCCAGTCATCCAAAACTATACCCGGCAGATTCTGGGCGGACTGGCCTACTTACATGGAAGGAATACTGTTCACAGGTGCAACACATTAACACATTTCTGACTGCCTACTTTTGCATATGTAAATGTTGTTTCTAGCTTCCTAAGCAAATTTTCATGTTTTTTTTTTGGTTCATCCTTGTAGGGACATCAAAGGAGCCAACATATTAGTTGATCCTAATGGTGAAATCAAATTAGCGGACTTTGGCATGGCTAAACATGTAAAGTTCTACAACCGATTATTTTATTCTCCGTTAGTTCTCTGTTTTAGTCATTCCAATCTCATAGATTCTGGACTTCTGTTTGTGATTTTCTATGTCACCAGATTACAAATTGCTCTTCAATGCTTTCATTCAAGGGAAGTCCTTACTGGATGGCACCTGAGGTATCCTTCGTTACCCACATATATTTGCTAATGCTATCTATCAGCATATGATTGCCTGTTGGAGGAATTGAAATTAAAAACAGCAGCTTGACACTAACTTATGCAGCATTGCTATTCGTGCTGTTAAAACAATATTCCTATTCTGGAAAATTAATTTCCAATTGTTAAATGTTTGTTTTTACTCAGGTTGTAATGAATTCAAATGGCTACAGTCTTGCTGTGGATATATGGAGTTTGGGATGTACAATACTTGAAATGGCAACTTCAAAACCGCCATGGAGCCAGTATGAAGGGGTACAGATTTAGAATATCCTCAAATGATTCGGTTTATACATTCTCCTCAATTGTCTTTAAAGAGTGTTATGGGATTAACTTATTTCTTTTCAATGCTTATTCAATAGGTGGCTGCAATATTTAAAATTGGGAATAGCAGAGATATGCCTGAAATACCAGATTCGCTCTCCAATGAGGCTAAGAGTTTCATAAAGCTATGCTTGCAACGAGATCCATCTTTACGCCCTACAGCCTCACAATTGCTAGACCACCCTTTTTTACGAGATCATGGAGCGAGAGTTCCAATAAGCCATCTTTCATCTGCCTACAACTTTGATGGAAGCCACACACCGGTATGTCTCTTAAACAGATCAGATATGATTCATATCTTTAGAAATATGAGAAAGATTCTTGGTTAGTGACATCTTTAGTTGCTGTACTATTCTAATTAACACTTCGCTTTACCATGCTCAATTTTCCTAAAATGACATAGTATAAGGACTAAAAGTATCATCAACCCTTTGATTTATTGCTTCATGAACTTTCTAGTCATATCTCTTGAACTTTGATTGGCTGTATGAAGACATCACATAGTGAAAGTCGAAACCTCTAATTTTCAATCCAAGCATGCTATTTCTCTGATCGTTATTACACTTTTCTATGAGCAGCCAGCATTGTTGGATATGCAATACAACAGAAATGGCATCACATCATCCCATGAGGCGGAGTATTCCATCAAGCCTGCAATCTCCAACGTCAGAGCACCGAGAACTTCGAGGTAAGATATCCTGCACCATTTGGCTTCAGCTGTGCCATTGTTTGAAGTGAGAATGATCACTGATGCTAGCTGCTCTCCTATCCACTACCCAGGGACGATTCGAGAATGATTACCTCTTTACCTGTATCCCCTTGCTCTAGCCCATTGCGGCAGAGTGTGCCAGCCCACCGAAGTTGTTTCCTATCTCCACCACACCCTCTCTTCCCCCTGATGGGTCCAAATGGCAGCAGCGGTTATAACATGACCGAGTTCTCATTACAGCCCACGAGACAAATCCCAGGTCTATCTCACAGTGATTTCGTCCTAGAAACCACCTCCCTCACGAACCGCGTGGCAGGTGGCTCACCAATTACGAGACGCAACTGAGTTGTGCATACACAGACGAGATATAGACTTTTCCATACCGAGAGTGTTTCCTTCGAGTAGCCTGAAGCTTGCTTCGGAAGGGAGATGGAGGTATAGGCCAAGAGTGAAGCTGAGTTTTGGTGCATATGTGGGTGTTATAGCCAGATGGTTTGGTTGGTTCTCTCTTGATTCAAGATTTGAGGCTAAATCAACGTTGTGTAAAAATGGTCTCATCTTTGGTGTTGTAAATGAGAGGGCTGCCGCCGCCGTTGTTGTAACATATATGTACTGATAAATCTGGTTCTTTGGTGTATAAGAGAAAGAAAGAAAATTGTCCGGTGCCCGGTGACTTTCGCCGGATTCCGGAATGTTGACAGGGTTCTTAGGATGGGCATTGTACTGAACAATTTGTCTAATCACAATGATTGATATGCGTTCCCTTGAACTGGAATGAAAGTGAAAGGCTTGTTGTTGTTTTAACAAGAGAAACAAACAGCATATTTTATGATCAACCGTGTAGTGTCGACCTCTCTGGAGAAAATCTATAACGGGCTATGGTGGATGCATGTTTGTTCTACGCCATTTTGGGGTGGATTGACTTTTCTTTGAGAAGAGGATTGGGAGAGGTACAAAATGACTTGACAATAGTGATTGGGAAAACAACCAACTAGGAATCATTAACAAAGGATCCGTGATAGAGAATCTCCCCTTTAAAGGGTATTTGCTAGCAATATGATAGAAACAATACCCTCAAAAAAGACAGCGAAAGAAGTAGATTTCGAACCAGCATACGCAAAGCAAAGAGTGTTAGGGTCGGAGATAGATGAAACCAATCAGAAGGACAAATCGTGCAAGCAAAGCCGAGAAACAGACCGCAGCACAACGACTAGGACTCATGTCGGAGGAGTTTTGAGCATGATAGGATTGTTGATGCTCTCCTTGTACTACCCGGTCGGAATTACTGAGAACCCAATGATTCCCCTCAAGTTCGAAACATATTCGCTCCGGTATAAATTACTGAGAACCCAATAATCTCATCGAGTTCGAAACATATGAGGGATCAGTGAATTAAGTTTTTATATTTTTATCTCTATGTTCATCCGATTAATAAGTTCTTATATTTTTAATGGTATGAAACAGTAGAACCATGGTCAAACTACAATTTCGGTACAAAATATCATACCACTAACTTATTTTTTTCGGTATAACATATGGTACGGTTTCACAATCTTTAATTGGTAGGCGGGCTTATTAGAGAGGATGTGAGTGAAGTCCCTTGACCAACGAAAGAACAATTTGTGCATTCCAACCGTTGCTAATCAGCTCGGTGATCGAATCCATAAGGTAAAATGCAGATTAGTTCATTACGAAACAAATTAATTCTCTCTATAAATATTATTCGTTATCATTCTGATTAATTGTTCGAAACACGATGTTGTCGTTTTAATATGTGACAAAATTTAATGAATATAATTCTTAATGATAGTTTGAATTAATACAAACCATCCACTCAAAGCACATGTACTATTCTATTCCTTTTAAAATGAATTTTTTTAAAAAAAAAACCCTAAAGTTACCCCGGTCGGGCTGTAAAATAAATAAAAAGGAAAGTGTCGATTGCCCTCTATCCATCCATCCATCCCTCCCTCCCTTCCCTCCAAGATCCAGAGCTTTTTTGCGGCGGCCACTGCAGCATGAATTTCGGCCAGGAGGAAGAAGACGACAGCAGCAGTAAAGACACCGCCGCAGCTGCCGAAGAAGAAGCAGTAGGGCAAGAGGAAGAAGAAGAAGAAGAAAACGACGAATTAGACGAAGAGCAAGAAGTAGAAGTAGAAGAAGAAGAAGAAGATGACTATGGTGTTGCTCCCCCAATTCCAACCCCCAATCTCCATTTCCCTTCCAGTTACAACGATCTCTCCTCCCAATCTTCTTCTTCTGCTGCTGCTGCAGCTGCATCTTCTCCTTCTGCTCTCCAGTACCGAAACTTCCTCCCTCAACACCACCACCACGCCGCCGCCGCCGCCCCGTCCTCCGCTGCCTTCAATTTCGACGACCGGCGGCTCGAATTCGTCGACCTGTCGCTCGGGAGCTCGAGCGAGGCGGATCCCGATCTCCACCGCGGAGCCGGACCGTCTTCGTCGGCGGCATCGGCCTCGCCGATAGAGAAGGAGCACATGTTCGACAAAGTGGTGACGCCGAGCGACGTCGGGAAGCTGAACCGCCTCGTGATACCGAAGCAGCACGCGGAGAAGTACTTCCCCCTCGATTCCTCCTCCAACGAGAAAGGCCTGCTCCTCAACTTCGAGGACCGCCACGGGAAGCCGTGGCGGTTCCGCTACTCGTACTGGAACAGCAGCCAGAGCTACGTGATGACGAAAGGATGGAGCCGATTCGTGAAGGAGAAGAAGCTCGACGCCGGGGACATCGTCTCGTTCCAGCGCGGCGTCGGCGAGGCCGGGAATCACCGACTCTACATCGACTGGAGGCGCCGCCCCACCGCCCCAGATCCGATGTCTTTCCCTCACCATCACTTTGATTTCCAGAATCAGCTCCGTTTCCCCCAATCCGTACGGTGGGGGAGGCTCTACTCGCTGCCTCAATTCCCTCCTTCCTCCGCCGCCGCCAGGCAGTACGACTATCCGCCGCCGCCGCCATTCCACCACCAGCAATTGAATTACGGAGCGATTCACCCTCTCCAGAATCCCTACGGCCATAACCAGTATTACCACCACAACTACCAACATCAACAGCAGCAGCAGCAGCAGAATCAGTACTACTTGCGGCCGCCGGGGGCGACGGCGGATTATCCGCTAGCTGCTTCGGGAACGGGAGGAGGAGGGAGTGGAGAGCACGCGCCTATGGTGATCGATTCGGTCCCCGTGGTTCACGGGAAGACGGTTGGGAAGCGGCTGAGGCTGTTTGGCGTGACCATGGAGTGCCAACCGCCTCAAACCGACGACGCGTCGTCGTTTTCTCCAGTCACATATCCACATCAGCAGCAACCTCATCATCATTACTTGTCTTCTTCCTCTTCTTCGCCGTCGCCATCGTTGTCCATTCCGCCGCTCCAAGTCCAAGGAGTGCCGACTACGGCCACGCCGTCGCAAATGGCGATGCATCACCGGCAGCAGCAGCAGAATGAGTATTCAAAGAAAGGAAAGACTTCCTCCTTGTCCTTCGATTTGGATCTTTGATAATTATTATTATTACTGGATTGCAGTGACACAGGATATTAATTTATATTATATATTATATATCTATATATGTATCTTAGCCTGATTTTGCCAAAATGGGTATATGCTGAATTCTAGGGTTTATCGAATCGGAATGGGGAAGACAAAAGAGACCCAAAAAATAAATAAATAGAAGAGAATGATCATAATTTCTTTGCTTGTCTAATTTGCCTCCTCTTTTGATACCAATTGATTGTTGGTTTCTATTCGATATCGTTCCTTCTACTCCGATATCTTTTATTTTTCATGTGGTATTTGGTTGTGCGTACTACATTGGTTAGAGAGGAGCAGAATTAAGGTAGAACTAGCTGAGATGGAGAGGTTTGATGATGATCATCATGAATATTCTTTTTTTTTTTTTGAGGGAAAATCATGAATATTCAATTCACCACCAAGGAAAATGAGGGAAGAGAGAGATGGAAAGGGTGGTGGCCTGAGAGTTCTTAATTTCATCTGTATATAAATACAATGTATACAGAGATCATAAATATGAGCATATATTAGTTATTTGCTTGCTTCCCTTCCCTTCTTATTTATTTATTTATATATATTATATTCATATATTGAAGAGTTGAGCTTATTGCCAAGGTATGTATTTTTTTTTACTGTTGGTGGTAAAATAAAAATAAAAAATACTACAATTTTTATATATGATGGGAAAGGGCTGCTTGAGGTTGTGCCTGGAGTTCTTGTTGCTTCACTGTGTGACTAACTGTATTCATTCTCCTCCCCCAGTTTGCTTGGGTTAATTTTGTTCCTCTTTGGATATCAACTGTATATTCTCTTTCCATTTCTCTTTCTCATTCACTTGTATCTTCAAGAGAGAGAGAGAGGGAGAGAGCGCGCTGACAAAGCTAGCCATTCCTTTTTTTTTTTTTTCTTCTTCCAATTCTTATGGTACAATGCTAGCTAGGGATAGATGGAGCAGAAGTTTGTTGTTGGTGTTGTTGTTTCTTCTTTTATTTTCTTTTGAAACTGCCTTATTTAGGGTAATGTTTCCTGCTGCTGGTAAGTTGGGGTTTGCAGTTGATGGATATGGGAGAGGGAAGGAAGGAAGGAAGGGGAAAGTGTGTTTGTTGGTTGCAGACAGTTTTTGCAGCAGGCAGCGCTGAAAAAAGGTGCCTTCTGTATTCTTACTACTCTCTCTCTCTCTCTCTCTCTCTCTTCTTTTATCATCATTTCAACTTTTTCTGGTTGTTGTATTTCTTTTCTTATGATCAGAAGGACCTAAATGTCTGTTGCTTGGTTTTAAAGAGAGATAGGAGAAGAAAGGAAATGGGGTGGGAATCATCAAGAACCCAAATGCCTACTTCTTCTGATAAATTGTATCATTCATGTCTGTCTTTCTTTTTCTCTCTTTATTTCTCTCTCTCTCTCTCTATATCTCTCTCGCCCCACTTCTGTCTTTATAGCATGAGCTTGAGGGACTGAGAGCCTGAGCCATTCTTCTCCTCCTCCTCCTCCTCTGGATTGCTGCCTGGCAGAGAGAAGAAAAGAAGAAGAGAAAAAAGCTGTCATTTATTGTGCTGAAAGAGATTTCACAGATGAGGAGGCATATATCTTGGAACTGCACAAAAAATTCCAATCAAGAAACAAAGAAACAAAGAGCTTCCTTCTCTCTCTCACACACACACTGTAAGCTACTGCTGCTGCTGCTGCTGCTTTAATGCTCTCTACCTGTAGCTATACTAAGCTTCTCTTTCTCCACTTTCCTCTCCCTCTCCATACCCTTGCCTCTTTTTCAACTACACATAATTAAACCCTGCATTGTTTTGTGGGTTTCCCATCTCGCCTGCACATAAAATAATTCTCTTTCTTTTTTCCTTCATGTTTAGCCATTAGTGATGATAACATAACTAGTATTTAATGAAATTGATCAACTGGGCAGCAGCAGCTCTACACATATTTGCACCTGAAAGGAGGCGCATGGTAGTGATGGTACTTGTACACATATGTATTAAGATCTAGCTAGCTAGCTGTAGGTATAGGTGGCCTGGCTAGCTAGCTTGGCAGTAGCACCTTATTCTACATAAACATATGGGCTGCTGTGATTAAAGTGAGTTGAAATCTGGTTTAGTTTCCTGTACTGTACTCGTTACATTGCAGGAACAATATAATCTACTAAGCAAACATAGGTAGGAGATTATCAAATTTCATATAACTAACTCATAATGATCAAATCTCATGAAACTAGCTCATATAAAGGTTCCAGACCAGCTGTATTCTCGTTGGAATCAAATCGCCTTGTCACTTTTATGCTGCTGTATTTACTGCTCTCCGCTAACATATTTGTGCTGCTGGTCGGTTCATAGTCATGAAAGATGAAAGCATTTGTAGATGCTGTATTCAAATCTCCATACCGATTGCATTGTTGTGTATAGAGAAAGAAGAAGAAAGTTTGATATGAATGCTAGCCTATATAAAGAAACTTTGAACAAAAAAGAAGAAGAGGAAGGAATTGAAGAAGAAGATGTAGGTGTTTACTGGGGAGCAATGGCTGACTGTTTGAACGGGTATCAACCCATTCTCCAGAAGACAAAGAGGAGATCAATTGGGTAAAGTAGTGTATATATATATATGATGGAGATTTCATATATGTTGAAGTTGAAGTGAAGTCATGAAAGTCCTCTGATATGATCATCACTCACTGGTGCAGGTGCAGAATATGTATGCATAGGATATCGATCGAAGCTGAGGAATTAGCCTTTCTCCCTCCATGCAAATTGCAATCCTTTCATGGTATGTACAAGTAGAAACCCTTTTTCTTATAACTGTGCTCACTTCTTCTTGTCATATATATGTATGGCTCCCTGATCTCATGTCATTCCATGACGTGATCCGGATTTTGACACTTTGTGGAACCCTTTTTTTTTCTTCCTATTTTAGTTAAACAGAATTTCAGGCCAATCCAAAATTAGTTCTTTTTTAAATATTTTTCTTTCTGTACACTACCTGACCTCTTAATAATATAAGAGTGTCCAAATAGGTATATGTGTTTATATATATATATATACATAGTTGGCGTTGTCAACGTAGTAGATTAATGCCTTCCCACATCTCATCCCACGAGGCAAATAGCCAAATAACCAAGTTTAGAAGCAAAATTATCTGTCTTTATAATTTTTAGGGCACATATCCTGCTACCAAGTCTTCACATCTATCTCAAGATTAACATTCAAAATTAGTCAAATACCACATATATATATATATATATATATATATATATATAGTGGTTTATTAAATTCTCAATCAACTTATCTAGTCCGGACAAAAACACACTTTCGTACATAGCGTTAGCGTTTTTTAAACAGTAAACGCACTTAAGACAAAAAGAAAAAAACCATTTTCATGGAAACGCTAAAGAACAAAGCGTTTTCATGAAATATCTGTCGTTTGCAGCATTTTACCGAGAGAGAGAAAAAACACTTCACCTGATATCGTTGTGTTACTTGAAACAATCAAATAATTATTCACTCAGCTCCTCTCTTCGTTGCTACTAACTAGATTTAGTATACGTTTTTTCCCCTAGTTTTTCGTTACATTTGTGATTGTTAGAACGACATATAAGGTTAGTGGTGTTGGTCTTATTTCAACCTATGATTCGTGTTAGCGTTGGCTGTAACCGTATTAACTATTTGGAATTAAGAAGGAGAGGGAGATGAGGGTGAAAAGGAGCTGCTGCTGCAGCAGCAGCAGCTTTTCTTTTCTTGGTGTCCGCGGCTGGGGGGAAAAAACCACACCGCGCTTGGGTTTGGTGAGGAGAGCTTTTAGAGCAGGGTTTGAACTTTCATGGGCAAGAGTGAAGATAATCCACTGTAGCACTTGCATGCTGTCTTCTTGATACCTGTGTGACTAATCATATTATTACTATCTAAGCTAGCTTGGTAGAGGGGAATTTTGGAACCTCGATGTGTATAGCAAAATGGAGCACAGAATATACTTTTTTTTGGTCACCAAGGTAGCCGGCCAACTGCTCCAACATACAAGGGAGGGGAATAGGTATCCATTCCAGATAAAAAAAACGGGATTGTGGTCTCCTGGGTTTCAGGAATCCCTCGAATCAAAATCTTTAGGAAAAGGTGATAGTGTGCCTTCAATTGGAGGGTTTCCTATCTCACAAAACTCAAACCATATATGGATGGGTACGATGATGAGCTTTAATGTCACGAGCTAGCCTATGCCCTGCTAGCCCTAGATGTGTATACTTTTCAGAGTATTCAAGGTAAATTTATGATTACGGTGTATACTTTAGTAAGAAAAATGTTATCTAAACTTTGAATGATAGCTGGAATTTGGGGATATGTTACTGTAGCTAGCACAGCCTTAACGAGTAAAGAATGCGTGTTATGATTCTCTAAACATCTACACTTTAAGATGGTTCATCTGATATGTTCGATGTATTTCGATGGATCTGAATCATCAATCATTGTTTCTAGTACTTAAAATCGAAATTTAGGGTTTAGGGTTCATATCATTGTGTTCTATGTTTTACTCATCACGAGTTTTGTCTTCGGCGCACTCGCATTTTTTTTTGGTGCGTGCGATGCACCCCACCTCGTAATCGTCATTATGATCAAGTGATTTGTGTCAGAACGATGTCAATCATCACTTGTGATATGATGCGCAAGGAAACACATGAATTTGCACAAAAATCATCTATTTACTTTGCTTTGAATAACTTAGTGTTTAGATTTCAGGGTTTAGCTAGGGTTAAAGATCTAAAGTTTAGGGCAATGAATTAGTTCCAATATTATATCATCATGTTAGACTCGTGCTTCCAGATAAAATTCAAATTCGATGGCTTAATGATAGTTTTAGAATTGGGTGCATAATATTCACTCTATTTTATGAGTATATTGTAGAAGCCACCCTCAATATCAATTAAAATATAATATCATGCTCAAAATCTAATTAATTCAAAATATATGTAATATTTTCCTACTAAGAGTATGGGATATTTCTTAGATTTATTAGGTACATAGAAGTTCCATACATATGCTTATCATGCTTAAACTTTTCTTATTTTTTTTTCTTGTTTAAATTGTGGTTCAGTAAAATGTAGATCAGTAGAGACACTTGGTAGCTGCATGCCAAAAGGGATTATTGCATTTGTTTTACAATTCCCAAGCTATTATTTTCATAGTCCCATGAACTTTTGGGCCTGCCCTGCAGCTAATGTTGTCGCCTTTATTTTTGTTGTGTTAGGCTAGGGGTGCAAGCCAGGGTGTATAACTAGTTGCTGTCTATATATACGGTGGTGTTTTCAGTGCACTCGCTTTATAACCGTCATTTTAGACATGCGATTCATGTCAAAATGATGGCAACCATCACTTAAGATGTGATGAACAATAAAGCATATGAATTCACACAAAAACCATTCAAGATTTACTTTAATTTGAAGGATTTAGAGTTTAGAGATTTATGGTTTGGGTTTACAATTTGGGGTTTAGTGATAGAATTCAAAATTGGAGATCTAGGGCTTAGGGTAATCCGTTAATTAGTTGTTATCATATGTTATATCATCATATTAAACTAATTCTATAATTTAAAATTCAAAATCCGACACCTTAAGACTAGTTTTTGAGTTAGGTACATTGAACGCAACTCATTTTTGTGAGTGCACCGAAGTAGTCACCTCTATATAACTATATATATATATATAGTTAATTACTTATCAGTCGTTTATATCATCGTTAAATATTAAGTGAATTTTTCTTATCGTTAAATATTAAGTGAGTTACTAGTAATTTGAACCAATTGCTATTTCATTTATCTATGTAGAACAAATTGTTATTTTTGTTTTCAGTGCTTGGACGACATTTAGGCAAGCCCCCAACGTCTGCCTTCTTGAATCTTGAAAATCGCTACAAAAAAGTCAAAATCATAACTAAAGAATCGGAATCACTACTTCAACTTGCTTAATCACCTACTGTGAAAGATCATAAAATCGAAACTGAACAACGTGAAAGCACATTAGAACGAAGCAATCGAATCTCTACCGGTAATGCTAGCTCCGACCTAAATTATCTGTTAGAGACAACGACGAATCAAACGACTACGACGAGGACAACAAACTCCAGTGACGGTGTTGATGACTCCCCTCCACTCTGATCATTAAATTGACTTCAAGTTCAAACGAACAATGCTAAACTTGCTATCAACTCCCCCATCAATAAATAATTTTATCAGTATATAACAGTAAACTCATGGTATAATCACGAAATATCTGGTCACCGCCTTATTCAATACAACTCCCAGTACGATTTTGCTATCTATGTCTGGGGAAATAGAAAGGTTAGTCATATGGGATGATCGGTTGTTCCAAGTAGCATCACATCACATGGAATCGGAATGAGTGGGTTGGGTTGTTGTTGTAGCCTAGCTAGCTAGGCTTGTAGGTTGTGGGTGTAGTTTTGGCGGATAGGAATTGCCTTGCGATTCAATATATATATGGGTGTGACCATTTAACACCACACATCGCAATCTCGAGAGGTGGTACCAATATTCATCTCGAAAGTGGTCCACTACTTTTATATATACATATTTATGATCATTCTCTAGTTTAACAACATTTTCACATGATTCGGTTTCTAGCTAGGCTTCTTTTAGCAAAAGTTTTGCCATATAGCTATAGCTCATCTAGTGTTTTACATATAAATCTCCAGGTTTACTTCAGCCGAGAAGACGGACTTGTTGATATCGATCGTCGAATAAAATATAGAAAGACTTTCATGTATCTTCGGTTTTTCCTCTTCTTTTTTTCCGCGTCTTTTCCCGACTATGATGCTAACAACAGAACAACCTGTTTTGAAACCATAGCCGGATTGATATGAATGAAACAGTACTACAAAGAAGTCCCCCCACACACCTTTCTCTGTGTGTGTGTGGCTGGCTTGGTAATGGTGAAAGCCTAGCTATATAGCTAGTTGCTACAGTACCATGCATATTTCCTTTTCCTTCCCATGCTAACTTTTTCCTTTATAATTTTCTTTTTTTTATAAAAAAATTATGGGGGGAAATGCAGGCCTGCCTGCCTGCCCGTCCAAGCCCATTATTGAAAGCCCAGCAGCAGAAGTAGTCAGTCTACTTGGTAGCTATTATTAGTAGGCTACGTCTCGTTTGGAAGGTAGCTGAGAGTAGGTAGGGCTAGACGTACAGAAAGGTAACTTTATATATATATATTTGTTTTTTTTTTTACTTTTGTGGTACAGAAAAAAAAGACAAAAGCAAAAGGGGCCACATGCAGATGCAGGTAGATACGTTTTGTGAGGCGTTGTTTTGGAACAATCAGATTGATAGCTCCCCATCCTCGTCTCTTTTCTTTGATAAAATTTTATTTATGAAAATTTGGGATTTTTTTTTTTGGGTAAGATATGATACTAGATTGAACTTAGTCGTAAAAGAATAACAATATCGTAATACGTGACTCTCAATAATTTGATTTAAACATTTTTAATCGGAACAACTAACTTTGGTTGGAAACGGTTACCAATCGTAGTAGTACATTTCGGGATTTCATTAAGCAGGTTGGCTGACCGTTCTAATTCATGTTGGAATCCAGCTACCGTATACCTGTTTGTTTGAGCTTTGACCACCTTTTGTTTGCGCGATTTTGCAACCTTCACACAGGCTGATTTTGGTAACTAGGGTCGATTTGGTCTATTTCAGTTCGGTTCGACTTCGACCCTCCTCTTTCTCTCCACTGTCCAGTAGGGATGGCAATTTGAACCTACCCTACCGGGTAATACCCGACCTGACCCGCGATGGGGCGGGTATTACCCGACTCGTACTAATGTGAGGCGGGGCATGAATATTGAGGTACCCGCCCCCGACCCATTGCCATCACTACTGTCCAGCCACTCTGGTCCATCTAGATTTTCGCCTCGGAGATAAAATTTCCTACTCGCCTGATTGGGCCCAGCCAGCCCAACCCACTTACATCTTTGACATCCAAGGGGGACAACTCAGGCCGAGTGCCCCCTTGCCCCATCCTTTACTCTGCTCACCGATTGTAGTGTGGGCCCGGGCCTCAAATTTGGGCCTTAACTCTAACTCACAGCCATTGTAAGAAGAAAAAAAACTCTAACTCACTTCCGCCGCCAAGCCGCTTCTTTGACCTTTTCTTTGATACGGCAAGATATAATGATTAGAGGAAAAATGATTTGACACTTACCTTTGTGAATGTGCTGAATCATATACTTTTACAAAGTCAGAAGCCAAAAAGTAACTATACATTATTACACAAGGTCTTCAGAAGACCTTCTCCTTTGATTCTTGATGGCATATCTTTATGGTAAGAGAAGCATATTTACAGTCTTTCATAATCGAGTTTCTCAGACTGTAAACCAGAGAGAGAGAAAAAAATCAACTTAGAATCATCATCATCATCATCATCATCAAACAAAGCTTGGAATGTAGAAAGGATAAACCCAAAGAAAGCATTCATAGTTCTCGATCATCAAAGGTTTGGCCGAGGAAAAACATTACCTGGATGAGCATATCAGTTGGGAGCCAAGCTGGTGCAGTTGGAACTCCAACCCATGCAACCTATTGAGAAGAAATAAGATGGAACCAGTGTTAACTATCGATTCGATTCATGATTCTAGACAAGTCGTTGTTGCGGATTAAGAGGTTGTGTCCAAATCCACAGTTTCCAAGTGAAATGTGCTTCATGAACAACTACTTACAAGTGCATACTCTCCTGTCTCGAAGATCCTTAAATCCAGCACCTGAGAATTGTTGATTGCTTAGCAATTTGGTTGATAAGCAATAGTTAGAGGAAGGAAGGAGGAGGAGGAGAAGAAGAAGAAGAAGAAGAAGAAGAAGTGAACCTCGCCGCGATCTTCATAGATGTAGTCCAAGCCCTTGTAGTATGGAGGATGGCCTACTGATAAATACTGAACAACAGGAAAAACAAAGCCTCCCTCAATCACAAAATTCCATTATTATACACGGGATAAGCAAAAAGATTGAATCTTTATACACAAATTTGGATCCAAATCAAAGTCCAAACTTGGTTCAGTTAGCATGGATTAAGATTTATCAGCTCCCTGGCTTCCCTAACCATATGGGAAATGCTAATTCAAAGTAGATTACAAAAAAAGGACATGATAGATTTAGACCAAAAGAATGAATCTTGTGTGATTGCTTCTTTTTTTTTTCTTTCTTTCTTCACGCCATTGCTAGGCGTTTCCAAAACTAAGAACACCATATTCTTCGAGGTAGCTAACTTACATTGATGCTACTGAGGTACTTCTCTTTATCCACTCTCACAATCTGCCCTTTCTTCACTGCAAAAAAAAAAAAAAACCATACCATCCCCTGAATTCAATCAACACTGGAAAATGGAGGGTTTCCAATTGGAAAAGAAATACACGAGAAGAACGAATTACCCACTTGAGTAAACTGGCTTCTTCTTCGGCGTGAGAGTTTTGGCAGGAGAGGGCTGATCCTCGGCTTTTGCCTGGGTTGCAGCTTTCTCTTTCGCTGGTTCAGCTGAGTTTACAGCTCTGATAATCGGCTGCCGCGATAATGGGAGGAGACGAGTCGTCCTCGTTTGGGGAATTGGCTGGAACGGAGAGAGAAATGCACCGTGGGTTATTGGTAATGTTGCAGAGAAAGCAGCAGCCATGGCGGATTGGCAGATGAAGCAACGACGAGGTTTTTTTGAAGGTTTGGTTCTCTTTTTTTTATGGCTTAAAATTTCCAGATAAGAAACAGATTGGCGCTCCCCTTTCTTTGTTCCTTCAATATCTCGCGCCAGCACTAAGTTATCGTTAAATTATCGCCGTACCTTTGATTTTAGTTTGAGAAATCGAAACGTTTCGCTTTTCTGGGTAACTAAACAGAGATCAGAGTGGTGGTTATTTTTGCGCGAATTCAACGAGACGGAATTCAATCCTTTTCCCTCCGTTTGTGGCCGCCGCCATGGATTCCTCTGCGCTTTCTCGCTTCTCCTCTATCCACTGCCTTAACTCGGCCGATTCAGACAAACGAAGCCATTTCTTCACTCGGAGGTCGGCGGCGGCGGCAGCAACCGCGACCACCGCCGACGTGGCCATTGAAGCCCAGAATCTCTGCTTCTCGATCGCGACGCGGCAAGGGAAATCAGTCCCGATTCTTCGAGATTGCTCCCTACGAATCCCTTCTGGCCAGCTGTGGATGCTTCTCGGACCCAACGGCTGCGGCAAATCTACTCTTCTCAAGGTAGAAATTCAGTTTCTTCTTTTCCCCCCTGAAAGGTTGAGCTGTGAAGTAGTTCGAGCGAAATTGCGCGGGAATGTTATGGTCTTGACGAGAATTGAATCGAGATTAAGGAAATGGGGTTTGAGACTTTGAGTGGTGGCTTGGAATTGCTAAGAGCGAAGAGGAGTGATTGACTGATTGAGGGCTTTTTTTCTATGGTGGTTATTAGACAGGTTCTAGCTGGTCTGTTAAATCCTAATGGTGGAACTTTCAATGTCAAGAGGCCGAAGAGCTTTGTGTTCCAGAATCCGGATCATCAGGTTGGTTCTCTTTTTCTAATCATCACCTGTTTGTTTGCTCAGAAATTGCTTGGTGTCATGAAGAAGCCGTGGAGATGGTCACGGATTACTGCATTGTATTATGAGTGTTCTCTTTGCATAGCTGCCTTTCTGTTTGATTCATTAGCGCCCAAGTTTCTTTAATTTATCAGGCAGCCTAAGCAAGAACAATGTGGCAATTTCAGTGAATGAGAACTGAAGTGAAGGGGAAACATATACACCTCAATGAATCTGGCAAAAGCTAAATACTCCCAACTTGCTGAGCAAACTCGGCTCTTGTTCTTGGAAGGGTGGTAGAAATTATTTGAGTAGCTATTAGGGGGTCTGGTTAGTAGGCATTAGGGGGGTCCATTAGCAGTCACTGGGCTACTTATTGTTAAATATTTATAGTACTATTAGTAATCACTCGGTAAATAGATAGTAGGGTTCCAGTTACTAGTCATTAGGAGGTTCATTGGTAGTCATTAGGTTTCAGTTCGTGTAGATTAGGAGGGTCATTAGTAGTTTCCGGGATCAACTTTCGTGCTCTTCCTTCAAACTACTGAGCGAATTCCACTTTAAGTTCTTAATAAAGAGCAGGAGAATGTTTTAAGTAACCATGGAGCCTTGTTTTTTTACCAAATTTAATAGATTAATCGAAAGGAACTGTACTGTTTGTTTGCAGGTTGTCATGCCTACAGTAGAAGCAGATGTTTCATTTGGTCTTGGAAAGTTCGACCTCGCAAATGATGAAGTGAGGCGCAGGGTGGCGAAAGCTCTTGATGCAGTCGGCATGGCTTCCTACATGCAGGTAGGTCGTTTCATAATTTTGCTTCTGGAGGTTCACAAATTAACGAATTACATTGATTGTTTATGAGTTATTGAACCTGCATTCTTCGCAGAGACCTGTGCAAACTCTGAGTGGTGGTCAGAAGCAGAGGGTTGCAATTGCTGGTGCCCTGGCTGAAGCATGTAAAGTGCTCTTACTGGACGAGCTAACAACGTTCTTAGATGAGAAAGATCAGGTTTGTCTCTCGAGGAGTCATCACCTTACCATTTTAGCAAAGTAACCTGCCATCTTAAGTGGAAACATTCTCTCTCTTAAACCGTTATTGAAAATACCCTGAAAGGAAATGGTTGCTTGTCTGGTAGATTGGGGTGATCAAAGCACTGAAGAACACATTAGATGTATCAGATGACGTTACAGCTATATGGGTAACCCATCGACTGGAAGAGCTTGAATATGCAGATGGGGCACTGTATATGGAGGAAGGGAAAGTCATCAAGCGAGGAGATGCTTCAAGAATAATGAATTTCATCAAAGCCAAACAAGCCTCGTACTTTCAGCGAAATTAACCAGTGATGTATACATGCCTTCTCTTATAAGCTTACGCTGTGACTGATTTACTACATTCAAGAGAAGTTCAAGCTAACTTGGGCATTGCTAGTATAGTTGATCAGAAGAAACCACCATTCCTTGGGCATTGCTAGTATAGTTGATCAAATTGGTTAATTGTGTGTAGTTATTTGCATACTACTTCAACCCTCCATAACAATCATACTGCGAGGACAACGCGACGCTTATCTATGTTCGAACATCCTTGATCTTTGCAAAATCGGACGAGAACAAGTCATTGGAGGAAGACAAATGATACCTCGAGCAATCAAGCATCTCCAAACTTACTTCAATTACATGGGTTACATTTTGGTTGCCTCGCCTCGGCCTAGCAAATGTTTTAACTTTGAATGTATTAAGTTGAGGGTTGTGGAGGAAACCCTTATGGCAGATTGGATGATTTGACTTGGGGTTCGATTTGACGAGACAAGATTTGGTTGGTTCAATTTCGATATGCAATATTGTCGATGTCTTGTAGCATTGCATGTTAGTTGGACATCAATTGATTCATTGGATTGTGATTGCGGGGACGAAGCTACATTTGGTGGAATCGAAATTGGTTTGTGCAAAAGAAGGAGAGCAAAGAGCAAAATATCGACGATCAAGCAAATGATATAGAAAATTCTCAAGCTCGAGACTTAAGGTGATTTCCTAAATTTGTTTTCTTTCATTTGACTTATATATGTGGTGGTCAATAATCACCAAATCGCTAATTTGCCAACTCTTCTTGAGAGTATTTATTCGAGAAATTGCAGAAATGTATAATAACATGACACAATATTGCAAGGAGGAAATCTCTTTTTTATCTTAAATTTGGAAAATTCCGGCTTCAAAAGGATACTACAAAATATTCTTAAATTTTGAAAAAAAATATAGAAGGTTATCGTTGTGAATTAAATTGAATTTAGCTTTAGTACTACTAGTAAGATTAATTTCAGACTTCTTAATTATCTCTTATTGCTAGGCATCAAACATGAGTGTTTGCTACATTATTTTCATATATGAATTCAGCAAATATTTAGATAATCATTAAATATAATGAATTATGAACCTCAATTTCCAATTCTCCAACAATTTGAACTCATTTCCTTTTTTTTATTTAGAGAGAGTCGTCCTCATTGCTCTCATACAATTCTTCTTTAAATCATATATATAGTGGCATATTCGGTGCACCCACTTTTTTGGGTGTACTCAGTGCACTCGCCTCATAATTGTCATTCTGAGCATGCGATTCATGTCAAAACGGTATCAATTGTTGCTTATGATATTATGAACAAGAAGCACATGAATTTGGAAAAAAAATCATTCAAAATTTAATTAAATTCAAAGGATTTAGGATTTAGGGATTTAGGGTTAGGGTTTAGGTTTACAATTTGAGATTTTGGGTTGGGATTCAAAATTGAAGGTTAAGGGGTTAGGGTAATAGATTGATTTGTTATGATTCTATGTCATATCATCATATTAGATCAAGAGTACTAATTCAAGTTCAAAATTTGATGTATTGTGGACACTTTTAGAGTTGGGTGCACTGAGTGCACCCAAAAAAGTGAGTGCGCCGAAGTAGCCTCGTTTAGATTGCATCTATTCAAATGTAGCTCACATCCTGACCTGCAGCTATTGAACCCACATCAGACCGACTCAGATTGAATTGAAAGTAACTTTGATTTGATCAGATTGAACCAAGTGCAGACTCCCGCTAAGTCTTGTTGTTAACAAATGTTTTTTTTTTTTTTGGGTAAATGGATACAATACATTTATATCTTTCATTCCCAACAAAATAAGGCTCATATAACTCTTTGACAGTCATATAGGAACCAATTAGATCAGAAACATGGACAAAATGAAATCCCAAAAGAAGGGCATGTCCTAAACTATCTAGATAGTCCACAAACTTATTCCCCTCACGATATATAGATATGGGAGATAGAAAACTAAAAATTATTTGATCATCAAGCTCAATTATATTTATCATCATTAGTTTAAGAAGATAATATTCATCATTTAATTGGAATCACTCTTAACGTTGAGTGAAAATTACCAAAATTTTAAGTTAATATATAATGATAGATAAACAAAAAGATATTTTACCAAATGATAAGCAAAAATAATTGAGGGGGGAAACAGTGTGGCGGCTGGCGAGGGCTAGAGAAAGGAGTCGCAGTTTGTTCCTTCCCGGTTCCCACTACACCAGTCTTTGCCCTTCCTTTTCTCTCTTTCCCTCCCGTATACTATAACAATTGACAAACCCCTTTTTTTTTCCTGAGAAGCTTCGTTCAGTCGAACTCTTTTCTCACTCTCGCCGTCTTCACTCGCTCTCCCGGAAAATCTCCGTTAAGCTTCCACCTTTCCTCCCTTCTTCTACCTTGGGCTTCCCTCCCGGTTGCTGCTTGAGCGGACATGGCTGGGCGTCTCTGAGATTATCCGAGTGAGTGCTCGCCCTCTTTACTTCCTCTCAATCTCTAGCTCCTTGCCCTTTGTGGGTATACTATGAATCTCTTGACTGTCTAGCGCGAATTTGATTTTGAATCTTATAGGGAGAACTGTTTGAACTTTTGAAAGGTAGCGGCTTTTAGGGTTTTGGTTTGTTGTTCTTTCTAGTTATCTTGCTGCTGTGTTCGGATGTGTGGGGGGTAGAATGTGAGTGTGGTAATTGGGGGGTTTTTTTTTTTTTTGGGTGTTGGTGAAGGAGCTTTGCTTTCGCGCTTTAGTTTTGGATATGAGAAAACCCTCGTGTAGTTCAGTGGCCTTAGTGAGTTGAATTAGTTAGTGATTGCTGAAAGTCTCAGCTTTTAGCTTTAGAAACTTAGCTTCCACTCTTTTCTCACTGGTTTAAGTTCTGAATTCGTTAGTGATTGCTGACAGGCTCACTGGTTTTAGTGAGATGAATTGGTTAGTGGGTTAAAATTTGGAAAAAAGGATCATGTGGCTCAGTAGTTTTAAGGACTTGAACTGGTTAGTGATTGTTGAAAGGTTCAAAATCCGAGTATTTTTCCGGCTATTTCCTCACTGTATGTGTTCTTGTTCTGAATTTTGGCGAGCCACACAATTTCGGGTTGGGATGTGTATAGGTCTCTTGCTGTGGCTGATTCTTTCTATAAACCACTAATTGCTATTTTTTAGCTGCAAAATTCTAGGATCCTTACTTTCCATGTTATATTTGCTTGCTCATTGATCTGTGTAATCACATTGTTGATTGAATTTCAGCATGAAGCTTCTATGGTTTTATTGCATTAAATCAATTGAAAACTATCTCGAGCTTCTTGAATAAGTTTTAAAAATGACTGCGATGGGACCCTCATTACATTTCCTGAGTAGATACTGGCCTAGGGTAGATAGTCTTGTAGGAAGTTTAGATAAATGTTTGCCCCCCAAGAAAGTTTTCCTTGGTGCTAATACGAGATATAATTTCTATGCAGTAATTTCACGAGGTCTATGCATGGAAGGGGTTCGAAGTTTGCTTAAGTTACTGATGCGAATAAAACTTTGCCATGCCACTCAATCCATGTACCAGTGCAACATTTTGCTGCAAATAAGTGGATCGTTGGCAGTTTAAATAGGGTGGATAGCACAACAAATGTTTTTGGGGATAGCTATGAAAATCTTCTAGGAATTGGCTAAGGAATCACTCCGTGAAACAAATCTCCGCAATTCTTTGATGCTCAATGCTCTAAGAAGGCTGGAGAAGGATTGAAGTCATGCACCTTTTTCCATAGGAAGCAACGGGGCTGTAGTTTTACTCATTGTGCAGAAGCTAGCATTCCCATTGGCTGGAAGAATGTTGTGAAACTAAATTCTGTGTAGCTATAGCATCTATGTTCGTTAGAGGAATTCTTGTAAGAGCTCATTACATGGAGCTGGCATTTGCCAAGAATGTAGCCATTTATATTCGTTTTTAAAGATTCTGATAATCAATAAATGGAGAGTTTTTTTTTGGAAGCTTGGTAATAATTGTTTTACTCAATGTTGTATACTCCCTAGGAGCGAAACATACACTGCATAGGATCTTTAATGCGAGACTGAATGTATTGTGCACAACATGATTATTCAGATGCCTGAGTACCTGTTGACTCTCTTTTTCCATGCTAATGAAGTTTGCGAGAAACTTTTTCTTTAACCAACAGAGATTTTTTCTTTGGTGTACTGCTATTGCTTGTTCTTTTTGCTGTTTGTAGATCTTATTGTTCCAGTAGTTTGTGCGTTGAAACAGTGATGATGTAGAATTTTTCTCCATTTCAGTGTACTTGAGAAAACTTGTTTTGAAATTATTGGATAATTGCATATCATATTTCAATGAACTTTTCTTGGCATTTAAACTCTCCACCTCTTCTCTGTGCTTGTAATATTATTGCCGATGGTTTAGCAATTGCGTGCACTTATTGATATCAAAGATGCTATTATGAGACATGTACTTAATGTATTTTTGGGAAGCAGACTTCCTGGTCTCTATGTCTCATTGGTATCCATGTGTTCTAAATGGTATTCTGGTAAATGTAAATGTGTCATGAAGATTTTATGAATATGTTTCATTCTTATCATACAGGCTGTGTGCAGCATTCAATGAGAGAAGGAATTGCTTATCACAAAATGAGCGGTGGCAGTGGTGGTCGAAAGCGCAGCTCTAAGTGGGATTTGAAAGAAGAGTCTCGAACTTCCATCGAAAATAAGCACAGTGACAATTCTTGGTCTGGGAAAGCAGCTGGTACAACTTATCACGAGACTGATGGTAGTAACCGAAGCAGGTGGTCGACTGTGGAACCTAGAAGAAGCTCACATGGAGAAGATCTGGTTGATGATGAATTTGGAAGATCTTCCAAAACGATGGGGGCACGGGAAAGAGATGAAGGTTACGGGTCAAGTCGTCGCCACTCTCCTAATAAAGAATGGAAAAGACCAAGAAGGTTTGGTGTCTGATTGATGTGCATAATGCCATAACCCCTTGGTGCTTGATGCTTTTCATAATGTCATGTCCTGAATGCGTCAAATGAGATAGTTAGTAGTTGGATTAGCAATAAAAAAAATGAGTAGGTTTGTGGGAAATGTCTATTTTAGGTATAATTTTACGAATAAATACTTAACTAATGGGCAAAATCAGAAATGATTTTCTTATATGGCTTTTAGCTTTTATTACTTTGAGGGGTTGACCATGATTAGTTTTTGTAAAAAGTTAGAGTGGAGAAGTAGTTTGTTTCAGCTTTTTAGTCCGTTTTCTAAAGCAACTTTGTTCTTAACTCAAGGAAAACCCCCCATAAACTTTTGTGACACCGTATCGGAGATCAAACTGGTGAAACTAATTTTCCTATAATAGATGTATGATAGAAAAACTGAAAGCACACCAAGACAGTATCGGCTTCGTCTTTGGTGTGTGGTTTAGCCAGTACAACCGCCTGGTATGGTACAGTGTCACAATTCCCAAATACACGGTCCATAATACACTTTTGTACATGTCATCCATTTTATTGCCTCCCCTGAAATTTCTGGTTGGGATTTTTGTTCTGCTGTTTCCTGGTGGTTAAAAGTTGTTGCAACTCTTCTGGATGGTATTGAAGCTTTATTTTGACTTCAATATTTGCTGATTTATTCACAGAAGTAGAAGCCGTAGCAGGAGTCCGATTCGGCGCGAGTCGGGGACTACTGACCGAGGTAGAAGCCGATCAAGTCAATCATCTCAGATATGCAAGGAATTTTCTGCTGGGAAATGCAGGAGAGGCAGCCACTGTCACTTTCTTCACGAAGGTGGTGAGAGTTATGAAGATAGCTATGATGGACGGAGGAAAGCTCTACCGTCGAGATATTCTAATGATCCCGAGGATTACCCTAGTGGTAGTAGTGGACAAAGTTCTGGAGGCTTGTGCAGTGATTTTCTCAAGGGATACTGCAGAAGAGGAGCATCCTGCAGGTTGTCCCATCCCGATCCCTCTGCTAAAGGGCCCACCACCAATGAGTTGATTCGGGAGAGGGATAATATTGACAGAAGGACCCACCGTGGCAGTTCTCCTCTAGATAGACATGATGAGCAGCAGAGTCGTGGTAGAGCTACGGAGACACCTTGCAGATACTTTGCTGCTGGTAATTGTAGGAAAGGAAGGAATTGCTGGTTCTCTCATCAGGGTCAACAGGTTAATTCGAGTCCTGAGAATAGGAGACCGAGGAATGAGAGGCGGTTGATGGAACCAATTGTGGACGATAATCAGGACAAAAGGTGGGATGGCTTAAAATGGAGCGACGTGGATAATTATTCAAAGTCAAGCAGGGATGTGGAGAAACCATGGAATGGTGAAAAATATAGCAATCGGGTTAATCCTTCAGATGCTGCAAAGCCTAGTGATGCCGGAACAACAGTCAAACCGTGGTCTTTGAATAATCCACATGGTCGAAGTTTGGATGGTCGAACCGCAAGAGATCATCACCAGTCACCAGCTAATATCGTCGAGGGTGGCAGAAATGAAACCCTCATGGTGAAAGGGGGAAATGCCAGTGATAACCGTCACTTTCCTGAACAAAGTATGAATAATGATTGGGCAGGTAATATGGAGATGTCTCCTGAATGGAACTATGGACCTTCTAACCATATAGATAAGGGGCCACCACCACCCAGCACAGAGATCTCAGCGGCCATCCAGCCATTGAGACACGATACGTCTTCCATTCAGCATAACTACTACTCAAGGGATACGAATGGTGCACCTAGAGAAGTCAATGGCCCTCATACCAACAGTTCTGGAAGCATCTTGGGTGCACCAAGCTTAAATCCTAATAATGGTCTGAGTATGAATAATTTACCGGCTCTTCTTCCAAGCATGAACTCAGTTGAGCACACCCGAGTAGGGACCGCGATAAACCCTATGAGCCCGACAGTTATGAATATAGGAGGACAAGGCATCAACAACATGCAAGCTATGGGTGACAGAAGTGCCTCAGCTGTCAATTCAAGCTTAAACCCTAATGGTCCGAGTGTGAATGCTTTGCCCCCGCTTCTTCCAAGTATGAACACAGTTGAGCAAAGCCGATTGGGGAGCACTCAGATGAACCCTATGAGCCCGACACTGTTGAATATTGGAGGACAAGGCATCAACAGCTTGGAAGCTATGGGCAACAGAAGCGGGCTGGCTGTCAATTCGAGCATTCCTCGGACTCAGAACATGGTCAGTGATGGTCGGGTTGCTGAGCTCACCAACTCGATTGCGATGTTTCTTGCTCCACAGCTTTTTGCGGCTCCTAGCTCTAATCAAGTTAGTGTTGTGGCTCAGATTGCAAATCCCGAGCTCTCTGCTAGACTAGATCAAGCCGTTGTACCGCAGAAGCAATATGACCCTATAAGTGACAGCATTGAACCTGAGAATCAAGGTGTCGGCAGTAGTGCTAATGATAATAAAGAGAAGAGCACTGGAGATGATGAAGAAGCTCAAATGGCTGCCCCGAATGGTAGCCGAGAAGAAGCACCTAATTTGAAACCTGGTGCAGACTCTGAAGTTGTGAAGGAAAGTAGTGGCAAGAAGGCTGCCAAGGGTGCCAGCAAAGTTAAGGAGAGTAAACCGGAAGAAGACGACGACGACATTGATGGAGATGGTAAAGGCGACGAGGGAAAGAAAAACAAAGAACCCAAGGGGATTCGAGCATTCAAGTTTGCACTTGTGGAGTTTGTGAAGGAAGCTTTGAAGCCCTCATGGAAGGAAGGGCAAGTGACCAAAGATTCTTACAAAAACATAGTGAAGAAAGTGGTGGAGAAAGTGAGTGGTACAGTGCAGGCTAGCAGCATACCCCAGACACCAGAAAAGATCGAACTTTATCTGTCGTCTTCAAAGCCAAAGTTGACCAAACTTGTACAGGTAACCTTCTCACCGTTACATCATTCTTTGCAGCCTTTTCCTTACTGAAAGAGTCCTCTACGTTCTTGAGAAGGAAGCAATTCAATGTTTGAAGGTGAAGTACTATTTTTCTGTTGCAGGCTTACGTAGAAAAGTTCCAGAAGGGTAAATGAAAAACGGGGACGAATCCCTGAGGATGTTTGTTTCCATCAATCTTTAGCTGGCCATTTGTGACATAGCAGAGGATGATATAATCTTATGGAGATGTTTGTGAATCTATTGCCTTAATTTTCTCAACTAATTTGGGCTTTAGCTTTAATTTGCTTCTTTTTATTCTTCTATTTTATCAACTCTTAGGAACGATGGCAAGTAGAGTCAGTCAAGTAAAACAGTTTTTCATGTTGCAAGCTCCTGCTGTGCCTGTGCTTCTTCTGTTTGGTTAAGATGGAAAATTGATGAATCTCTTAATGCCTTAGGCCGTGGTGAGGTTCTTCTTTTTCTGGGTGTATGTTTTTCTGCAGATTGGATGGATTTCATTGTTAAGATTTTAGATGGAATGGATTTACTGAGAGTGCTTCTTCGTGTATAAAAAGTTTGATAATTTGAAGTCATTTGTTCATGGAGACTGCTTCTTGAAAATGCAGCACAGCTAAAAATTCAATAGTTTCCGTGAGACATGGGTAGGTCCGTTCATGGAGATTGCTTCTTGACATAGTGGTAATGTATTTGAATTTTCACGGCCCCTAATATTAACAATTGATTAAAACACAAAGTATGGTAGGTTCATGCAAATTTCAAGCCAGTGAGTTGAATTTCGTTTAGAAACATGTAAATATGAGTTATAAGATACATAATTCATATTCTTCTATCAACTCAGATTTAATGAGACCTACTGACTTGTTACCCTTATAAACTAATTAAATTGACGTAAACATAGATCGTGTATTCCCCTCAATATTCATGGTGGAATTGGCGACCGCAGACCTTTTTACTGCGATTAGGTTGTTGAAAAACAAAAGGAATAGAGCCATTATAGGAAATGCATTTGATGGTACAATCTTTCTCAATGCATTTCCTTTTCTTTCGTTTGTTTGTTTTTTACCGTGCCACATTTGGTCACCGAGATCACTAAATTATGTCGTGTTTAGTCACTAGAAAAAAATTAATATTTAATGTGACCAACGAAGTTGAACAGAGCCAATGTAGCATTTACCCGTCAACGGAGTTGGACAGAGGCTAACGGAGAGTGACTAAATGTTACATGTTTCAGTAATCCGAGTGACATTCATAAAAAAAAAAAAGTAATTCGAGTGACTGGTGTTGGACGGAGGCTAACGGGAGAATGACTAAATGTGACATGTTTTAGTAACTCGAGTGATGAAAATTGATATTAATTTTTCCAAGTGACTAAACATAACACGATTTAGTAATTCTAATGACCAAATATAGCATTTACCCGTTTTTTTACCTCTCCATCTCCCCCTCAAAGGCGGGAAAATGGAGGAAGAAGAGAAAGGGCAAAAGGTGGGGGAATGAATGATTACCTCCTGTGCATGCGCAACCATATAAATGATAGAATTTGCAGTTTGTGGAAACATCTGGTTTTGGTAGCAAGAAAGTGAACAGCTAGCTAGCCAGCATTCCATTTTCTCACGAACAAAGTAAACATAGGAAGCCCTCTATGCATATGTTCCCACCATCAGATGTTACTTTCGTGCTAAGTTGTGTAAGGCCATGATGATTTGGCCAAATGCAGAGGGGCTATGTGTGATACTTCAAACATTTGTAATGAGTGTGTGAATATGTGTGCTAGGAAAATTCTGCAAGTTCATGAGCGTGGCCGCGGATAATTCAAGCTTACGATCTTATTGGTGGCCAAAAACAAGGTCTTTTTTTTTTATAGAAACGGAAGGATGCGGAAAAAAAATATATGGAAGAGCACGACTTGCCAGCTCAATGTATCCTTACCACCTGGGTGGCACGTATCTGTAGGCTGAATGATGGATTCTCTACGTTCATCTAAGATCTCCGGTTCGATAATTAAAAATGGTATCTGTATTTATTGTATCTTTTTAGGTGTTATCTAATCCGAACTAGAATAAATAAGTGAATCTATAAAAAATAGACCAAGAGTCATTTGAGCTCTTATTCTACCTAGGAAATTATATATGACAGTTAAGGTTTTGGGTCAATCGGGTTTGCTACTATTGCGAGACATGAAACCGTATCTTCAACCCTGATCATGAGTATAAACAATATGACTTGAATCAACCGTTCACTTGAATGGTTGGAAACTCATAATATCAAAGATTTACCTTTGCCCTTCAATAACCAAGTTCAACCCATTTTGAAATGGGCAAGGAGATGTGAGAGAGTCATTCAACCCAATGTAATTATATAGACTCAATTAAGTGGTAATCAAAATTACAAAACAAGTGAAGTTTCACCAAAGAGCATAATAAAAGTGGTGAGGGAGGGATGGCTAGGTACATATATTATATATAGTGTAACTATTTATGGAGAAGCAAGAAAGAGGATTTAATCCCTCAAGCCAACCCTTTAAGAAGCAATCTAGCTAGGGTTTCAGTGCTTTGCTTTGATTTTGCATTGATCATTATCATTCACTAGCCATAAGTATTAGATGCAAGCAAAAGTGCGTATATTCCCCTCCTCTTTGTGTCAAAAGAACGAGGGAAAAACAAAAAGCATTGAATGGTTTTGCTTCTTGCCAGCATTCATTGTGACACACCATTGATAAACCCTAGAAATATATATGATGGCTTACCTAGGAGAATTATTAGAGGTAAAAGTGAGATTCCCCCTCCACCCAAAATTGCTAAAGAAATTCATTATACTTCAAGTATTACTAGGTGACTGTATATACAACAATGTTCTTGTATACTTCCTTGTTCTCAAGTGAATCGGATCATAAATAAAACATTAACTTTACAAAAATAAAATAAAATGTAATGTCTGAGCCCAGGTTCGAACTGGGGACCTTTAGTGTGTGAGACTAACGTGATAACCAACTACACCACCCAGACATTGATGTAGATTGAACATACTAGCTGCTACTAACCTGCAAGCGCCCACATGCAATAAGGCTCTAATATTTTCATCAACTTCTCAATTAGGGGTGGCTATTTGGTCCGACCTTTTTGAACCGAAACCGGACCGAGACCGGACCGAGACAGGATAGCAAACAATCCAATCACATCTTCAGGCTTGGACTTGAGGTAAAAAATTGTTCAGGATCGGACTGGAAACCGAATAAAGACTGGATAAGAGAGCCCAACGCCCAAAACTTAACATACTCCTCAGTCCTCACCCTTTGAGGCCTCAGACCATTCAAATCCCCACAAGCTCAATCTAAAATCAAGACCGAATTGGGACCGGACTGTATCCGATCCAATCTTTGGTCCTTATATTCCCGAAAAGACTGGACCGAGATCGAATCAATTTGAGCCCATTTAATCAGACTGAACCGTATAGCCACCCCTATTCTCAATGTATATGAATATGATCTTATCATTCCTGTTAATTTTTTTCTCTAATCCGTAACGAACTACTCACATTTAAACTCATTGCTTGTAGAAGGTTTATTTGGCTATGAATTTCATCGTGTCTAAAAACAAAATGTGAGCCATACTTCATAACTAATATTCCCAAATGATCTAATACATTATCTTCCAGTAATTTATAATGGATAATCAAATTCCACATTCTAAGGGTTGAACGCATCATTCCCAAATGACGTTGGTGGACTTTTTTTAGATTCGTGAAGTCAACATACATTCGTAATTTTGATTGGTCTAGAACCCCTTAATCAACACACATACGTACCTCTTCACCACGAGGAATGACATTGGCTAATCAACCAGGTGGAGTATGCAACTTTGCGATTAACATCATCTAAATCTAATCAAACTTGATGTTCGTAGACATGAAAACGTAACATTAATCAAGTACCCCTTAATCAATGAATTAAAATCGTAGATGCAATCATCTTCAGGGTTTAGTATATCGACTTCCGCGAAATCCTTTCAGTTATCAAATATATCTAAAAATAAGGCCCAGACCGATGTACTACTAGAGTGTACTTTACTTTATTCAATGTACTCTTAGTGAGATATCTCTATTTAGACCATGATTTTAATCAACTTTGAGGGTATGATACTATACCTAACCTCTAATGGATAAACCATAGACCCTGATTCTCTCAACTCAAACACAAAATTCAATTAAATGAAATTTTATAATTGACCGCTGAGATTGACCAGAACTCAAAAAAGTATATCTAACGGCTAGATCGTATGGAATATACTATACTCTTAGAGTATACCAATCTTTTACCCTAAACAAAATATATATTAAGAAGCAATAAATACATAAAATAATTTAAATACCTCACCTTAAAACCAATTATGACGACGGCCGTTGCATTTATTCTCTCTTACATCATCTCATCTCCCCAAAGCTTCATAATATTTTCTTTTCCTTTCCTCCTCCCCCTTTCTCTCTCACTCACAGAATATGAACTCCCATGAACATCAAAAAGCCCACAATTCCTCTCTCTTCTTCTTCTTCTCACTCACACACACAAAAAAACTCCCATTTCCTTTCCTCTCTCTACTTCTTTTCCCCTCTTCCTCAAAACCCTCATTTCTCTTATGGACATCAATCAAACCCATCTCTGCTGGAACAATATTATCCATCACCAACCACCACCATCACCAATTGATCAATCCCACCATCAAACCTCAACAAACTTCCCTCCTTCCTTCCAATTAGACCATTTCCCATCCCCAAACTTTCTCAGCAACCAAACAGAAAAGCAACTCCAACCGAGCAAAGACCCTATGCAACTATTTTGTTTGGAAAATCAAGAGTCATCCCTCAAGGAATGCAACGAAGAAGGAGGTCATGAAGGTGATGATGATGAGGAGGAGGAGGAAGAAACGGAAAAGGAGGATCTGGGAGCCATGAAGGAGATGATGTACAGGATGGCGGCGATGCAGCCCGTAGAGATCGACCCTGCTTCGATCCGGAAGCCGAGGAGGAGGAACGTTCGGATCAGCGACGACCCTCAGAGCGTCGCTGCCCGACACCGCCGCGAGAGGATCAGCGAAAAAATTCGGATCCTCCAGCGGCTGGTCCCCGGAGGGACCAAGCTCGACACGGCTTCCATGTTAGAGGAAGCCGTGCGGTATGTCAAATTCTTGAAGCGTCAGATACGCCTCCTCCAAACCACGACAACGACGAATAATGATAGTAGGACAACATCTGATCATCGTCCTACTCCTCGTATTACCACTAGACCAACTTGTTCGGTACCGGCGGATGGTTTGGGAGGGTTTCTTGGGTTTGGGATTGGTGGTGCCGCAGCTGATGGTGTCCACGTGGGTGATGGTGGTGTTGGTGATAATCATGGTTTAGTGTGCTTTGGTGGTCATGATGAGGTAATTAGCGATCCTTTAATTGGAAGTTGATCATAAGAGTAGTGTTGTAGATAATGATACTTATATATTTGTAACTTGTAAGGCTAATTAAACATGAGATTAGAAACTTGGTTAATTGATATGTATAAGTCATTAGTTAATAGTTATAGTTTTGAGTGTGAATAACAATAGACATGCATATGGCCAAACAAATATGTCTTTTATTTTCGAACACCGATGATAATCCGCGATTAAATGTCGTATAATTGCATAACAAAGAATTCATTATCAGACGATTTGTTTAAGCATAAAGCAGCATGAGTTGTTACAAATTTGAAAGCGTTGTTAATCAATAGAAAAAAATTTGCACTTGGAAAACAATTGCAATGTAATGAACTCGGTCGCAAATTTCTTTTAACAACTCGAACAATTGAGTATAATGGTAATCAGTATAACATGAGTGTTTGTTTATATGATGAATTGTTTTATCAAATAATCATATGAATTGTAGCCTTGTAGGAAGGGAACAAAATATGCAATCAAAATCTGTTGTTGTTATGTGATGGGTTTGTTAGGATATTGTTGACCAAAAGGAGTGAAATAGATAATAATAATAATAATAATAATAATAATAATAATAATAATAATAATAATGGTTATGGAAATTGTGAGGGTTGTATATTATATGCAACTTCCAATAGAAAACAAACAAAAAAAAATGCATGTGTATAGAAGTAGTTTTTCATTTTTATTTCCAAAGGCGATCAAAAGCGTGCAGTTTGGCCGGAAAGTTCTGTGGGTCAGCCGCTCTTTTCCCGGCGGGAATAATTGTAGAAACCAAACCCCCACTGACCTCTGACGTCATAATCCATGCATATATGTATAAATGAATTTCTTTTATGAAATTTTTTGATTTAATTTAATTTTTGTATATGTGTGATGAGGAAAAACATAAATCATTGGAGTGATTTATTGTGTTAGTGTTTTCCTGCGAAGAAAATCTGGTGTTTGAACTCAATAAATGCACCTTAACTTCTTGAACAACGATTAATAACACAGTTCACTCCTCTCCGAACAATGTTCGAACGAGGGTAAACAGTTAGGAATTCTAATTAATTCTTGTAATGTTTTGCCATATTGCCTCCCATTCACTTGGTAAGGCGACAGTTAAATATATGGTTTTCAATGCACGCAAGAATCATCCATAGAAAAAAAGGGCAAAGATTGCCTTACTAGCTAGGGTTTGTTTCTCATCGTAAAAATTAAGGTACAAAGTATTACTATCTCGTACTAGAAAATAATACATCAAAATTAAGATTTTCTGTCTTGGGTATTCATAAATGACACTCAAACAGAATTATTATCACCCTCTCGCGAGCGAAATTCAGTTCTACAACAAACTTAAAAGATGAAGAAATATTTCACACGCGTAGTAGTAGTACTTAACATCGCCGAAAAATGTCCGAACAAACAATTAAAAATCCGCTATTATAACACCGAGAGAATCCAAATTAAACCAGCCGAAACGATAATATCCCAAATTAACAATCACCGATCGAAGAAGAAATTATCGACAACAACGAAAACATATTTACAAATTTTACCAAACCCTCAGTTAAGGGTTTATTTTTTTGCACATGATCTCTTCACTTCCTTTCGTCTCGATCTCCACCGGTTATCACAAAGTTAGCAAAACGAATTATGATCCAAACCATATCCACAGCCTGCAAGCCCGCCACCGGCTACTCCAATAATAGGGTCGCCCAAAATGTCTTTCCATATATTATTCTCATTCCCTTCGTAGCCATGAACATCATCCGCCATCACCATCATCCCTCCGTTGTAATAGCCATACGGCTGGGGATGACCAAAGTTGGCATTCTGTGCTGCCGCGGCAACGGTTCCAAAAACTTGATGTCCCTGAACATACGGTTGTTGGTGGTGTGGTGGTGGTCGTGAATCGTCAAGGATGTCATGTCCATTGTTGTTGTTGTTGAACCTAGTTGGATTCACATGATGAGGATGATTAGCACCAGCACCGGCAGCAACACCAGAAGGAACGACATTAATGGCGGTAGCAGCTGGAGCAGGATTAGGATGATCAGGATCGTCTGCATATCGAATCGACCTGTTGATCATGTACTTCTCAGCCTTCTTGTATATCCTGCAGAGGACGTAGTCATCCAGCTGCATGCACGTAAGAGAACTTCGTGAGTAAAACCAACCACACGCATCGACATAATTACTCCTCGTTCTCAATGAAATTTCGTTGAAAAAATTCATGTTTCGTCATTATAAAAATTCGAAATCGCGATATCTCCGATACACCTCCAAAAATCGTAACCGACAAATTATACGTTACCCTCATGTCAGCTTTGTTGGCCCTAGGAGCTCGAGGAGGGAGAGTGGAAGAAACGAGTTTGAACTCGTGCATGATCCAGTTGGTCTTGACGCCCTTCGGCGGCTTGCCCGTGTAGTAGACGAGCGCTTTCCGGAGGCCGATGACTTCCCCTTCCCACATGATCCTCTTGTCGGCGCCGGTTGCCTTCCAGTACCCGTCGCCGGCCGCCCTGTTCGGCCGGTCGCCGTTCGGGTACTTCCGGTCCCTCGGGGTGAAGAAGTACCAGTCTTTCTCCCCGCATTTGCTGTACGTGGCTAGTATGTGTATTTTTGATCAACACCCAAAGGAAAAAGCGTCGATTAGCTAGCCACAATAGTACTAATCTAAACCCTAGGATTTCATGGGTTGACATAGGAATCAAAAATGAAGCCGTCTGGGAAGAGTATCTCGATACCCATACCAGTCCACAGTGATATGTACGTAGTTAAATTAATAGAGAAATTGAGATTCTCACCTATAAGCTAATAAAATTAAAAAAATGTAATAATTTGCGCAAAGTCACATGTTATTTAGGCAAAAACGAATTGAAAACGAGGTTAGTAAGGTTAGGAGGAGTGTACCCATATCTACCTTGTCTCGTCTACGATACAGGTGTTGCCTGCTATTAATAGAAGATGATTTTAGCGGTATAAAATGATTTTTCACTATTTTTCAACTCTAAACCCTAGCTTTCAAGTTTGACCTAATTTATGGCACCAATTAATGAGGCACCATAGCAATCACCACGTACACTACGTACGCATGCAATAATCAACTACCAAAAAAGTAATTTAAGTCAGGAAAGATGGAAGATTATATTAATTACCCACCAACAATTAACTGATAAGTAACATGATTAACGTACCAGCAAGAGTGTTAGGATCGTGCCTATAGAGATTAACCTCCATGATCTTGTTCATGGGCAGTTCTTCCCCCAGCACCTTCTTCTTCAGATAATCGAGGATAAGCTCTTCATCTTGAGGGCAGAATCTGTAACCCGGCGGGAAAGAATCAAAGTACTCATCATGGTTCACGTTATTATTATTAATAACATGATTGACCAGAGTTGATTCTTCCTCCTCGTTCTTAAGAACAGGAGCAGCCACCACCGCCGCCGCCGGCGGTGAGTCGGTACGGCCGCCGGGAGGGATCATCTCAGTGGTGGGAGAGAAGGAAGAAGGGAGGAATTACGAGCTGCGTTGGGGAAGAAGTGCTGACTCAGAGCTCCGGCGAGTGGTTTAGTTCTGTTGGAAGACTATTTATATATATACGATTTTGATTTTTTTTTTCGTGTAGGAAAAATAATTTTTAGAGGAGATAAATCCTTCTATTTGATTATAATTTTTTTTTATCGTCTCTTTGTTCGATTTTTTCTCAGAGAATATTCTTTTTTTATACTTAGTTTCAAACCGAAAAAACAGAAAAACAAGTTGTTACAATTTTGAATTTACCGCCTAAGACCGATGATGCTTTGCATATATATATTTTTTTTCATACTTTTTTATGAATGGGTTAGATTATATTTCATCAATTTACCAACAACAGATTTATTTCATCAAATACAATCCGTACAACATGTCTCCTTACAACATCAACCAACAATCGATGTAACATGTAATGCAAAATGTTATCAGTTAAATCATTCTATCATCAAACAATATTGAGCAAAACCACAATGCTCGAGAATGAGCTGCAGCAGCAAACTTAAGCATCACCATTCATCATTTTTAGTAGCTACATAAAATTTGCATATATTTTTTTATTTATCTAAAAATAAAATATTTTAAATATATATTACATTTAACATATAAATTATTAATAATGGTGACACATTTGAGGTTGGACTAGAATACATAATAGCCCAATGTCAATTCCCTGCGAGCTAAACCTAAACCTTTTAGACGGTGATTATTTATAAATTACTTTTAATTCTAGGTAGTACCAATTTTTACTATGCACCATTCTTATTTGTTAAAAGTGTACACATTCTTATTTGACAAATTAAAATTTTATTTTATCATATTGTTTATTTATTTTCAGTTTTTCAAATTAAGAATTCCATCCAGCTTGATGAAAGTTAAGATGGGCTCATGCTTAGTAAACATATATTGGACGAGTCACGATGTATAAAATTTATGTTTTGTTTTACTAATTGGGCTAATACCACTACAACACCCGAACTATTCCAAAAATGCCACTTGTGTCCTATTGTTTTCAATATTCCATCTGTGTCCTGAACTATGATTCTTTGTGTCATTTGTGTCATTTGTGTCCTGTCGGTTCTGTTGATTTTCAAGTATTAACAGTTGACCAGACGGCTTTTAAAACGACGTCGTATTGCTGCCAACGTGTCTTACCCGTGGCGGACACGTTGATGCCACGTCAAATGGGAATTAAATTTTTTATTTTTATTTTTTACAAATGGGAATTAAAGTTTTTTACCCAGCCTATATTTCTACCCTCTTCCCATCCATCGACCTAATTTCCGATTCTTTCTACCCTTTCTTCTCCTCTACCCAGCCACTTCTCCTGTACCCAGCCAAAGTGCCGAACTTGGTTTGCTCGAGTGTGGCTTTCGAAGAAGACGACGACGGCGACAGGCTTTCGAAGGCGCATATGGAGAAGTAGCGAGGGCGGGGCTTGCGTTGCGTCGGCGCGGAGTGGGTGTCGGGGTAGTGGCGGTGACGAGCCACGACGAGCTGCGGTTTGTATTTGTGTTGGGGCGAGGTGATTCGACTGTGAAGACCCAAATTGCAATGTCAATCCGCCAGAAAAGAGCCTTACCATCTTTCAGGTACATTAATAGTTGATTTTGGTAATTTAGGGTTTCTTTGAATTGGGGATTTAGTGTCCTGTTTTCGTGGCAGTAATTCAAAAATGTCCAGAAGAGGGTCGCAAAGCATATCGTCGAATTCATCAAACTCACGTACAGTTAAATGCCGGCATAATATACCAGCTTTTCTGAATGTTTCTCGAACAGAACTGAATCCGGGGAGGCAGTTCTATTGCTGCCCTCATTGGCAGGTAAATGAAGTAGTGGTTTGTTATTTAATTCTTATTTAGATGGGCAATGATCTCACATGGGTTGCTTTCTACATGGCAGGATGAGGAAGAAAGTTGTCGTTTGTTCATTTGGGATGATACTCTGAACGAAGACAGTGAAGGTGCTTGCTCCAATGGGGTTGTTGGAGGGAATGAACATATCAGGTCGAATGTTGGTTTGATAGACAATCAGATGGAAAGATTGAAAGAGAGTTTAAGGGTTGCTGAAGAAAAAGCAGTGCGAAGAAAGAAGGCCTTAAAATTGTTGTATGGTGATTTAGCTAGCATTAGAGAAGAGAATGTTAGGTTGATTGGGGATTTAAGGTTGGCCAATACTCGTCTGTTTTGTGTTTTGGTCGTTTTATCAGCCTTGGTTATAGGGATAGTTATTGTAGGTTTGAATTCCTCCAGCATGCTCTAATCTGTTATTGTTGTAAGCAGTTGTCCTGTTTTCGTGGATCTTATCAGTTGTGCGAACCTTGAATATGTTACTTATCTAATGGCTATACCAGTTTGTGTGTAATACTTATGTAACCAAAATGCAGACAACATCAATTCACAAAACAGCTGCTTTCACATTCACAAAAACATATCATTACCAAGGTACCTGAAATGTCATCCCTTAAGGTACCTAAAATGTCGATCCAATGTTTAGGAAATATACACCATTTCCATGGATCTACAGGTAACCTACCACAAAAGGTGGATCCAACTTCAATGTCACATCTTAAAACGAATACCACAGATATGCTAGAGGTAGGCTACTATACAAAAACACATTCTACTGCTATCTAAACTACTGCCGAGGTTGTGAAGGTTGCGTGGCAGGTGGTTGAGATCCACCTTGATCTATCTCAGTAGGAGCTGCATTCTGAAGGATCCTTCCACTTCTTAGCGTCCTGCCATGTCCATTGGGGCCATTGAGTATAACATAGGTATTACCCAAATCAGTATGCAGAACTCCAATCCCTTGGTTAGCCTGCACATTCGTGTATGAAGCACCCATATTAGATGTATTTATCACAGACAAAACATAAACATCAAATAGAATTGACACGAAATGCATTTGGGTTATTCACATACCATCCTAACCTCCCTTGCTAAATCACGCCTGCTAGTCACTTCACGATTAACGAAGGCTTCCTATTAACACAACATTGTATGAATCAGATTTCATACAAACAATCATTTCAATTCTACACATTCATCCGTTATTGGATTTACCTGGATTCCGCCAGTTAAGGGACATGTCCTTGCGTTATGGTCATCTCCTTTGCATTTGGAACACAGACCTCTGCTCCTTCTTGCAGGTGGAGAAGCTGGAGCAGCACGTCCAGTTGGGGCAGCTGATGCACCTGGACCAGATGGAGTTGGAGCATCTCCACCTTCATTATTCCCTCTCCTACGAACTCTTCTACTTCCACCTGCCTCATCTCCACCCACATTCTATAAACTCGACAAAATATCATAATTAGCATGACATTCAGAAGGCAAATATTGAGTTAGCTTGTAATTGACTAATGCACATTACCTCTCCAGCACGAAGTTCTGGACAACGTCTCACGTTATGATTTGGAGATTTACACTTGCTGCAATGCATGGCAATGGATTTCCTCCTGATGGCAACACCTCCAGCCCCATGACCAGTAGTCTCTATTTCTCCTGGTTGTCTCCTCCTCTGTTTTTTAGGACGGCCAGGCAGAATCCTAAACTTGGGAGGGTATACAGGATACCATTCAGCTTCTGGCCATGCCTGCTGGCCTTCCAAAGTAGGAATGCCATGTCTGTAGGCCATCTTATACACCTCGACCTTGTAATATTGGGTGACAAACATCTCTGGTTCCAACCTCCTGTATTGAAAACATGCAATTGAGTGGTGACATGGTATACCAGTCAACCCCCAATAACCACATGTACAAGATTTGTCTTCAAAGTCTACCACATATCCCTTTCTACCTTCTGCAACCTCGAACTTCTCCCCCAAACCAGGACTAACAACACACATCTTTGCCAAATCTGTCCCAATCTTGAGCTTCTTTTCAATCCTAGGACAGAAAACACTATCAACTCGTTCAATGTTCTTCATTTTGTCGACAAACCTAACCATCAACTTCCGACGAATTCCCTCTAGCATGTCGATAATTCTGTCCTCCCTTTCCTCAAGGATATAACCGTTAAATGTTTCACATATGTTGCTCTCTACCGAGTCACACCTTGGTATGTGGCTCATGAAAGCTCTACAGAATGTGTGTGGTTCTTGGTCCAAAAAATCCTTATGCAATCTAGGATCAACCCCACTAGTCTGAATGTCTTTCATCTTCTTCAAATGAGCATTATATTCAGGAACATTCGTGGCATATACTGCTGCCCAGAAGAGGTCCCGATGCTTTTTAACTCGATGATTGACCTTCCAGTTGGCAAAAACATGTCTTGCACATTTCCTTTGTGAAGCTTCAGGTAAGCAAGTGCTTATTGCTTGCACTAGTCCCTAAGAAAACAAACAGCCCAATCATGAGTTAGTGAAACAACATGGATCATAAAGAACACATAAAACTCATTGAGGGGTATGTACAATACCTTCTGTTGATCAGATATGACAGTCCATCCACGACCATCAGTGGTCCTAAGGTCTTGTTGAAGTATTGACACGAACCACTTCCACGAATCACTGTTCTCTCCTTCTACAACAGCCCACGCAATAGGGAACATCCGATTGTCACCATCTTTCCCAATTGCACTCAACAACATCCCAGTTACTTCCCCCTTAAGGAAACACCCATCCAAAGCGAACATAGGACGACAACCCCTAGTAAAACCCCTACTTAATCCACTGAACCCTACATACAGCCTCTTGAAAAGCACACGTTCAGGAATAGAACTTGGGTCAACCTCAAGTATGAAGGTTCCAGCAGGATCTTTCCTCTTCATTTCTGCCATATAGGACCTGACCTTATTGTACTCTTCAACCAATGAGCCACCCAACATCCTCTTCGCATAAATCCGAGCCCTATAGCATTGCCTCCTGGATATCTGAACGTTGTGTGCTTGCCTTATTTCAACCATCATGTTCTTTACCTTCCAATTTGGCTCCCTTCTGAATCTGTCGAGATACTTTTTAGCAGCCCAAACAGCATTTGCAACCTTCATTCTCACAGACCTAGGACATGTGTGATCCTTTCCAACATTCTTGATCATAAAGCAAGAACGTCCATGCCAGCTTCCATAAACGTACCACCCGCAGTTGTTACGGCATTGAGCACGCTTCTTTTGCTTGTCACTCCTAGTCCATCTCATATCAGCTCCAATGGCAATGCAATGGTTTTCAACGGCCTCCTTGAACTGCTCGGGGTTGTCAAATGTCATGCCCACAACCAACTTAAGGGTTGAATGGTCACACATAGGGTCATATCGAGGTCCGTTTTCTAGAGGGCTACCTTTGTCTTCGTCATCAATGTTCCCCCTCACGTGGCGTGACTCAATCGAACCCCGGTAGGCTGAATCTTCCACAACCCTGTCCCTCAAGTCCTCGTTATCAACGTCATTTGCAACAATGGTCTCACTATTACCTCTGCCTTCATCCACAGGTGAGTCACCATCAACAAACAATGACTCTTGCTCTACCTCCTCCCCAGTTTGATCAACACGAGTACGAACTCGTCGTGGTCTGACTCCTTGCTCCTCCATTGCATCAATGAACTCATCATCGGAAGTACGGATATCATCATCCATGAGATGGATAATGTCTCGGTTTTGTGAGTTATCCCCATCCTCCGAATCACCATCATCAGATAACTCTTCTCCAAGTTCTTCATTGTCCCCGATTTGAGTTTCTATTGCTTCCATGAATATCATAATTTTTCCATCTTCTATGGCTGGGAGCAAGCCATCCATCACCTCACTATCAGACCGTATTTCAACTAGACCATTATCCAAAGTGTCGGAGGGTGCCATGTACCACAGCCTCTCAACCCTTGCATAATCGAAGTGGACTGTTCCAATTTGTTGGAGTTGGAAGAACGAGACATAATCTATGTCCATGTCAACAGCCTCTGACTTGCCATTTATGTAGCGAATACCATCATCAGAATATTCCATTTTCCCACCATGATGGACAATCAACTCCACCAATGTCGACATCCTGCAAAACCAAACAATCCCCATTTAACAATAGCCTAAATTCATCGAATTGAGACATTAAGCATACTTTAACCACCCCTAATAATCTATTCCGTAAAGCATTCCACAAAGCATTTGACTCGACTACTTTCCTTCTGGAAGACCACAAAACTGATTCCCATCTCAATTGAATAATCCGAACCAAGACAACGACTTCTCAACCAACAACGTAAATGACCAATACGTACTAATTTCACCCATATCATACCTGTTACTAAAGTTGCCAAAAGGGTAAATGAGTCTTCACACTGTCCTCGTGGTCCCTGTTTTTCAACCTTTTCCCAGAGAATCTCGAGCTTTAATACCAGCGAAGCAGCTACGCCATTTACTCCTTTGTACTATTTCTGGCACCTTCTTTGCTTCCCAACCACCCAGTCACCCTTCAAATACTTCCAACACTCCAGAAAAGACACCACAAAGCATCGAAGAGAAACCCTAGAAAATTTGGGGGAAACTCAAATCCCCCAAATCCGCGCCTTCTTCTTCAAATGGCTGCTCGAATCCTTCAATGGTGGACGATTTGAAGGCTGCGAATGTTCCAGGAGATGTCGAGAAGAAAGAATCGGCGATGGTGGTACAGGGCTCGATCTTCGTCAGACAGAGGAGGCTGAAGAAATCGCCCTCCCCTCGAGGAATCGATCGCGCGCTTTCCGGACAGAGGGCCTTCACCAGCGCCGAATCGAAAGCCCCATGCTCGAGTAGAGGAGAATCACCAGCGCCGAATCGAAGGGCCTTCACCTTCTTCGTCGGGAGACTGTTTAGGGTTCTTCCTCACCTTCGCTCAATTCTCTCTCTTCGATAGTAGGATAAGGTAAATGTGGTGGGTGAAATGGCCGACCAAAATTTACCTTCTGATTTCATTTTCGTTTTTTAAAATATGAAATAAATAAAAAGCCACGTCGCAATTAGAAAGAGCCACGTCCGCTTACACATCAGCGCTGATCTGTCATTCCGTTAAAATTTAACGGTCAACAAAAGTCAACGATAACAGAACCATAGTTCAGGACACAGATGGAATATTGAAAACAATAGGACACAAGTGGCATTTTTGGAATAGTTCGGGTGTTGTAGTGGTATTAGCCCTTACTAATTTGACTCGTTCCGTATTCAATAATTCGTTCGTGAACATCCATATCCATTCTTATGAAAAATAGGGATTTAATTGAGAGATTGAAATAATGGAAGAAATATATGAACATCATCGATAACAAACTTACGAAATATGAGTTCATCCTATTATTAAGACCAATACTCACTTTTGAATTAAAGTTAGAATTTAAATTAGTAAAATTCTCTACTCTCTAGTACCTAATTCCTTCATTTGAATTCTCTTCTAGGTCACTCCAAAAGAAAGAAAACTCTCTTCTAGGAAGGTAAGATTTAGCATTTTCATATTTCCATTTGAATCGAAATGACAAACTAACACAATTTTGTTCTCTAAAACTATCTATCAAAACAATAATATTTTGATGATTCGTTCAATTTAAACAATTTAAATTTCATCGAACAACCACTTTGATCGATCTTTGGCAACAGAACTACCGAAGTTTTTTTTTTTTTTTTTATGGAGATTACAAGTCCTTTTACTTACAAAAATGCTTTGAAATCAAAATTCCAACAATAGCTAGTACCAAACCGGTTGAGTCTTTGTTGTCTCCTATTTTAGTGAAAGATTATAGAGCACGAGAAAGAGATGAACCACTAGGAAGAAAAAAATAACGAGAGAACAGTAACATACATACACACAAAAATGTGCTCTCGTTACTGGCTTAGCTATACTTCCCAACCCTGTTATACATCCCTGTTCCCTACGGATCAATCGCCATGGGAGTAATCCGTTTCCTCGCAGCCTTGTTACTTGCACTGGGATTCAGAGCTCGAGCTGGAGCTGGCGCCACCGGTGGAATTGGCGATGGTATAGTCTTCTCTTCTCCAATCTTCTTTCCTGCCGCTTCTGCTACTGTGCAGCCGGTAACAGCATCAGAAGGTGCTTCTTCCCTGTCTAGAACAATGACTTCCAGTTTCTTGCCAGCTGAGCTATTATTAGTCTCCGGAGACATGCTTTTCTTTGCTCCTACTGCAGACATAATCACAAAGCTGAATCGGAAGGAAGCTTTCGTCGAACCAAAGGTTCAGGGACAACAATATGATTATATACCAATTTGGTCACTGAACTTGCCTATGTATATATCTCATTAGGCACTGAACTAAGACGTTCAGGCAATTTAAGCACCAAATTCGTCCTGATAAATCACCTTAATATTTGTTTCCTACCTCCTTCAGTTTTTACTATGTAGCTGAAGTAACAGCATTTAACTGGCCAATTTGAAGCCCTCCACATCAGCAACATAAGGGCAAGAATGAGGATAGGGAAATGCTAATGGTCATTTATTAAGACGAGTTAGGTACCGTAGTTATTTCAAATAAAAAGTCTAGTGGCCAATGTGAAAACATACAAGCGAGTTCAGTAACCAATTCGTTACTTCTACAGTGGGCCAATGACATTCGATCCAACATAATAGATTGATCAAGGAAGAGGAAGGAAAACTAACCTTGGGGAGTGATAGGCGTGCCCAGTTCGTAGTTCTCGAATTCAACCAAGGTGCAGTAGCCATCTTGAGACGAGACAGCGAGAAGCTGGCCATTAGAAGACCAAGCGATGTCTGTTATGGCTGCATAGTGAAGACCAGCGAGAACTGCTACCGGAGGTGTGCTTTCGGTATCATATATGTATAGCGAATTTAGAGTTGCCACCGCGAAGATCAGGCGATAAGGAAGTTTGAAGAGCCCAGCTGCATAGTTCAAGATGGAAAGGGAGCCTGGTCATTTGATCTATTTATGTACTATGAGGGAACAACAATAGCAGAGGATATTATTATACCTGAATTTGACCCCCTGAGGTTGAACTGCAAGGGACAGAATCTCACAGCTATGATAGGTTTAGAAGCACCAGGAAGTAGTAATGCCGGTCTGCGTCATAGCAGAGTAGGAAAATACAAAATCAGTAGATATGATCAGGGTTAACTGCCTATATGGTTGGACATTAACAACTGTCCCTAAATATCGCTCCACCTAATTTGCCAATTCGTGGATTTGCTTGAGTTTGGAGTTGATTTTGTGAGTTGGGGTTGGGGTTGAGGTTGAAAGGGTTGGGTCCAGGGGGACATGGGGTGTTGATCGATTGATTTGGTGACATGGTGAGCTTATCTAGCACGATAACTCAACCAAAATAAAGGAAGATTTGGTAAAGCGGCATTTTTGTTACAAATCATAAGTTTAGTTCGCATGATCTTAGAAAAGAGAGTGTGATGAGTGTTTCTAAGTAAAATATCTTGCCTGGAGAGATCCTTCCTGGAAAATACATAAGCTGTGTTCACCGTTTCTGATGAAGGAGAAGTCTTGTAGGAACCTGAATGAGAAATGGATAGGTAATGTAAACAGATAAAACCAACTATTGGAGCAGGGAAAGGAAGAAGAGGGAGACTCATATGCTCATACAGTCATACCTGCAGGCACAACTAGAAAGGAACCATCAGGAGACCATGCTAATCTTCGGAAGAAGGAAGGCAATGTTTCGTCAAAAAAGAGATGTGTTTTTGTAGACTGTAGGTAAGAGATAATAAGTATGAGAATAATTAATTTAAGTGTGCATCATGTTTAAAATTAAGAGGAATGGAGAAGGCTACTATCTCTACCTTAGAGTCATCCTTCGCCTGCTGCTGCTCAGCTTTCGTTATGACATGTTGGCAAATGTAACTTTTCTCCGGGACTCCTTTTGACTTTGTCTTTGTTTTATTGCAGTAAACTCTGCAAGTTCTATCTGAGCTAAGAGATGCAACGTACTTCCCCAAAGGATCCCAAGCAACACCTTGGACATAATGTAGATGAGCATCCAACATCTGATGAACACAGCCTAAAGAAAAAACTTGTGATCAGAACATGATCTACCAAAGAATCACAACAGTCAGAAGATATAAAAACAAAGTTTTTTTTTTTCAAACTCACCTTTGTTGATGTCCCATATGATGCATGAGTTATCAACTGACCCAGATATCAGAAATGCAGAGTCAACAGACCATTCCATATCTAGTACATCTTTCCGGTGAAACCTAAGAAAATGGAGGATAATAGGGATTGCAGAGAATTCATAAGATCAAACTCGACTCAACAATTACCTAGATGGAAAGACATTCGAAGCAAGAGAGACAAATGGCATCACAACATTTGCTTGTTTTCACCTTAAAGGAGGTATATCATGATTCATGAACATGGGACCTTTTTACAAAGGAAATTAATTAGTTATTGAGATATTTGATGACTCTAACTTCTTTGTGGAACAAGTCAGGCAAAACATGGTTCAAATCAGAAGAAAAGAAATACGTTTTGATCATACTATTCACAACCACATAAAATGCCCTTTTAACAGACCACATCGAGATCTACTTGAGGGCTTGCTATGAATGACAGCTGCTGAATTGAGAAACTATTACATCCAATTTTATTCCAGTCTCTGTGTTAATTAGGGTGTTCCTTACACAGACGACAGAGGACAGTACTGTGGTTAAAGGGATTCTTTGGAACGGACTGAAATGTTCACCAGTTCGAAGGCACTACCTAAACTTGCTTGCCATCAGTGAGTCAAATATAAACAAATAATATCGTCAAAGCCTATGATGATTGGCCGATTTTTAAACAATTCTCTAGGGGTGCCTGTCTTAAAGGCCAGGCATTGAAGCTGAAGCTAAAGCCACACTTAAGTCTGTTGCACCACGTCAGTAGCCCTTACAGGTCATAGTAAAAACAAAACGGTATGTTCTTATAGATAGGGTGAACTCACGATAGATTCTTGAGAACTTTCCACACTTCCCCAGACTCTGTGGCATGTAATTTCCACAATAGAAGCTCACCTCCTACACAGAGCAACTCAAAGTCATAAATGATTGCTTTACCGAACTTCATTACAGAAATCCGAAGATCCACCTTATTTCGTACTCAATTCCTAACAGAAGATCTGACTGAAAACATACCATCAGCACCAGAAGCAAGCAATTCACCTGCAACAACAGGAAGCAAAAAGTATGAAGGGGATTCTTAATCAAGCAACTTAACTTCACATTTAGCAATGTAGAATCGTCCGGTTTGGATAAGTAAGACAGAAGGAAAAATTGAAAAGCATTCCAATTTCTGCATTAGTTCCCAATTCCGAATCTAGGGCAAACTTTTCGCAATTAGTCAAATTCAGTCTCGGAAAGTTCCCATTTCTCTAACTCAAGAGTGTCAATTCCTAGCCTACACTGACAATCAAACTGATTTTCAACTTCTACGCTAGTTCGGAAACTTACCACACGGAGAGAAGCGAAGGACATTGACGGCCGAGCCATGATACGAAAGGCTATTCTGGTAAGTAGCTGTTGGAGTTTTCTTCGACGGCTCGCCCGAACTTATCAACCAAAGCTGAAAATTGAAGCGCCCAAGAAACATTAACATTGAGTAACCGGCGGAAGCGAATCCGATCAGGAGGCGACTTCCCGGTGAAAAGTACCTTGATGTCGCAATCAGCGCCGCCGGTGGCGAGGAGACCGGATATCGGGTGAAAGTCAAGTGACAACACGGGCTTCGTGTCGTGCCAGTTGATCTGAACTGTCCCGCCCTTCATTTCTTCTCTTGCTGTTCGCTGATTGAGCTTCGGTTACTCTCTGGTCTGTGTTTTCCCGCGAAAGTGACAGAAATTTTTTGGTGGGATGGGAAATTTTTGTTAGGGTTTATCGGGAGAAGGAATCGGGTGTGGCGCGCGGGCTTTGGATTGGAGATGGCGGGAAAATTAACTAATAGACGGAGGGAATAGGAGACGACGTGGCATTTGAATGCTGCCGCGTGGTGGTGTTTGGTCTGTTGGGCTCGGCCTCACGGGCGGGGCCCAATGAGGACGAGCCCCAATATATGAAAGATTGATCAAATACAATACAGCCCAATGTATAAAATAAAATCGCTTTGTATGGGAAAAACTTAATCAAAATTAACATAAATTATAATGATAGATATTCTTTTACTTAATTTATAATTGTGAAGTATTATCAAATATCGAGTAATTTTATAGGAATTGAGATTGTGATTGAATTTAAGGTGTTATTCGGTATTATGAGATTTATTTCATAGACGATATTATGATATTGAAATCAATAAACACAAAAATATCGAACAATTAATTAAATATAAATTAGAAATTTTGGTCATGCTCACACTTTGGCAATTTTCAAGCCTCATACTATCCAAACTTAACTTTCAAGTTTCCTAGGTCGCTCTCGTCTCTCACTAAATCTCTTGTTCTTTTAAGAACATTAGAAAGTGCACACTCTCATTAGTCAGTTTTCCGTCTCCGTTTCATTGAGTAAATTAACAAGGACAAGAAATTGAGATATCATCATCTTATATAGGACTGGGAAAATAGATAAGACCGTTTGAAAAACCATGGTCCAAACCGGACCACACAGTTTGGTCCGGACCGTAGACTGTTAAGTATGGTATGGTCTGGTCCATGGTCTGCATTATATGATGATTTGATCTCTTGGTCTGGTCTGGTCTAGACCGCGGTTTATCGGGAGCAAACCGTGGACCCAACAGACTTCTCAATACTTGTAACCACCCCACTCGACCACTCTCCCAACTCCCACAACGAAACCCAAATCTCAATCTTAATTTTTTGAGAAACTTGTCTTCTCCTTCATTCACAATCACATTTCACCAGAGAGTAAAGACGATCGTGTCTCCATATGAAATTATGTTAATGTTTATGACGTTATGCTGCAAGTTGGGATGCTTTGACTTTGTATCTTTGTTATTTACTGAGATTTATGGTGTCAAAACTATTCGTGCATGTTGGAATTTATATTTTAAGAGAAAAAAACAATATTTTTTTTTATTAGTGGTTTGCAAATTGTTTATTTTCGTTCAATGTGGTCTATAGAGACCAGACTGCATAGTCTGTGGTCTAGTCTATGTATGATCTATACTCTAGTCTTTTGATCTGGAATGTAGACTATATATATAGTCCGATATGGACCAGACCGCACCGTTTCCCAGCCCTAAATTTATCCCTTATGTTTGCTTCTGACTTACTATGTTTGCCTCTGACTTACCTTTAGAAAAACTCAATACACTTTGTTTAGTTGCTTAGCCCAAAATGGTACCTGTTATGAATCCTTTTAATGATGTCTTTTATTGATTTCATTCGATTGAGACTTTGTTTTGTTTTTACTGGACTTTTTCTCAACTCAATTCACCAACACCAAAGCTTAAATAAAACCAAAGCTTAATTCGTCCTGTCCAAAACTTCACATTTAGTTCACTTTTGGTACCTAAAAAACGCAGTACGGGAAGCGACAGCTACACCCCCGAGATCAAACACAAGACAGAAATCTCCTGTAAGTCAAAACACAACTACTGTATGATGATAATTCAATCTTACAGCTCTCTGAAACCTGATATGTATTCTAATGCTTCTAAAACAGCTCAGTATCTAGACTCTAGTAGAACAGGTATGCAGAAATTTGGATCCTTGTTCTTCTCGTATCCCTCAAAAAGGGAACACGGAGAATAAGGATAGTGTTACATTACAGAGCAAATTCCTCTCAGCAACTTGGGGAGATCCTTTCTTCATCTTCCTCTTTCATTTCTGGTCTCTTTTCATGCATGGAGAAATGGGCACTCACACAAGTTCCACAGTCCAATCCTTGTCCACAGGGAGACTTGGCTTCCTAATGGTTACAAACGAGGAAGAAGATCCGAGACCCGTTTCAAGCACGAGTGGGCCGAGTCCCACTTCAACCTTACCATCCCCGGGTTTGATCAGGGCGTTCTTTGGTCCGGGAGAGTGTCCCAGGAGAATGATTCTTTCGATGACAGTTTGAGAGGTGAATTTCGACTTCTTGTTGTTAGGGGTCAGGTCTAAAGATGTGAGCTTTCCATTTGAGAACACGAATCGTCGATGGATATAGGCTCCTTGCATGAACTCAAAGCTCTTCCCATCGTCGATGTAGAGCTCACCTTCAGCTGCTTGAGAACTGTTTAGAGCTATCACCTACACAACAGTAGAGACTCGGGATCAGACATAAAAACCTGATGGATGGAGCATTATGCAAGAACTGACTGGTCAGGAGAAATTAAGTGCGTACCAGAGTGTAGGGATCATTGACCATCTGCGTGGAGCTCCGACGATAACGATCTTTCCTGGGTATGATGGTCCCAGCCTTTTGGAATGCAGGAATTCGATCTTCCAATGCCACTAGCTTGTGAGTTTGAGACCCCTTGTACGGAGCTCCACTCAAAAGGTCGTACCAGAGTTCATCGCCAGGTAGGTAAACTGAAACATGTTTCGCTCGCTGCAAAGAATGGCGTGTCAGTAAAAAGAAATGAAACATATTATGAATGTCAAGAAGAAGTTGTCATAATAGCAGCACCTCAGTGTAAATCCCTTGGACCAAGAGGCTGCTTCCAACCATGAAAGCTTCATCATTGCTAAAGGTAGCATCATCGGAAGGGAACTCCATCCAGAGAGGACGCATAACAGGTAGACCAGTAGTGTTTGACTCACGGAACACCGTGTAAAAATATGGAAGCAACATGTAACGGACATGTATGGCTTGTCTGATGAGCTTCGTATTTCGCTCTCTGAAATCAGTTGAAAGATGTCAGGAAGCATGCTATAAAATACAATAATGGAACAAATAAAAGCAAATGATCAAGGTTCAGCTATATTCAAACATGTCGTACCCAAATAACCAAGGCTCGCGCCGTTTTGTGTCCTGATGAGCATGTGCCCTAAAGAAAGGGTAGAAAGCACCAAGTTGATACCAACGAACTAATAACTCCGGCTCCGGATTCCCAAAAAACCCTCCAACATCGGCACCTAAATGGTAAAATAAAAAGATGAATCCTTCATAAAAAATTAAAAAAGAAAAGATAAGAACTAATAAATCAGCACATATAAACAGTAACTTACCTGAGAATGATATTCCAGACAAACCGAGGGTCAAAATCATTGGAACAGATGCTCTCAAGTGATCCCAATCTGCCGTGTTATCCCCTGTCCAGACAGATCCAAACCTCTGAGTTCCAGCAAAGAATGCTCTTGACAGAACAAACGGCCTGTCTTTTCCATCTCCACGCTTGACAAGGCCATTTGAGGTTGCCATATGGTAGAAGTAGCCATATGCGTTATGCAATTCTCGATGCTCCACTCCCCCAAAATGCAAAGCGTCCCTTGGCATTGAAATCTGGCAGTAGCAAACAATCAGATCTGAACAGTTTCCCCTTTTCAATTGTAACTAATTTCAAATAAGCCTCATAAAGTGAACAAAATTTGTTATGATGTCTGCACACATGACTAACAGAATAAGCTATCCTATAAAGAAACTGAAGTCACTGCTTTCACCAATTCACAAGTGATAATGCGAAGAACAATGTGGATATACACAGTACCCTTCAGTAGACAATGACCAAAATGATTCGGAAACCAAGCCAAAATAAGCAAGTCAAACCCCTCTATAAGACCAACAATTTGTCCATAAAGTTGAAGCATTATCTTGTTAATGGCAGATAAGGAATTTACTAGACCAAAGATTGATAGATCCCCTCCAGACATGTTCTAAGTTTAATCCTATAAGATCAACAATTAGTCCATAAAGTGGAAGCATTGTCTTGTTAATGGCATATAAGGATTTTGCAAGACCAAAGGATTATAGCTACCTCCAGACATGCTCTAAGTTGAATCCTTTTGGATAAATGATGAGAATTATTAGTAAGATGAAGCCTGCCGGCAAAGTATATGCTGGGAAAACATGTTACAATTCAACTCACCATCAGCTGTTCTATTTAGCTTGATAATGCTTTCTGTGACGCAAAAGTTACACTATTTGGAATATTTTTACTATCAATTAATTTTTTTTACCTTAGCCATAAACAGCCCAACAAAGTCACAGAAGCTGGAAACTGAGATTTAGTGCTAAGATTTAGGAGTTAGTTGCTCACTACTGATGAACAGGAAAAGCAGGCGCCATAGGTAGTTCTATTTAGTTATTGACTAGACAGTAGAATGCTTTCTCATGCTAAACAGAAGACTTCGAACACTAAAGCTTAGCTCATTTGTATATGAGAAACTAACAGCTCAATGGTAAGCATTTAATTGAGCACAGAAGAAAATAATCATGCATAGGATTTCATTCTCTAATATTTCAATATGCTTCAGAATACAAAAATTGCTGAAAATGAATAAAAGAAAAAGGACATATGCCAAGTAGCTTACCTCTGGGCCATTGAATACGGAAGGCTCGTTCATATCATTCCAAATATACAGCGACGGAGTCGAACCCTTATAGCTATCAAATCCAAACTTGTCACTGAACCACATCCTCACTTCAGGACTCAACACATCCAAGTAAGAAGATGATCCAGGCCAACACCACCCATCAAAGTCCTTTCCACTTGAATCCTTCACATAATACCCTTTCTCAGCAGCCTCCTTATGTATATAATAGTTATCATCCCTCTTAATATGAGGATCAACAATGGTCACCATTCGCCTTCCTTTGGCAGCCAACTTCTTCTGCATCTCCTCTGGGTGCGGGAACATAACTGAATCCCATGTCATGTACCTCTTACCATCCGTATGCTCGATATCAAGCCACAGAACGTCGTAAGGAATATCATGCTCGTCAAACTTAGCATCCACATTCTCCACGTCCTCCTCATCTCTATAATTCCACCTGCATTGGTGATAAGCAGTGGCAAAATGTTGTGGCATTGCTGGCTTCCCGGTCACAGCTGTGTATTGGCTCACCACGTCCTTAGGACCCAGTCCTGCGAAGAAGAAAGCATCCACTATCCCTGCCTCGCTCATCCATAATGTATCAATTCTCTTCTGATCAGAAGGGAGGGAAAGCCCTGAATCTGCATTCCATCCTTCGGCCAACACATCGATCTGCATCTCAGCCGAGTTTAACCAGAAGAACCCAGAGCTCTTCCCAGTTTTCCCATGAGCAATCATCAATGGGATCGATCCATAGAGACCGAAAGGCGACTCATGGAGATACTCAAACACATCCAAGTTGAATAATCGGTAAGGCTCGGAATATTCAACTCCAGGGCCTTTAGTTGGTTTAAGAGCTAAGCTCGTGGCATGCTCAGGCAAACCATAGACGAATTCAGCATCATAAAATGATACATCGAAGCTGATTGACTGAGGACCATAAGGCCTGGTATCCGTATGACCTTTAAACCTCTCTTCCCACTCTTCCCCTTCATTCTTGACCCTCAATTCCTCGAAATCGAACAACTGATGAGAATTCAACGAAACCAAACGCGACTTACTTGACTTCTCCCTCACGTAGAGCTCAAACGGATCGTGTCGAAGAACAGCTTCGTACCCATCTGACAAATAGACGACGGAGGAAGGAGCTGAATCGCCGTCGAGCGTCTCAGTTGACACCCTCGAGAGCCAGAGCATGGTCTCGTCAAACTCAGAGACGACCACCTCGGGGACTTGGAACCGGGTCTTGGGCGGGTCGAGGGCCGGGTCTTCATCGATTTTCAGGCGCAGGATTCCGCTCTGGTAAATCGAGACGGAGAGCAGCAGAGGCTTGGCGATCTGGTGATGATCTTCTCCACCCTCTTCCTGATTGGGAATCGGCCTAGGGATTAGCTTGGCGGTGAGCAGACCGTCTGAAATGGAGACTTGATCGGCGATTAGGGTACAGTAACCGGGTTTCCTTGACCGAGCGCGCTTGCAGAATGGGGTCTGATTGCAGTTTCGGAACTCGTCTTGCTTCCACGAGAAAGCTGTCTGCGAAGCGAGGGAGAGGAGGAAGAGAAGGAGAAGGGGACGGCGGCAGCCGCCAATCCGAGACGCCATTGGAAGTGTCGTCGATCGGAGTGGGAAACAGGAAAAAGACGCGAACTTTGAAATCAATTTCACAGGGGACGGAGAAGGAGATCAACTGGGTAGTTTCAGATTGACGCCATTTTTTCAGTTCCTGCTTGTTCTTCTTCCCCCAGTCGACTCCAGTGAAGTTCAGTTGATGACTAATGAGCGTAATGAGAGACGATGAAGCTGAACCCGAGGGCGGAGGAGTTTGGATCGGGTTGGGCTTCATTCGGGTTTGTCCGTACTCCGTAGTCAGACCCGAGCAGAACTAATAATATGGGCCTAGAACCGAGCCCAAACAAACAGACGTAAACAAAAACCGACCCACACCGAATACATTTTCTCGTCTGACGTCTGTCTTCTTTGTCATCAATGATCAGAAATAGATTGACTCAAAATTACAGGTTCTGTCGTTCTGATATGATTAAACAATAAATAAAATAAAACCAAACACTTTCCCCAAATTAAATTCCCAATTCTCACTCCGGCACTCCCAAATCTATCACCACTATCATTGTCGACGCCGCCGGCCGGCTATCCGTATCATCGTACTGCTGTTACCCTGCCTCCCTCCTCTTCCTCTGTGATAACTCCAAACCCCAACTTCTTCCTCCGGTGCTCCAAATCACTACAACCATCACATCAGTTGCAGCGAGCCTGCCATCACTAGAAATGGCCATGGGCAGGTCCGGGGCGGGTATCTCGATACCCATACCTGCCCCGTAGCAGGTCGGGTCCGGGTCGGGTAATTTATTATGAGGCGTGGGTCGGGACAGGTCGACCCATTGGGTAAATAATTTATGCAAAAAAAATTAGAATTATTCATTATTTTAATTAAAAGACCAAGAAAAAAACATAATTTGATAAAATGTAGTTAAATTATTGGAGAAATTGAGTTTTTAACTTATTTACAACTTTATTATACCTAAAATATGATGTAATAAGAGGAAAATCCTAAGTAATTTGACTAAGATTACATGTAACTTAGGCTAGAACGGGTCGAGAATGGGGCGGGTCAGGGCAGGTCAGGTCGATGAGAGGTACCCATTCCCACCCCGCCCCTCCTATGGAGCGGGTCAGAACCGCCCCAAAACAGGTCAAACAGGTCGGGTAAATCGGGTCAGGTCGAAATTGCCATCCCTAGCCATCACCAACACCATCCGCGCTACTCTGCCTTCGACCTTTACGATGAAAAAAATTCAGAAATGGATTCTTCCTGTCAATCCAAATCACAACCCCTATCAGCCATAGTGAGAATAATTGAAAGGAGACTGATTTGTGGAATGATTTTCTGATTCCTTTGGCTGCAAGGTTGCAGGTATATGTACAGAGAATTCGGAACTACAAGACAAACTAATTCTAACTGCCTTGTCCATCTAAAACGAGACAAGTGGCAACCTATCACTAGCTACAGCTAATAACAATTAATCTGTACATACTAAATTGAACGTTGCCGTTTCTATCTTCTTCTCTCTTCCTTTCTTGTGATGAAACACTGCGTTGTGCCTTTCCCTCCTTCATTTGTCGTTGCAGAACAGGGGCTTCAGACTTATCATCTTTTTCTTCCTTCTCTTCAACTCTGCTCATGGAGTTTAACATCCCCCACAAGCTGGCGAGTATATGTCATATACTCCCAGCTTGAATACAATCCACCTGAATCGCTGTGCGCTGAGTCCCTTAGTGAAGACATCCGCCAGATTTCTGTCAGTGCAGACATATTTCAAGGTAATCAATCCTGATTTAACCCTTTCTCTTATTATATGGCAATCAATTTCTATATGCTTCGTCCTTTCGTGGAACACCGGGTTCTCCGCCATATGGATTGCTGAATTGTTGTCGCAGTATGCCATTGCTGGTTGTTTGTGTTCAATTTTGAGATCCTTCAAAACTTGTGTGATCCATTGAATTTCACATGACATCTGCGACAATGCCCTGTACTCTGCCTCTGAGGAGGATTTCGAGACGATTGCTTGTTTCTTTGCCTTCCAAGTAATCAGTGAGCTTCCCTGAAACGTACAGTACCCAGTTATCGATCTTCTTGTGTCAGGGCATGCCCCCAGTCTGAATCACTGTAGCATGTTAGTGTGAATTCTGAATTTGATGCAAAGAACAATCCCTGACCTGGGGAACCTTTAAGGTAGCGTAATATTCTGTGGGCTGCTTTCATGTGAGAGGTCTTTGGTTGTACTTGAAACTGACATAGTTGCTGAACAGCAAAAGGTATGTCAGTCTAGTTGTTGTGAGATACCCCAATCTTCCAATCAATGATTTGTATTCTCGTGGGTCTACATGTGGTTCATCATCATATTGAGTTAATCTGGTCTTCATGTCTGATGGAGTCTTGCATGGTTTTGCATTGAGAAAGTATGTATCCTTCAACAGGTCTAAGCAATATTTCTTTTGAGTAATGGAAATCCCACTACTGCTTCTAGCCACTTCAAGTCCAAGGAAGTATTTCAACTTTCCCAAATCTCTCACTTTAAATTTGTAACACCCTACCCTATACGTTTTGCCTAATCATATTGTTCATACAAATGCAGCGGAATTAATCTCGGATGTTACATTAATTATCAAAATTTACCCAAATAAAATTTCGGCATGAATTACTCGCGTAATGGGGTAACAGTTCTTGCAACTTACCCTGCAAAATAATTCATAACAAACATATATACTCACAATCATATGCATTGGCTTTTCTTAGCCATAGTCACACTTTTCATACTCCACAACTGCATACCATACTTATACATACCATAATCGTCACAACTTACATAGTTACACAACATATACACATATCATCAACTTTCCACACCTGTGGATATCTCACACTACATCAGAAGCTAGTATGCACATGAAAAACGTTCTCAAAACATTTTTACAAAAAGGTGTGGATCACTGGCCAAAATCCCGAGTAGTCGTCCAAGCACAGAATAGTTGAAGACCATACCTCATCCTGGCTTCAACTCTAGCTCCTCTCCCACCTAACACTTATCTACTGCTGCTGCTGATCTGCTTACACATAGCATAAGCAGAGAAGAAGAATAAAAGAGGGTCAGCTCATAGCTGAGTGAGATAATCATAGCATTGTGAGTTCATAACAGAGCATACCCCTATCATACATCTAACAATCAAGCCAAAACACTAGGATCGGACCTCAGCCATCCTCATATCCCAATATGCAAAAGACTCAACCACCTTGACTTATGCATATGCATCTTATCATGTTTTAATCATAGGCGCCTGGCTACTCCCATGCTAATTACTCTCCTGGGAATACAGACCAAACATCTCGTGGATGTGGTCATATCGGACCCACCACTGTCGGTGTAGTCATATCGGACTTGACACCACTCTGGGTGTGGTCATATCTCATGATGAATCAACGGTCAACACCACATCAGGGGTGTGACATAACATATCATAACGGAGTAATAGCATGGGGAGCCCTAATTACTATGTAATTGACCATGAGACCAAAGTACTCTTACTTGTTATCCTTATCCATGATCCATATCTCATCTTGCTTAATCATAATTCGCTCCTTGCACATGTACTTGACCTGGCCACAATTGACCCAACATAGGTAAATCAGGAGTCGTATAATTACACTTCCTCGGGATAAACCCTCGTGCAAGTCATCCTCCTTAAACGTCATAATATCACCAGGGAATATATATTTTTCCCACATGTGCATCCAAATACAAAAATCATGAAAAATTATACCCAATCACCTTTTCGAACCATCATAAGGCATATCACCAGTCAAGCCCACAATTTGCAACATATACGAAATCATCAGCATAAACAAGGTCCATCACGATTAGGGCAAGTCAATAATATCATACAGTAGTCCATGGTTCATCATATAGCACAAAAGTTCATACACCCTTAATCATGTCATTCTAGTTCACCTAGCTCAATTCTAAGCATCAATATAATTATCGTGATACGACAAACCCGGTATGCCGTGCTAATCCCTCACCAGTTCTGGTCGTTCAAACACCGGTTTAACCTTCCCATACTAAAACGTCAATTTCACGAACGAACCCTGAATTAAAATCCGAGACCGTCCTAATATCCCCTGCAGTATCCCCGTCAATATTAGTTCTAGGCTCCATGTCAAATTCTTGATAAAAACACATCAAACCCTGGCCGGAGCTAAATTCAGCGATTTGGACCCCGACCTAAATAATTTCCAAAATTCAGGGATTAGAACTAGAGGATTGATTACCTCGCTGCAGGAAGCTCGTATATGAAATTTGGGCTCAATCCGGCTTCCGGATACTCCAAAAACCTAATTTGGCTTATCGGGAATTCAAGAAAATCCTGAACCAAAAACTCATTTTAAAGCTCTAAATCGATAAATCGCGATGTATAGATAAATTAGGCATTACTTACGGGATTTTTGGACTACTAGAACTCAAGAATTGAGCTTTGGAATTTTTCTCCAGTCGCTCCCCTGAACTCTCCGCGCTCTGCTCTGCTTTCGGTAGTGAAAATGAAAAAAGATGACGATGGGGAAAGTAAATGGACCTGTGGTGGGGAATTAAATGGACAGTATATATATATAATTAATACGTATACTTATCCGATCGATCGATAATCCGAATTTTGTCGAAATACTATCAAAACGCTCTATTTTAAATCGCGAACTTTCTAGCGATCGAAATATGGATTTTGCCGGAACGGGATGTTACATAATTGCTTTGATAAGAAAGCCTTGGCCTCCTGAATTACTTCCTCATTGTCTCCTGAGAAAATCAGATCATCTACGTATACCAAGATCACTGCAATTCCTTTTTCATTCTTCTTTGTGAACAATGAGTAATCAGAGTAGGATTGTATAAAACCAAAACTTACTAAGGCTTCAGTCTTGCCTTGAATCTTTCTATTGATCCATTTGCTAAGAGTTTAATTTTGAAGATCCACTTGTTCCCAATCAGCTTCTTTCCCATAGGACAATCCACTATGTCCCATGTGTGGTTAGCTATCAAAGCTCTTAATTCTTCTTTAACTGCTTCTCTCCAACATTCTTCTAACATGGCTTCATCAAAGTTTCGTGGTTCCTGCAAATTAGTTACTGCCAGGGAATAATGCTTGTACTGTTGGCTCAACTGAGAGTTATCCATGAAAGAAGATATTGGATACTTGGTCTGTGAACTTCCAACATAGTAATCCCCATGCCAGCGAGGTGGTTTACTTATTCTGGTAGTCTTCCTAAAAGGAGGAGGAGAAGGTGAGTGATTTGTTGGTGTTGTCCCCCCTTCTCCTTCTGCTTCTTCTTCATTAATAATCTCAGCATCATGATCATCCATGGTTTCAAAAGAAATGAACCCAGGGGATGTTGGTAAAGTAGGAGAATTAAGAACAGTTGAATCAAAACCTGTATGCAAATGATCATGTGCTGGGTAGGAATTTGAGATGGAGAGGATGAAGAAGCAGGAGGAGGAATGATGGATATAGGAATGGTAGGTATAGATGGTGTGGGGTTGTTGTCAGTAGGTGGAGGTGTATCAGAAGTTACAAAAGGAAAGATGGTCTCATGAAAAGATACATCTCTTGATTCAAAAACTTGTTTGGTGTTAAGGTCATACACTTTGTATCCCTTGATTCCTGGCAAAATGCCAAGGAATAGTCCTTTTCTAACCCTTGGTTGAAATTTGGTTCTACCTGACTCTAAGGTGGCAGCATAACATAATGATCCAAAAACTCTAAGGAGGGAGTAGTCTGGTTATTTGTTGTAGAGTTTCTCAAAAGGAGTTTGGTTGTTTAGGATAGGAGTAGGGAGTCTGTTTAAAATATGGACAACATAAAGCACACAATCACTCCAAAAACGCATAGGGACATTGGATTGAAATTTTAGAGCTCTTGCTATGTTCAGAATGTCCTGATGTTTTCTCTCGACTCTTCCATTTTGTTGTTTTCTTTCGACTCAGGACATTTGATGGGAAATACCATGATCTCTAAAGTAATATTCCATATGGAATTCTTTTCCTTGGTCAGTTCTAATGGTTTTCACTAGTCTGTCAAATTGTTTATGGATCATGGTACAGAACTGTGGCAATAGAGGTCTTGCCTCTGATTTGTTTTTCATGAGATAAACCCAAACGGCTCTAGAAAAGTCATCTACAATGGTTAAAAAGTATGAAAAACCATCATAGGAAGTGGTATGTAAGGGACCCCAAATATCACAATGAATAATTTCAAAGGGTTCTGTGCAGTTGTGTGAACTTGAAGGAAAAGGTAACTCCTTTTGTCTGGCCAAATGACAAGTTTCACAGTGATCAATGACATTCACTGGAACTTCAGTATTACATTTCTGGAAAATTCTAGCTCTAGAATTTGACAGATGTCCTAATCTAGCATGCCACAGATGCATGTCTTCATTTTCAGGTATGTTCACTGCTGCCACTAGGTTGATGTTTGGAGTTGGTATAGTCCTCTAAGCTCTCTTGCAAAACCAATCTTCTTCTGTGTATGAAGGTCCTGAACAACACAGAATTCAGAGTGAAAGCTTAGGGTAATAGGAAGGGTTTTTGTTAAGGAACTGACAGAGATAAGATTGAAAGTGAAGCTAGGGACATGTAGAACATTGTTTAAGGTTAGGTTGTTATTGATCTTTACAGTTCCAATGTGGGTGACTTTGATCTTTGCACTGGTTGGCAGGGTAACAAACAGATTTCTACTAGATGATGTGTTGTGAAAAAGGTAAGGCTACAACACATATGATCAGATGCACCAGTATCTATAATCCAATTGTTCAATAATTCCTTCTATTGACAAGCAGTGAAAGTAGATAGGATATATTTACCTGCACTGTCTGGCATTTGATTGATGTGTCTTGATACTGAGTGAGCTTGAGGTTGTGTGCTGGTTGGATTTGTTGTTTGAGAACCAACATCCTGTTGAAGTAACATCATCAGCCTGCTACAGTCTTCTGTAGTGAGTTGCAGAGTAGTGGTATTCTGATTCCTGTTGTCCTATTCAGTCCCAGGTAAGTGAGTTGTGTTGCTTTGATCATGAGTACCACTGGATGTAGCTGCAGCAGCAAAGTTTGGCCCTGCCATTTCTCCTCTTTTTCTTTTCAGTCTCCAACAATCTGCTATAACATGATTGGTTTTCTTGCAGTAATTGCAAAACAAATTCTGTTGGCTACCTCCATATTGTTGATTGCTTGCATTTGATTCACTATTTCCCTTTGGATAATTGTTGGGATAGTTTCCTTGATAAGAGTTATGTCTTCCTCCTTTTGGATATTCACTCCTTTGATCTCTATTCCTTCCTTAATTCAATGCTGCCAATGCTACTGAATCCACTCCAGCAGCTTCTTTGACTAGTTGCTTGGCCATTTTCCTTTCCAGCTTTAGTGCATACTTGTATGCAACCTTGAGGTTTGGAGCAGGATCCATCATCAACAACTGATTCTTGTTCATTTCAAAAGTGTCATTCAAACCAATAATGAAATCGATGGTGTGATCATGTTCTTGTGATTGTTTGATAGCAGCATAGGTAACACATGTCATGGTATGAGGAGTATTTGCACATTCACAAGCTGGGATTGACTTAAATGACATAAATTTTGTCCATAACACACCCAATCTGCTATAGTATTCAGTAACATTGCTATTCTCCTGCTTGCAACGAGCAATCATTCCTCTAACATGAGCTAGCCTAACTGAATCTGCTTCTCCATATCTTTCTTGCAGATCCTTCCATAGGTCTTGAGTTGTTTCATTGTCCATTACTGCTTCAGCAATGGGATCTATGAGTGAATTCAAAATCCAACCCATGAAATTTGTGTTACTCTGATCTCAGATCTCACAGTCTGGATCTGTCAACTCAGGCATAGGCAAAGTGCCATTGATAAGTCCAAGTTTCTTCTTGGTTTTCAGTGCAATCCGCATGGATCTGCTCCATACGTGATAATTAGTTCCATCAAGTTTGACAGAGATAATACCTTGAGAAAGATTCTCATTTGGGTTGACGTAATAGGGATCCACAGCTTGACGTTGTGGTTGTTGAATGGCTCCAGTTGTAGTTGTTGTGCGTGTTGTTGATGATGTAGTGTCTTCCTGATTGTCCGCCATTGTTGAACGGCTGAAAGCTTACGAAACCCTAAAAGAGGCAATCCAGCAGCTCTGATACCATGAGAATAATTGAAAGGAGACTGATTTGTGGAATGATTTTCTGATTCCTTTGGCTGCAAGGTTGCAGGTATATGTACAGAGAATTCGAAACTACAAGACAAACTAATTCTAACTGCCTTGTCCATCTAAAACGAGACAAGTGGCAACCTATCACTAGCTACAGCTAATAACAATTAATCTGTACATACTAAATTGAACGTTGTCGTTTCTATCTTCTTCTTTCTTTCTTTCTTGTGATGAAACGTTGCGTTGTGCCTTTCCCTCCTCCTTCATTTGACCGTTGCAGAAAAGGGGCTTCAGACTCATCATCTTCTTCTTCCTTCTCTTCAACTCTGCTCATGGAGTTTAACACATAGTCTCGGCCCGACCACTACCACCAGGCGGTTGTGGGCACCTCGCCTCTCCCACGGGTTACCAGCCCTTGACTTTCAGTCCCATCGATGAAACGAAGTCGACGATGATGGTCAAAGCTGATAAAACTCTTCTGGGAAAAAAATGGTAAAATTAAGAGTTAACCAAAACTAATAGGTTGAATCGGTTTTGGCTAAGTTGTGGTTATGAATCAAAGGCGGTGATTCAATGTAGAATATCCGATGGCTGAAAATATGGCGACACCATAGAATTGCCGCACGCCACAATTGGAAAAGGCAGAACATGAATAAATACTAATTTGGTCACTAAATTTATCATATCTTTCACATTTGAGATTATCTGTTGAGATTATCCACTAGACCGTTAAAACTTCACCATCACCAGCCTCTACCGCAAGAATCAACAGCGTTACAGTTTACTCACTGGTAATTAGCATAAATGGTCACAAACCTTTGTACGTAGTACAAAACGGTCACAAATCTTTAATTTGAAACAATATGAATATATGATAACAAAAGTTTGTACTCAGAACAAAATGGTCACAAATCAAACAATGTGAACATTTCATACAAGTTCAAACTTTTGTTACTATGTCATTACAAATTAAACTTTTGGTGGTTGTTTTGTACAACGTCCAAAGGTTTGAACAATCAATCATTGTTACAGTTCGCTCCAATCAAGATATGATGGCTTTGTTAATTTTGTGAATAATATGATCATAACAAAGGATGAAAATACTCGTAGAAAAAAAAACGAGGACAGTACGAGAATTCAACGCATCACAAACGGTTTACAGGTTGTTTTTTAGTTGAAACAACTCAGTCTACTTCCTTACTTTCTCGGTATTGAAATTAAAAGATAAACGGAGGGCATTCTTATTTGGCAAAGCAAGTATATCGATGAACACACGACCCAACATCTCATATGTCATTCAAGTGGTACTTGACGAACACACTACTTCAAAACGGTCACATACCTTTAATTTGTAAGGGCTCGGTGACAAACCTTTGTAATTAATACAACCCGGTTACAAATTAAACAGAAATGACCATTTCAAACTTTTTTTACCGTATCATTACAAATTAAAGTTTTATAATCGTTTTATACTAAGTGCAAAGATTTATTATCGTTTATGTTAATTAACCGTTTACTCACTCTGCCTCGTCCCAAGCAAACTTTGAAAGAGAGTTCAATTCAATCAATCAATGGAGGAAGTGATTCTGTTCAATTCAATCAAATCCCAAGCAAACACATTGATGTTTAGTGTGATTTTTATCGACTCGGCAAGTTTCATGACAAAACGGCATTGAATGGATATATTTTTTTTAACCTAAGAATCTCAGTCCCACGTGCCACTTTGTGACAGCGGGGCCTATTAAAATTGGGGGCCACCTGCAATCAATTTGATGTTAACGGGGCTTCGCCCCTTGCAGCCTTGTACCTCCGTGAACACCAACGGAACTCGCTTGAATTTGAATCTGGGATCTGCAACTCCCAAGTCTTCACTGTCATGACAAAACGACATTGAATGGATTAAAATTAATACATTCACAACATCTTGAAGAAAATAATTATTAAAAAACTGCTTATTCCTCTCTCTACCTTTCCCTTTGACGAACTAATCTTTCCACGAGCTTCGGGTAAAATACTTCCGGTGCTACTTAAATTTGAGAATTGCGGTAGACATACCACTTAAGTTTGAATAGAACGTCGAGTACCATTAAAGCCGCTAAAATATGTATCCGTCTAGTTTTCCATCCAACTCAAACTTTTAATTACTTTTTGGTACCCAAAACTTGTAAAAACATCCAAAAATATATTTCAACAAGATTTATCTAATATAAAAATTAGACCTTCTAAACATCATAGTTAGTAAATACTCCGTTTAATACACGTATATGTACCCATACGCATTTTATCCGTTTAAACTTCTAACTCTGTTATTGTCAAGCCGTTCAATTTTTTTCCATTCATTTGATGCCTCTCGTACTAAACACGTATAAAACCCATATAACACTTTTAATATCTGTATTTAATGAATTAAATTATTAACTTTACTATTATTTATTTATTTCTCAAATATTTATTTGTATATATTTGTGACTATTAACCTACTATTAAAGGTAACATTAGTTTATAGACGAGGTAAAATACCCGTACGTATTTTATACGTAACTTTCACGTATCGTATTTTACTAACTATGCTACACATAGTATTACTAGAATGGCTAATCAAAATTTTCAATTAAATATTTAAATTAGTAAAAATAATAAACGAATATCAAGAAGATTAGTAAATATATTATAAGATAACAATAAATATTTAAATTCATTATTAGAAGATCTATTTAAATCCCTAATTCAATTAGAAGCATCATTAGAAATAGTTAAAATAGAACATAATCAATTATCAATACATCAAGACCAAAAAATGATAAATGAAACACAATAAGAAAGAATTATACATATTCCAGAAATTAAAAAATAAAGAATGGAAAGAGACGCAAAGTAACCAAGTAATTAATAAAGTATAAAAGTTACAACATTCAATAACAAATGTAGAAAATAAAACATGAATATAGGAAGAAAATTAGAATAAGTAAATTTAACTAATATGGAACATCTATAATATAATATTAGACAATTAAAAGGAGATTTAATATGGAAAATTAGACAACATCAGCATGATGTAAGAGAGCTTAATATAACACCCTCAGATTATTTATATCGAGATAGAATTAATAGGACATATTTACTTCAACAAATTATTCAACTATTGGAACACATAATGATAATTGATTCTAAATTTTGTATTAAAAAATTGGTTTGGTTCATAGAGTCTTCAAAAGAGGATTTCAACTAAATAGAATTCATAGGATATATTTGCTTGAGCCAATTATTCAATTATTAGGACACATAATAATAATTGAAAATATTTATAATGATAAAGATTCTAAATTTTTATTCAAAAATTGGTTCGGTATCAAGTCTTCGAAAGAGGATTCCAACAAAAAAAACAACAAATGATGGTTTTCATAAGTCCAAATGATTTTCTTACAATAAGAATAGTTGAATGACCAATTATAAAATTTAGAAAACGGAATATTCCAAGAATATTTTGTCAACTTTAACGGAGTGCACTTAGCAGTAAACTTAAGTGGTACCGAGTGCAAATATAATAGAGTTCAGTGGTACTTGATTCCCTATTGTTAGTTAAGTGGTATAGCTTCTCCAATTCTCAAACTTTAGTGGTATCTGAGGTATTTTACCCATGAGCTTCCGATACTTTCCTCTACTTTCCCATTCACTTTCGTCGCAACCAAACAAGCAGAATCATCGATATTAAAAAGTAAAGAAGAGCAAATTTCACCCGTGCATTGTACTCTTTCGCTCCAACTTCCGAGCCGGAGCAGCCCTCCCTCCATCTCAGTTGCGCGCGGAAGCAGTCATCTCTTCAGTCGCACTCCGTCTCTCGCGCACCACCGCTGCAAGTTATTTCTCATCTGTCATCTTCTCTCTCAGTCCGCCCTCGTCTAAATTCTAATGCATTATTTGATTTTCGATGGATTGGTTGTAGCTCGTCGTTATCTCGATTTTTGCTTCATACCGTTGTCGAACGCCTTCGATTGATTGGTTTCGCTCGTTGTCATCTCGATTATCGATTCATACCGTTGTGGAATGCCTTCGACTGATTGCCTGTCGCTCGTTGTTATATCGATTTCGTTCCGTATTGTCGTCGTATTGTGAACGACTTGATTGATTGGCTGTCGCTCGTTGTTATCTTGATTTGCGTTTCATAAAATGCTCTTTCTATGTTTCTCTATAGTTTTTTCATTTGCGTTTGGTATACTATTTGCTCTCGATATGCTGGTTTTTATCTCAATTTTCGTTTGGGAAATTGCTCTTTCTCTAGGTCTATGGTGTTTTCTTTTGCGTTTGGTATATTGTTTGCTTTTGATTTGTCTCTATTGTTTGATTTTACTAGTGTTCTTCCTGTTTATTGATATTTAACTTTCTTAGGGTGACTTCAATGCATACCCCATAAATGGGGGAGTCTTCATAAATAGGGAGTGGAGAACTCCAATGCAGCACCAAAAATGGGGAAAGGCGGCATTTATGGAGGGATCTGCATTTCGGTTGCCAAAATCAGGGTCGGGGGAGGCTCGACATTTATGGGGAACAACTAGCTGCTGGGTGAGACAACCGCTAGTGCGCACCGCCCAACGCCTTATTTTTTTAATTGTTAATTAATCTTTTAAGTGGAATTAGTTAAGGGAAGGTTATATAATTAATTAAGGGAAAGGGCAATTAGTTTGTATTTAGGCTTCTTTAGTTTGTATTTAATTTGTGCTCAATATTTTGTTTAATTTATTTTATTTTATAAGATGACTTAAATTGAATTCATTTTATTTAAAATTTATGTTTATCATCTTGAAGTTGTGTGTAAACAAAAACTAGACCGAACTAAGAATGGAAAATATATTATTGAAATGATCTTGAAGTTATGTTTATCATCTTGACGTTGTGAGTAAACAAAGAGAGAGGAAAGTGACACTATTTCGGAACAACCTTGATCTTCTTGAAAAGGACTTGTCGAAGTTAACACCAAGAAAGAGGAAGTATTACAAAATAAGCAAAAATGCTTCTAGGGTATGATCAAGATGATCCCAACTCTGTTCCCAACTATTCATCCAAAGCAAGTCAGATCAGAGAAGGAGATAAGAGTGATTAATATTCTTTGCTAGACGATTATTGATATGTTATGTGTTTCATCTTTATCATTTCAAGTGTTGTGTGTAATCTTTAAGTTTTATCATTTTTCAAGTGTTGTGTGTAATCTTTAATCTTAATCATTATGAAGTGTTGTGTATAACCTCTGAGTTGTGTGTAATCTTTAAGTTTTATCATTTTCAAGTGTTATGTGTAATCTTTAATCTTTATCATTATCAATTGTTGTGGGTAACCTCTGAGTTGTATCATTTGAAATATTATGTGTGTAAACCCAACTTAGGTCAATTATTTTTTTCCCAAAATAATTCAGTCTCGGAATTTGAAAAAATTCTATCGGAAAATTTGTATTTAAAAATGATGACGAACTATACAAAAATTAACATGAAAAATTTAGATTAAGATGATAATAAGTACCTTTTTAAGTCAACAAAAAAATAGAAAAAAGGAAGATCCCCAAATTTGGGGATGGTATCATTGGAGCCAAATTGAAGAAAATTGGTACAATCCCCAAATTTGGGGTCTTGGAAGTTGGCCTTACTGTTGAATTTTTGCAGTGATAGACTCTTTGGTCAGGACATCCTTGAAAGGATTGTCTGATGCTCAGCAGATGCGCATATATGCCATCTTGAGAAGTGAAAACTTGAAGTTTTTTTTTGGAGCTTACTACAGCAAAAATTTCTCTTGATCTCCTATGCTCAGTGCTGCTTAATGATGCTACAACATATGCTTATATTACCGATGATGCTGCTGCAACAGATTACTCTTGCTTTGAGAAGTCTTCTTTATCTGCAGCAGTGTGATTTCAACCTGTCATGCATATTTTATGACAGAGGTTTTGTCTTGGGATGATTATCCTCCAGATCATCCTAAGCGAAACTGGGCGAAGGTGGAGACCCAAAATCTTATAGCTGGAATGTATAGGTTTGGTAAAGGCAAATGGAAAAAGATCATTGCACAATATCTTGCCGCTGATTACTGGACCAATGTTCAAGTCAAGGACAGATTTAGGAATTTAAGGAAGCTTGCGAAGAAAAATCTTCCACGGAAAAACCGGGAGGCTGCGACTCCGGAAATGTTTGTTGAGTTCAAAATAACAGATTCTCTCGGAGGTCCTGTGCCTTTTGGTTTTAAGCCTCCTGTGATGGTGGTATCTGATAGGGTGCAAAAATTTCTTGAATGAACTGATATGGATGAAGTTCGGATGAAGCGAGTGCTTTGTTTTATGAGGAGACCCGAGGTCTATGGGTTTCTAGTCAAGGCGAGGTCGTATGAAGCTGCTAGTTTGATTCGTGAAGCATTATCGAATTTGTACAGTGAACAATAGGATAATATTGTCCTTGACATGGATTTTATAGCTACGGGCCGTTTGGTTGCTCCTCTTAAAGAAGAGAGGGATAGGACCCAGCAGGTGTTGGTGAGTGCGTTTTCCAAGATAGATTACCACGACTTGCTAGTTTCTCCTGCAAAAGCTCATGGTGAAGCTCTGAATGGTGAAGGGCTGGCAGATGGAAATATAAAAGCTCATGGTGAAGCTTTGAATGGTCAAGAAGATTGACGATGCAGCTCTGTTTTCGAAGTCGAACACTATTTTATTATATTCCTTAGGAGCGCAAATTATATTTTTTGGATCGCTAATTGTCTAGTGGAGTGGTTGTTGGTTTCTAAAACATAAAATATTGGACCAAGCTGGAGCTGCCGATGCCGAGGGCCGAGATGAGTCCAACCCGCATGATGAGTCCAGTCCGCAAGCCCACATGGTCTCGGGTAGTGAGCAGCAATAGTCGACGTCTCTTTGTTTGGAGAGGAATCATGCTTCTCACGTTATGCATGTAACCCTAGTTGATAGTAGTGTAGGGTTATATAATGCTGAAAGTGTATGGTCGAACGACATCTTTGTCGAGTGATCAGTCAATAAAAGAAAAGTCGGAGAGACTTCTCTCTCCCGTGGATTAGTCCCGATTGAATCAATCGGGGATACCACGTAAAATCCCGTGTCTCATTTCATATTCCGCGTACTATTTTTCATGGTATCAGAGCATTGATTCGTAGTCAGTCATCATGAGCGACGAAGAAAGTAAGAAGTCGGACAACATAAAAAACAAAGGTCCTCAACTTGACTCATCGTCCTCAAATCTATGGTTTCCAGAGCCACACTCGCCCTATTTTCTCCATCCGTCGGATATCAATGGTCAGCTATCGGTTGGAGAAGTACTCAGATCGTCTATATATGGTGAATGGGTCATCAATATCACTGATGCCCTCATCGTCAAAAACAAATTCGATTTTGTTGATGACATTATACCGCAGCCGGAATAGGAACCCTAGAAGGAGCTTGGGTTCGTTGTGATGCTGTCGTCAAGGGATGGCTTCGAATCTCCATGAATAAGGAGGTTAAGAGCAACGTTCGTTGTGCAAAAATTGCACGAGAAGTCTGTGTTGATCTCAAGGAGCGGTTCAGTCATGGTAGCCTAACTCGCGGATACGAGGTTCGACGTCTTATCAGCGCTCTCTAGCAGGAGAAACTCATAGTTTCTTCGTTCTATACTCAGTTACTTACGCTATGGGAAGAAGCTCAGTCCTTGTCACCAGCCGAAACTTGCACTTGCGAGCGATATCAGTGTGGTCTTGAAGCTCGCATTCAGGCAAAGAAAGAATGTTTTCGGCTATATGATTTTTTGATGGATCTCGATGGAAGTTTTGGAACCGTTCGAAGTCAGATTCTCTCCATTAAACCTACGCCGTCTCTTGCTGAAGCCTTTCATATGGTTTCTACTGATGAACAACAACGCCTCCTAGCGCAGCAGCGTAGTCCCACCTCGGAAGGTGCATCATTTGCAGCCAGAAGTGATACTGATCATCCTCGAACTCCTGATGGGAGGCCTAAGTGCGTGCATTGCGGTAAGGTGGGACACTTCAAGGAGATGTCGACTGTTCTGCCCACTACACGAGACCATGTGGGCTTGCGGACTGGACTCATCATGCGGGCTGGACTCAAATTGGCTCACGACATCGGCAGCTCCAGCTTGGTCCAATATGGTACCGAGTTCTGCTCTCCAAGCTGAACGTTCGCGATCTTCACGGTTCAGCAAATTGGGGGCAATATAATCCTTACGTAAAGGCCACCCTATCTAGATTTCCGGCATTAAGATACATTTCAGACATGGATTCTTATCATAAGAGATTCCCAACATATCATAAGATTCCCTTTCTGGAAAATCCGCTCTTTTCCAAACCCAGAAAACATATGGATGCTTATCATAAGATTCGTTTCAAATCGTGAACGTTCAGCTTGGAGAGCAGAAAACTATACCATATTGGACCAAGTTGGAGCTGCCGATGTCGTGGGTCGAGATGAGTCCAGCCCACATGGACTCGTGTAGTGAGCAGCAGCAGTCGATGTCTCCTTGTTTGGAGAGGAATCATGCTTCTCACGTTAAACATGTAACCCTAGTTGATAGTAGTGTATGGTTATATAATGTTGAAAGAGTGTGGCCGAAAGGTATCTTTGTCGAGTGATCAGTCAATAAAAGAAAAGTTGGAGAGACTTCTCTCTCCCGTGGATTAGTCCCGATTGAATCAATTGGAGATACCCAGGGGCGGACCCAGGGGCATTTGGGGGTGTCTCGGGACACCACTAAATTTTGGAAAAGCGATTATCCAACCCCCGGTGGTAATTTATGTATTGACAAAAAATTATAATTAATAGTCCGGGACACCCTGAAATTTGAAAAAATGATTATCCTACTCTCATTGGTAGTTTGCGTATGAGAGTATTAAGTGGTAGTTTGGATAATTCAAACCCGGCACACTACTATTATTAATAAATATAATTTTCATTAGGCTTAAACTTTTTTTGTTGTTGAGTTGTTCTATTCTAAACATTGTGTAATAGCAAAATTCTATTCTCTATCTTTAATTATTTTCAAAACCTAACAATTAATCTAATTACAAGCTATCCCTAATTTGTATTGATTTCATGGTTGTACGACAAATATTGAAAGTGTCTTTTCGGCTTTGAGTTACATCAAGAACAAATTTAGAAGTCGAATATGCACCAGTTTGTTAATTATTGTCTAGTAGAATATACCGAGACAAAATTGTTGAGCATTGTAAATACCAAGTGTATTTTACAATTTTTTCAGAAAATGAAAATACATAATGGAATTTTTTAACTTGTACGAGTTGTATATTTTCTTATTTAAGAATTATTTAATTTTTATTGATTTTAAAAGTTTATTTTATTTTTTGAAAGGGTACACCCGTATGTAAAATTCATGGGTCCGCCACTGCCAGTTAAATGCTTTCCTTTTGTAGAAGCTCAGGGATGTTACTAACACAGGTCTCATTAGAGATCTGGATAGTGAAATCAAGAAATCCATAAGCTATAAAAGCAATTGTTGTCCGATGAAGAGCTGTAGGAGAAGTGACAATAAACGACAGCGACAAATTGGGAGAATCAACAAATCATAGTTCAAATTGGAGAATGATCGTGAAGTTGGAGTAAAGAACAAAGAGAAAGAGCCCTCTCCTCCCCGTTCTTCTGCCTTCCTCATCGGCACAGTAAATTGACGGTCGGGTCCGGATACTATAACAACACTCATAGTGTTGTTATAGTAACAACAGGGGTAAAAACGGAAACTCACAAAAGGTAATAAATTAAAAATTAAATTAAATGATTCATTACCCCACCCGTTCCCTTCTCTCTCCCAGGTTTTCGTGCGCCTCCGAGCCAGGGGAGCGGTGTTCTCCGGCCTACTTCATCCGGAGTCGGAACAGAGGGAGGTCAACGACTGGCACGACCACTGGCGACTCGCGGCGGGCTCAGTTCCTGATCTACAAGATGATGCAACGCGCCGATGATTCGCGGCGGAGCGCGTCGTTTTGCCAGACCAAGCTCTGCAAGTTGAAGGTGAGGATCGGGAAGAGGCTGAGAAAGCTGAGGAAGGGCGTGGTTTTGAGCATGTCGGCGGCGAGGTTGAGGATTTACCGGATGATTAGGATTCAGTGGAAGCGGTTGTTCGGCGGCCGCTCAATCGCCGGCGGCGGCGGTGGTGTTCTTCCTGCTGCTGCTGTAGTTTCCATCTTCCCAAAACCCTGCTCCCGAGCACCTCCCACTCTCGATCCAAGTAGGCCACTCTCATTAACCTTGCTGTGGAGAATATTGCTGGGTACAAGATTCTTGCTATTGTCAACTTGATCAAGGAAGAAAGCTCCATCAATGGAGGAAGACCATTGCTGCACACCCCAATTTCCAACAGAAACACGAGCACCAGCAATGGAAGAAAGAGATCCAGAGAGCAACAGCAGCACACTCCAGGAGCCACTCCTGAAGAGAAACAGAACACTCTCTTCAACCCCATTGGCAATTGTTGGCACTAAGATGTCCCATATAGAGAGCTTGGACTATGAGATCAATGAGAATGATATGTTTAAGCATGATTGGAGGAGTAGATCCAAAGTCCAAGTGCTGCAGTATGTGTTCCTAAAATGGTCACTGGCTTTCCTTGTGGGAGGGTTGACAGTTTTAATTGCCACTCTCATTAACCTTGCTGTGGAGAATATTGCTGGGTACAAGATTCTGGATGTTGTCAACTTGATCAAGGAAGAAAGGTATTTGACAGGGTTAGCGTTTATGACTGGAAGCAATCTGGTGTTGACTGCTTTTGCAGCTGTGTTGTGTGTGTTCTTTGCACCAACTGCAGCAGGATCTGGGATCCCTGAGATCAAAGCTTATCTTAATGGGATTGATACACCAAACATGTTTGGTGCCACTACTTTGCTTGTTAAGATTTCGGGTTTTAGTGCTGGTGTAAATGTATCACCATTTCATAATGACAGGCTGGCAGTGATTGAGTTGATGATGTTGATGAAGGAGATGGAAAATATGTGTTATGTTTCACTAATTTGTGGGGGAAATAAAATTAACTCAACGAGACTGCTTCTGTATCACTGAAAGAGAGACCGAGGCATTTTGATAAATCCAATAAAACATACTATAAAACACACCAAAAACCTTGTAATGTAAACCATAAATCTCCTGAAGCATATCAGAAACACCATAAAGCACACCACAAATGTTTATAAAGCACACCAGAAACCTCATAATCCAGACTACAAATCGCCTAAAACATACTAGAAACACCACAAAGCAAACCACAACTATTTCTAAAACACACCAAAAACCTTCTAATGCAAACCACAAATGCGATATAACTAACCACAAAAAAGCATACTAGAAACCTCCTAAAACAAACCACAAGTCTCCTAAAACAAACCAGAAATTTCACAAAGCAAACCATAAATATTTTGAAAAGCACACCAGAAACACCCTAATGCAAACCACAAACACGGAAAAGCAAACCACAAAAAAACAAACCAGAAACCTTCTAATGCAAACCACAAATATATTAAAATAAACCCGAAACCTCACAATGCAAACCACAAAATTTTTGAAAGCAAACCATAAACGTCCTAATGTAGATCACAAATATATTAAAACAAACCAGAAACCCCTCAATGCAAACCACAAATTTTTTGAAAACAAACCAGAAACTTCTCAATGCAAACCACAAACATGATAAAGCAAACCAGAAACTTCTTAATGCAAACCACAAACACGATAAAGCAAACCACAAAAGACATACAAAAATATGAGAAACCAAACCATAAATCTCACAATGCAGACCATAACATCCGGTGGTCGTTCGCCGTTGACCGGTCAACGAAGACCGTTGACCGGTCAACAAAGTTCGTTGACCAAACTCCGATGACTGTCAGTGACCGGATTCCGGCGCCGATAAGCATATTCCGGCCCCGGTGACTAGATTCCGATGCCGGTAAGCATATTCCGACGCCGGTAAGCATATTCCGGCGACGATGAGCATATTCCGATGACAAAATAGCATATTCCGGCGACAAAAAAGCATATTCCGGTGACCGGCGACCAGTTTCCGGCGACCGGTGGCAGAATTCCGGCGACCAAATTTTTTGGCAGAAAATAAAAATATTTTTTTATTTTTTTATTTTTTATTATTTAAACAGATTTTTCATAATGACAATTATACCCCTGCTTTGATTTTACACTAGGTCAACTCATCTAATAAAAAGTCATCACAATCCTAGATTCCTATTGGTTGGAGGCTAGTGTTGTTATAATAACAACACAAGGGGTGTTGTCACACTATCCAGTCCCTTGACGGTCCTGACTGTCGGATTTCCTTCTTTCCCATCAAATTAGCTTTGCGTCTGAGTCCCATTCCTTCATCAGATGATCTCGGCTGAGATTTGAGAGAAAAAGGACATATATATTGGTTGTACGAGAAGTCCTAAATCTGAAAATGGAATTGCATGTGAGGACTGAGGCAAAGGGAATTTACCAAGCACCAGAGTTTTAGCTCGCTTCCTCTGGTTTGAGAAGATAGAGGAAGTCCAGATAATTGAGAAGACTAATGGGTGAGAGAGGGGGAGATGAAAGTTAAAGGGAACACGATTAAAAGGAAAGTGGAGAAGGATAAAGAAATTAGAAAATAAAATAATAATGTATTAGATATTTACTGAAAGTTAGTGGTAGTGAGCACTAAGCAGTGACTAGGGATGACATTTTGCACCGGAGCTCCGGGTAACAGTCTGAAACCCGCTCGATTAGTGTCCAAAATACCCGGCTGCGACGGGTAGATGGCGGATTTGGGCATGCCCGATACCCGGCATCAGTGGATCACGGGTGGTGACGGATTCTGGGATATCTGCCCCATCCCTGCCCCGTTGCAGAAATGACGTCGTTTTAGCACTCGTATATAACGAGTGGCGGAGACTGAAACCCTACTACCTAGCTTCTGCACTTTCCCTCCCCCTTTCAGACTGTCGACTGGGCCTTTCCTCTGATTCTCTCCGTCCCTTTCACTTCTCTAGAGAGAAAATCTCTCTCATTATGATTTATTGCTAATTCCCAACAAAATCCGCTCAATCTAGGCTTCTAGGCCATCATTATCCTTCGAAATTGACCAATCTGAAGCTAGGGTTTGATGTTTGTGAGTGTTCTCTGTCTGCTATCTATCTGCTTGTATTTGTTTAGTGGATTAATTATAGTTATCTTCTTCATGTCAGATAGGGGTGGCAGATTGGTTTCCGGTTAGCGGCTAACCGCCGGTTTTGACCGAAAACCATCGATTAGTAGCTAACCAAAAACCGTTGGTTATTAAGGTCCGTCGGTGAGTCCGAGGGAGTTTTTGGCTAGCCGACTAACCGATGGTGAATAATCACGGTTAACCGGCTAGCCGAAATTAACCGGTCTCAATCGAGCCCTCTCGCCAAACTCCGGCTTCCCTCGCTGCCCGATGTCGCCTACATCGCAAACGACCTCCGCCTCCGCTCCCCGGCTCTCCTTCCCCAAGTCGTCGTCCGCTCCCCGACCCCCGCTGCTCGATCGCGCCGGCCACCGCCCTTGCCGCCAGCGAACTGATCGAGGCCATGAGAGAAAGAGATAGGCAGATCGGTCGATTTTGGCATTTGATTGTTGATTTCAGAGAGATAGAAGAACGAGAGGGAGAGAGAGATTCAATGGGGGAAAAAGAACGAGAGAGAGAGAGAGGAATTGATGGGGGGAGAGAGAAGGGGAATGGATTGGAATGAGAGAGCCAGAGAGGCAGAGATAGAGGAGGCGAATTGATTGAGCAGAGAGAGAGAAACACGTCTTCCTCTTTTCCTTCTCTTTTTTAATTCACGTTTTTCCTTTTTGGTAAATAATAACCACCATTAACAAATTCAAAATTAATTGATTTTTAATTAATTACTTTCCAAATCTCACCGCCGTAATTAATTTTTACCGGAAAATGCACTTTATATATGCATTTATTGTCGGCGACGGCCATAAGTCGGTTACCACGGCTAACCGAACCAAAAACTGATAACCGACTGGTCGGTGGGCGGTTAGCCGTGGCTCTCTCGCGGTCGGTGGTCGGTATCAGTGTGGGGTGTTTCTGTTTAACCGATAACCGAGTTTTTTGGTTTTTCGGTTAAACCAAAATCGACCGGTTGGCACCCCTAGTGTCTGATGGACACCCGAAATGATGTTGTGAATCTGAATGCTTCTCCCGTGCCTGGTAATCAAAACAACCAACCTGTAAAAGTTGGTTCTGATGGTAATGATAATGGTAATGGTAATCTGGGTAATG